CAGGCTCAGGCTCAGGCTCAGGCTCAGGCTCAGGCTCAGGCTCAGGCTCAGGCTCAGGCTCAGGCTCAGGTTCAGGTTCAGGTTCAGGTTCAGGTTCAGGTTCAGGCTCAGGCTCAGACTCCGGCGCTGGCTCCGGCGCTGGCTCGGGATCGTCAGGTTCAGGATCATCTGGTTCCGGCTCCGGCTCCGGTTCCTCTCCAGGCCAGCTGGTCGCTCTCCCAGCGCCCTTGTTGATCATTGCAGGCGATACGGTCTCCGCCAACTCGGCCACAGCTTCTAATGGTGAAGCTGCCTACTCGGTCGCGAGCCAGACACTGCAGGCTGGTGGTGCGCCGATCGTAGTGAGCGGTACTACATACAGTCTCGCGCCCGGAGCTACAGCCCTTGTAGCCAACGGCGTGACTTCGCAAATTGCTCAACAAACCGCCCAACCAACTGTCTTAGCAGCTGCAGTGATGACCATGGGTTCTCAAACGATTACGGCAAACTCCGCTACACAGTTTGTTGTTGCCGCTGGGACTACGCTGACGCCTGGTGGTGTGGTCACTGTTGGCGGCACGACGTACAGCCTTGCTTCTGGCGCAACCGCCGTTGTGGTCAATGGAGTGACTTCCACCCTCAGCCAGGCGTCTCCGACGGCAGCTGCTGTACTCACAATTGGCTCGCAAACCGTTACGGCGAATTCGAACGGACAGTACAGCATTGCTCCAGGCCAGACACTCACTCCAGGCGGTGTAGTGACCGTAAGCGGCACGACTATCAGCTTGGCTAGCGGTGGAAGTACGTTCGTCATCAACGGTGTAACTTCGACACGCGCCACAAGCCAGCAGACTCCAGGCGCAGCTGCTACCATTCCACTTCTCACTGTCGGCTCGCAGACATTCACTGCCAATGCCGCTACTCAGTATAGCTTAGGCGCAGGAGCGATTCTCACACCTAGCGGCGTGGTGACAGTCAGCGGGACGACGATCAGTCTCGCCAGCGGCGCCACGCAAGTTGTCATCAACGGCCAAACGACCAATTTAGCTGCCGCGCTCATCACGCCCGCGCCTCAGATAACGCTCGGAGGAAACGTGTACCAAGCCAATGCCGGTACTACATATGACATCCTCGGCTCTCTGCTCACTCCAGGCGGCGTCATCACAGTGGGTGGATCGACCATCTCACTTGCGCCAGGTGCTTCGGTCGTTGTCGTCAACGGGCAGACCACGACGCTAAGGTCTGGCTCGACCGCAACACCAGCTTCGAACCTCGCCACTATCACCGCACCGCCAGTACTGACTGTAGATGGTCAGGCCTTCAGCCCGAACGGCGGCACCACCTATGTGATCTCGGGCAAATCCCTTACACCAGGCGGCGCCATCACCATTACCGAAGCCAACGGAGCCGTGGAAACGGTCTCCCTCAACTCCGCCGCGACAGCCCTGTACTCTGTCGTCAGTGGCACAACCTATACCTCTCAAATCGGTGCCATGGGCGCCATGTCGACTGGCGCGCCTGTTCTTACCATCTACGGTCAGACTTACACCGCTGCATCCTACGACAGCGGCTCAGGACCAACCTACATAATATCCGGCCAGACACTCACCCTTGGCGGTGTCATAACCATCCCCGCCACCAACGGCAATGCTGCCGAAACCATCTCCCTCGACCGCTCCGGCACGGCCATAACCGAAGTCTCCGCCGGCCACACCACTACCTCAACCATCTCTGGCGCCTACGCCGTCCTTCCCACTGCCGCTCCAATCCTCACAATCGGCGGCCAGACTTTCACGGCTATCAACAATGGCGCCACCTACGTCGTCGCCGGCCAGACACTGACCCCTGGAGGCGTGGACACGGTGACGATAAGCGGGCATACCTACATCATCAGCCTAGCCCCGCAAGCGACTGTCCTCGTGATCGAAGAGGAAGGCAGCAACGGAAGCATCATTTCGACCAGCACAGAGACGTTGTTCCCAGCTCAGATGACGAAGGGCACGGTGACCAATACCATGGCGTTGGCCAGTCCAACCGCGTCTGGAAGTGCCTCTACCGCGTCGAGCACCGGTAGGGCTGGCGTGCAGAGTGCTGCCTCCCGATCTTTCTCGATGGGATTTACTGTCAGCGCGATGGTGATTGCGGCCAGTACGCTTGTACTTGCTCTCTGGCTGTAAAGCTGCAGCGGAATGGACGAGCAAAAGTTCCTTTTCTATGTTTCTTCACGAAGTAATGATAGGCATAGCGAGGGATATCAAGCGGGCTGGGTAATCTGGGGGAACACATGTGCTGCTAATGTCTGTCACGGGATAGCTGGGTACAATGAGAGGTGCAACGGCGTGGTATGGAGAATGTACGAGGACAGCGGTACGCCGCGATGGGATGGAACGATGCAGGTAATGCATGAAGTATTGATCCTTAGAATTCTACTACGTCCTAGCCTATACAGTGGGTTCCAACAGTCCAAGCTGTCATGAAACAGTGACCCTTGGAATTGCTGCTGTATGATGTCGATCGCATCAAAGCTAGCAGATCTAAGTCCAGTGTTATCCACGCTTTGAGAACAGTTTGCGGATCTTGCCGACAGCCTCCGTAACTTCCCAATGGGGAATCCGAGCGTGAACACTTGGCAGTATACGTGAAAGCTTTACGTCGTACATTGCAACGCTCACTCTGCCGAGCACAAATCATGGCGCTCACACTCGCCCTGAAGTTGTGTCTGGCATTCCTACTCCCGCTCGTCTCCGCCCTCAAATTCGACATCCAAGCCCATCCCGGCTCGGAATCCGCCAGTCAAGAACGCTGTATACGCAACTTTGTCTCCAAGGACCAACTCGTGGTCGTAACGGCGACCGTCAGCGGCTCAAGAGGAGATGGACAAACGCTGAACATGCACGTAAGCAACGGCCCTAGGCAATGGATTACACCACGCACATACCCGCGCACGTGCTCACACAATGGCGTACTAGATTAAAGACGCCGTAGGCAACGACTACCACCGCCCCCGCGACATCGCCGGCGAAGCGCGTTACGCCTTCACCTCGCACGCCGACAGCGCCTTCGACGTCTGCTTCGAGAACATCCTCACCTCCTCCCAACCCGTCATGACCCCCACCCGCTCCATCGAACTCGACATCGACATTGGCGCCGACGCGAAAGACTGGAGCGCCATTCAAGCTGGGGAGAAGCTGAAACCCATGGAGGCGGAGCTGCGGAGACTGAGTGAAAGTGCGAAGGAGGTGGTGGATGAGATGGAGTATCTGCGGAGCAGGGAGATGAGTTTGAGGGATACGAATGAGAGTACGAATGAGCGGGTAAAATGGTTTGCGTTGGGGACGATGGGGATGTTGGTCGCGTTGGGCGTGTGGCAGATTGTTTACTTGAGGGCGTACTTTAGGAGTAAGCATTTGATATAATGGAAGCGTGCGTGGTGATTGTATGGCGTACTTTGAGCGTTGGGGGGGTAACGGTACAACATAACCTGGTCACGTGTATGAGGATGGGTCGAAGAGTCCGTTGCATGCAGAGTATGCTCATTCTCGCGGAGGTCTTCGGAAACAACCACTCAGGTCACCTAACACCGCAGGCGCTAGGTCCACCCTCTCAACCGTCTACCCCGACGCCCCCCTGTTATACCTAGGTTTTCCGAGAGACAATTGCGCCCAAGCACTTTCCCCAAGGGTCAAGCAAGAGACCACCTCACCCACCTACTTCTCCCACGGCTCAAGCATCTCCCCTTCATCCCCCCTCTCCACCCCAACATGCCAGTCCCTCCTCAACCCCCTCCTCGGATCCTCAGCCTCCTGTCCCTCATCCCTCCCAAACTTGACCAAAGCCCTCACGAAATCCTCCCTCAACTCCCTCCCACCCTTCTCCAGAACCTCAAAAAGCGCAGGCGAAACCCCACCCCTTTCGCCCAACTCCCCCGTAGCCCCACTCGGCGTGGTAGAGCTTCCTTCATTCAGCACCCTCCACGCCGCCGTCTCAACGAGGAACGTCCGCATGAGATTCGGTTGCGAAGTGTAGGCGTAGATGTACTCGAGTCGATACGGTGAGGCGCTCATGTCGGCGCTGGCGTAGTAGGCGCGGATGTGGTCCATTACTACTTTTACATCAACGATCCGACTCCAAAGGGCCTGCCCTCACCAACAATACAGATCAGTATGGCTTGAAAGCTCACCTTCATCATCCAACCCCCCAACCCCCCACCGCAACGCCACAACATACAATCCAATCCAATGCCCACAAGAATGAAAATCACTCGGCCCCTTCATACGCTGAAGCGAGCGACCGTGCTGCAAGTACCCCGCGAACAACCCCACGGCACTCTCATCCAAGTCCTCGAACGTCGTTTGTTCGGCCGTCGGCTCGGGGGTCTCGGTGAGGAGGTTGCGCCAGTAAGGCGAACAGGCCATGAGTTTGTGCGTGTCGAAGGTAAAGGGTTTGTGGGAGCGGCCGGCGGTTAGGGTGGTGGTCGGGGTGCGGTGCTGCGTATATGTCGTCGGGCTGATAAGCGTCGGATGAGGCTGCAACGGGTTTTGCATCAGTAGGGCACGGTATGCGTGTGATTTGCTTCTAGGGAAATATGGGGGCAAAGGGAAAGCGTACGACGGGTGCAGCGCCCATGCCAGTAGAAGGAGCCGTAGCCTTCAGTATCGCATCAGAAGTAGAGTTCCGCCGGGAACGAGTGACGGGCGCCAGCTCATTCTCGTGCTCGATCGCGGCCGTGTTGAGGCTGGAGGAGGAAGTGGAGCGCTTGATCGTGTTCGACTTCGTGGTCAAGTTCAAGCTTGAGTTCGTACGGACGATGGGTACCGCGGTCGAAGTTGGGTTTGCGCTTGACATTGGGGAGCCCGGGTTTGGCGGAGGAGTTGTGGTCGGGACCGTGACTTGGGCAGCCATGTCAAGGGAATGAATGATCGTTGCTGCAATGATCGTTTCGACTTGAGAATAGCTGGATATGGAATCCTTAACCAGATTGGTAGACACGCTCAAGTAGTGAATATACAGAATGAGCAAGGCGAAAAGAGATATCGGTTGATAGGCGAAAAGAGATTTATGTCGAAAGGGCGAAGGACGAACGGCCAAATAAGGGTTCCTCACAATCGATGTGTAGGTGTAGCTAGCAAACGGCAGGTGTGTGTCGGAGTCGAGGTCGTAGCCCTTCCTTTGATCGTTGGCTGCTGCTCTTGCTGTCGCTGTTACTATCGCTATCGCTGTTGCTTCGGTTTTCGGGCAGTCCTGAGAGTGACTGCCACTGCGACTGCTTTGCCTCATTCGTGCTCTTGGCTTGTGCTCGGTTAGTGTAGTAGTGAAGCTGAGAAGGATAGGAATAAGAACGCTGATGAGGGAAGGGAAAGGAAGGAAGGGAAAAGACCTGGCGATCGGAAGGGAGGAACCACGCTTCTCAAGTTGCCCTGCCTTGCTCTACGCACACTACCAAGCCCAGCGACGGAGAAAGTAAAAATGATACCGTGCCGTAGGTCCTGCTTCCCCAATCCAGCAAGCGACAGCGCGCCAGCAGCTCACAACGCCCAAAATGCCAAGTCCTCTTCAATCCATACCCATCTTCACCCCCGACGCTGACTACAGCGTTCCGAACCTCGACCCGGGCCCCAACCCCGCTGCCGTCCTCATCACTCACCCCCTAATATGCTTATTGACCCGCCCTCCTCGGATCATCCCTCCGCATGATACTCTCCACCGGCCCCAATAACCGCTGAAACCCATCCTTCCCCAACGTCGCCACCTTGACCTCACTCACACTCAACACGCTCGCCGCACGGGGCCGCTCATCCAGCAACGCCAACTCGCCGAAATAATCCCCCTTCCCATACACCCTCAACACCTTCTCCCCTTCGCCTCGCTTCCGCGCCTCCGCTTGCCCGGACTCGAGGATGTAAAATTTGTCCCCCACGTCCCCTTCGCGGATGATGGTGGTGCCGGCGGGGAATTTCGTCGTCTCGAGCGCGTCGGCGATTTTGGAGCGTTCGTAGGGGGTGAGGGAGGAGAGGAGGGGGACTTCCTCGAGGAAGGACTCGTACATGCGGCGGCGCTGGAAGGCGGAGTCCATGAGGATGCGGCGGAAGGTGATGCGGTCGAGCTGCCAGAGGACGCTGGGGGCGGTGCTCACGACGGTGGCGGCGCGCGGGGCGTTGTACATGAGGGCGAGTTCGCCGAAGGAGGTGCCCGGGCCGGACTCGGCGACTTTGGTGCCCAGGCCGTCGGGGCCCGGTTCCACGCGGCCGGTGCGGGAGACGTAGATGTCGAAGTGCCCGCTTTCCACGACGTAGAAGTAGTCGCCCGCGTCGCCTTGCACGATGACGCGGATGTCGGCGGCGGGGACCTTGCGTTCTTGCAGGGCGCCGAGGACGTGGGTGGATTGCTCGTCGTCGAGGTGGGAGAAGAGGAAGTTGTGGGAGACGGCGGTGCGCAGGCGGGCGAGTTGGTCCGGGGTTTTGGGGTAGGCGGGTGCTTTCCAGTGGGTGTCGTCGGCGGAGGCGGGGGCGAGGGATTCGGCGGAGACGGAGGTGCGGCGGCCGAGGTGGTAGTTGTTGGGGAAGGATTGCGGGGCGTCCATGGAGGAGGAGGAGGCGGAGGCGGAGGCGGAGGGGGGAGGGTTGGAGCGGGAGGAGGTTGTGTTGGAGGATGAGAAGCCGAAGGTGCCGAAGGCTGATGCGCCGCCGCCGCCGTTGCTCGCGGTGTTGGAGGAGGGCGCGGATGGTGGTGGTGGTGGTGCGGTGCTGCTGTTCACACTCTCCCCGCCCGGTCCCACACTGACTTCGCGCGCGCTGGGGGAGAAGGAAGTAGCGGTGGGACTGCCGAAATCGTGCTCCTCCTCTTCGGCAAGCGCGTGCATGCCACTTCCCCCTCCGCCCACGGCAGGCGCAGAGCTGGTGGGGGAGAAAGGGGAAGCGACGCCCGGCCCACCACCGCCGGCCCGCTCTGTGCTACCCCCGAACGGGTTGCTGCCCGGGAAGGAACTCTCGGCCATTCCCGCGCCACTGGAATGCCGCTGCTGCAGGTGGAATTCGGCGCGCTGCGACTCGAGTCGCCGGTGGAAGAAGTTGGCGCAGAACTGGAGGATGTCGGAGGGGGAGTGCTTGAGGACCTCGCGCTCGAGGGTGGAGATCTCGCGGAGAAAGTCGTGGGGGAGGTTGGAGGAGACGAGGGTGGACATTGATGCGCAGACGCCGGTGGAGTCAGTGTGGAGATGTGGATGTGGGTGGGTGGGTGTGTGAGATGATGAGTGTCTCGTGCTGCGGTAGTTGGTAGGATGCGCTGCGCTGCTGCAGGGTTGATCGTGTCGCACACGGGGCACGCCCGGGTACCTCGCCGTGTGGAAGCTGTTTGGCGGAATGGGAAGGACGGGTGTGGAGCTTGACGTAGGATCGGCGGGAGAGCTGTATCAGGCGCTCCCGTACGAATTGAGAGATATGCGACGAGTTTCACAGCATGCGAGCACGCATAGGGTAGGGGTAGGCTTGTTCGAAGAAGGTGTGGTAATGCATGCAAGGGGAGCGATGGATAGGTGGGAAGCTTCAGTCACTGTCCGTGTCTCTTTACCACCTTTCGCCAGTGTTTGCTTGGACAACGACTGCTGTGACGAAGGAGATGCGCCGACGGTGGGCCTCTTCAAGCGGGGAAGCTTCTTCTGTGAACGCGGCAGAAGCCGAGCCGCTCCTTCTTCCTATTCTAACCCACTTCCCTTCTCCGGTAGAGGGAGAGTACTAAGCTTTGCTCCCCTGCTGTCTCCTTCCATACCTCGCCTGGCAAAACCCACCGCATGCTCGACAGCAGGAAGATTAATGAAAATGAGGAAGATGGGCTGGTCCATGGTCGTTTGATCCATAGGCGCTCTACACCGCCTCCATCAACTGTAGGTGGATCTCTTGTTGAGTGACCCCAATGTCTGTGGTAATCTTCTAATGGTCAATCAACCAATACTCATCAAAGATCCATCCAAAGGGGACCATGTCTCGAATGAGGCCGAAAACAGAGAGTCAAATGAGTTGGTCTGGCCAGACGTTGATCCTGTGCATAAACATATCAATGCATCGGTTGCACCGTGCGGCCCGGCGAACCCCCTTTACGCGCTATGGGGTTTAGCGCGTCTGATCGCGTCCGTCCAGCCACCGGCCTACCAACTCCCCTGAACGCATTCATATCGATAGATACATGTACTCCCTACATCCACAGTATACTCTGCATCTCATCACCATTGCCACTGAATTACATACATCTCTCCGTAACAGTACTATCCTACAGTAATAAGACTGATATCATAATACGACGATGGCGGCATCAAGAAAGCGAAAGCACGCGGTTGCCGATGAACGTGATGCAACAGCAGAAGATATCATTCCACCACCGACTCGCCAGAGCCATGACGCTTTCAAGTTTACGAGCAAGCCTGTCATAGCACTAGAGAGTATGAAGAAGCGCAAGACCAGACATCAGCAGGGTATGCAGCCGCCGGTGCTTACCGTGACCATCCCCACCCCGACTCCGGCAGCAGCCAGCGGAAAGGGGAGAAAGCGAAAGCTGGACTTGGACACATCAGTGTCTGGTGCTGGCGATACTTCTACCACATCGAAGCGACCCACCCATGAAGACACCATCACCACCCCACGCAACAAACGCTTCAAGGACGCCCTCCCACCCTCTCCCACCGAAACACCCAGCAGAACCACCGCCGCTCTACTGGACCGCCTCGTCCTCGAGTCTTCCGCATCAATCCCGTGTAAGCTAACCGGACGGGCGCTCGCCTACGACACCCCGCCCACAACCCCACCCACCACCAGCGAGAAGAAATCCGCCGGTCTCGCCCTCCCCGCCGAACTCGCCGACCTCTGCAAACTCCACGCCTCCTTCATGAGCGCGTTATCAATGTACTACGCCTACAACGGCACCTCCTCCACCATCGACGTCGATAATCTCCTCCCCCTCGTCACGGGCCACTGGAAGAAACGCGCCGTCACGTTGCACGATCTACGTCTCGTGCTCGCCGTAACGGGATCGCAATGCAGCATCTGGACGCTGGAAGACTGCGGGCGGGCGGGCGTGTGTTTGAGGAAAGTGCATGACGCGGACGGCCGCGGGGCGAGTTATATCAACGAGGATGCGTTGAATGCGCATTTCGACTCGGCGGTGTTGAATAAGTGGCTCGCGTGGCGGAATACCAGCCTGCAGAAGGAGGGGAATGATATTCCGGACCCGGCTTCGTTTTTGAAACAACTTCCATTAGCGGAGATCACTTCCGACCCTTCGGCAGCGGCGAAAACGACATCCCTCTTCGCCCGCGGCGAACAACGTCTAGCCGATATCAAAAGCGCGCAAGCTTCCGCCACACAACCCGCAGAACAAACACCATCACCACCCTCACCATCATCCCTCGAACAGGACGAGAAGAAGAAGAAGAAGAAGACGACGACGACCCAATCCCGCACCTCCAACCTCCTCTCCCGCATCCTCGCCAAACATACCACCCTCTCCCCCTCCGTCCCGCCCTCAACCGCCGCAGAGATGCAATCCTCCCACCTCCGCCAAACAGCCCTCCACCGCCTCGAGGAAATCTCCCGCGTCCTCGCCTCCCTCCTCAGCAACACCACCAAATCCCCCCGCCTCAGCCTCAGCATGGCGGCGATGGTGGCGCAGTTACAGCAAAGTTTGCGGAATCCGATTTCGCGGGCCGAGGCGGAATGTGCGTTGGAGGTGCTGGCGGGCGAGGTTTGTCCCGGGTTTGTGAGGGTGGTGGGGATGGATGGGGTCGGGGGGGTGGGGACGAAGGCGGTGGTTGTCGTTTTGAGAAGTGGGATGGTGACGGGGGAGGTGGTTCGGGGACGCGTGGCTGCTTTGCTCGGTTAGGTTGCGCCTGCTCTTACGGATGGGTTTTGTTTGTTTGTTGTCGTGTTGGGGGTTTGTGGTCGCAGGGTTGGTTGTGAGCTGCCCTGTGTACATGTAGTGTATAGTGTGTACTGTTCCATGTGTAATCACTACTGAGAATGGCTGAACCGAATACATGTACTGCCAAGCCGCCGTCTTTCTTGAGAGAGAGAGCTCAAAGCGTTCTCATGATCAAGGAAATCCCATCGTCGGGCTGACCCTACTCGTAAAGTGGTTCTCGGCATCGTACGGTTCTAACCTCATACGCTACCCCCACCTACCCACCTACTTACCTACCTCCATCTGCGTATTGTGCAGAGTTCGACCTAACTGCCTACCTACCACCTGCGGAGAACATCCCCGCCATTCAAGACTCGATCACGAGCACGTCGACGTACATGGCACGAGTGGTGGGGAGATCGGCGACGGGTATACGTCCACGTTGGTTCGGTCTGGCTGAGCAAGCATAACAGAAAGTCGAAGCGACGTGGTGTGATGCGATGTGATCGTGTCATCCTGGTATGATCATACCAGAAGCGGGAACCCGCCATAGGCTTCGTCGTTATGGCACTGTCCGTGTGGGAGACTGGTGACTTGCGTTGCAGGGTTTTGGGTACGGTTTCGGATGGGCTGGGCAACGTTTTTGCTATATCGACCGACGGGGGGTAGAGTGGAGGATAACGCACGGCGGCAAGAGCGTGTAACTCGCGGCCAGGTAGAGGGCGTAAGGTCTCGCCGTGCATTGGGGACGGACATGGACTATGGTAGCCCGATAGGGTATATGCACGCCGGACGTGTCGGCCGGGCGGTGTCGAGGGGTGCTTCGGTGGCGCAAACGTGTCAGCAAGCATGCTTGACCCTACGGCTTGTCTGTCAGAGCCATCCGGCCGCTTTGGCCCGTTCTAGTCTGGTTTTGCTAGCCTTGCGCACGGTCGAAGCTGCGCTCTACACATAGGGGAAATGTACTGCATGTTCGGTGGCGACGAGCAGTACGCATCCGCCTGTTGCGATTGTCTGACGAAGCAATTGGGGGGTGTTGACCTAGTATCTGCCAGCCTCGTATGCATTCGAAGATGGAAGCCAGGTAGGGAGGCACTATGCCGAGTCATGATAAGGGCGTAACCGTGCCAGGAATTGGTTTCAAGCATGCGAAACTCCATGGCTTGAGGATCGAAGCCATGTGGCTGCCATGGCCTATTGTTGTCCAACTCTACGGGCCTTGCGCACGAGCGAGACTGCGAACCATGTAGCGGGAGGAAGCAGATACCCAGCGGAGCAGGCGTCCCAGCATGCAGCAAGCCGTCAGCGATGGGGTCAGATTGGCGCACGCGCGAGCTTAGGGCTGGTCCGGAAAACGGCCCCGCGAGCCGTGTGCGTTCACATTCGTACACCGCCACCCACGCAGACCGAGCTTTGTTTGCTTGCTAAGACGCTCAGTAACGCGTTGTGGATTATTAAGGGGAGTCTTGACGTTATGCGGTGGATCTGTCATGTGGAGCCCGGGCGCACGTCCATGTCGCCGGGGAGAGTGTCCCGGTGAACCAAAGGTATGTGCGCGTATCTACGCTCGCGAAGTGTAACGACGCTAGCAACGAAGATAGGCTGAAGAGCTGACTGTGGTTTCATGTCACACCTGTGGCCTTGTCTTTGAATTCGTCTCGAGCCGCTCGTGGCGCCCGCCGGGGATCCTTCGCAGCTTCTAGCGCCGTTCTATGCAGCCTTGCGAGCTTCTATAGGCTAGTTCTGCTGCGCTTTGGCGGTGCGATGATAAGATGGCGTAATTGGTGTGACCTCGTTCCTTGCTCGCAAGGGTGAACCATGTCTTTTACAGCGAGTAACGGATCCAAGAGATCCTTATGAAAGCTCCACAGAAGCCGCCGAAGCTGCGCTAAGTGTGCGGTTCTATCGACGCAAATGATGATGAGCTGCACCAGACTTGGCAGCTGGAAGTGGTAGATAAGTACGCACACATTGCTTGCTGGTGTCAAAGCTCGTACGCTGAGGCTGGCAACATTGACTACGGTGAGATCAGCGCGTCCGGTGTCTTGTGCGAAGACCTACAGATAGGTGCAGTAGGATCGGGTTTGCATGATCTTTGTCTTGGCGCGCTCCTGTGTTCCTGGTCGGAGGCGAGACCCATTGGTGGTGGTGTCCTGATCAAGCGGCTGCTGCGCAGGTGCTGAAACGACGGATGCGTTGTCCACCTGTTCATACAGACGGTAGCGGCGAGCGTGCACTGGCGAACACAGAGCGTGCATACGCTAGAACCGTCCACAACATCGATTGTGGAAAGCGGCGGGTCCTTGAAGCGTTCCATCCCACGTGTACGACAGGGATCACGATGTAGCTTGCCAGCTCCCCGGAACGCACCAGTGGGTCTTGCACCGCCAGTACATCATCTGTTGGCTCAGAATGAGTTCTTCCTACGTGCATTGTAGATTGCACGATGCCACAGGATCTACCCTTAGCTCCGCGGCATCTGTTTCCAACCCGCTATGTCGGGGCCTAAGAGCTGTAACCTGTCGTGACTGCGGGGCTCACCAGGCAAAGAGTACAATGTCGATTGTCGAGGGATGAAAATTATGCAGAGCACCGCCGTATAGACGAAGCGAAGCATTACCATAGGACTGGTGCAGCCTGACGCGCGGGATGCAGATGAAGTCTTGTGGTATAAATTCGCCCTTTCCTCGATCGTCGTTGGACTGATCGGATCCTCCCATCAACAATACCATTATCCCTTCTTCAATTGTGCATGTACTCCGTCGCGATGAGTGCTCGCAAGTCTGAGTCATCACTCGCTCCCAGAGAAGGCAATCAAGCTGGTCGTGAGCGACTGACGGCAGAGTCCCTTGAGCGATGTGCAGCTGCTTCCAGCGTAAGTCGCAGTCGTGCTGCTTGTTCGGGGTCTGCTAACTCCTTGCAGCCCGATAGAGTGAAGCGGTTTATTGCAGGAAGGGTCCGCGAAGAAGCTAGTCAGCTTGCTCATCAGACGCTCGGTGAACGTTACGCGGTTCGTATGGAAGATGGTCTTGCACCCGACTTCGATAGCGACCATTTGGAGTCTATCCGGTCCAGCGAGGCGAAGGCGGATTTGGATAAGATACGCCAGATGTACCGTCTGTGCGAAGAGCCTGGACCAGAGCCAATGCTGCGTTTCGCAACGTTCAGCGCCATTGACGAGCCGTTCCCGTTGCTAACCAAGAGAGCCATGTCCGACTCTGGTGTTGATTACGGTTCGCTCGAGTCGGTACAAGCTCGGGCAGTTGCTGCGACGTCAATCTTACAGACCCAGCATAACCACGGGACGTCCGACAACGGCTACCTCGATTGCCGGACGAACTCAATCCCATCAAGCAGTTTGGCGCGGGTGTACAAAACCCCGCGCTGCCGTAAAAGGTTGGCTTCACGTGCAGAGTCGGAGGAAGATACCGGCAAGCGTTCACGGTCCGGGTAGCAGGGAGGGTTGGCGCGATGTTCCATAACCAACAAGGACGTTCGCACAGTGGACTTTGTCCACCGGGATGCAAGAGATGCATCGCTCGGATGTAAGGCGCCATCAGAGCGTCGGCTTACACGGCATCACCCAGGGGTTTTGTCTTCGGTCTTGTTATGACATTGTTTGACAAAGAGAGAAGGGAAGTAGCCACGAGCGCCATTGCTGAGCCAAATGACTTCGCCATCTCGCAAGCTGTCTTTCCCCACACTGTCTTCAACACACAAGCCGTGCTCTAACGACCAGCGTCGTGTCGTCCCCTGCAAGCCGCCGCTCGACGCTGCAGGAACGACCCATCTGCCATTCCGAAAGAAATATGGAGTGGAAATGGAGCAGTCAAGGATGCCACCGTCGCTGCTGTACAGCAGGACTTCCTTGGTTTGCGTGTAAGAAGTGATGCCAGCCGCTGCCCGCGCCCGATTGTAACACATACGATCGGATGTTTTATACATAGTAGACGAGCTGATCTCGGTAGGTTCGCTGTCCAGCACAATCGTCCAGGGCGCATTGGAAAGCCTCTCCGTCACCGGACAGTTGAAGGTTTTGGGGAAGAGATATTCTATTGGTACGCGAGCCGTCGGCAGAATGTCGCTGATTGTTTTGCCACTTGGGAACATACGATGCCTGACTCTGAGCGATTCGTATTTCTCCTCTGGGTGATCTGCTTGCCATATTTGTACATCACGGTTCAGGGTTCGCAAGAGCTCGGCTGGGCTACTCCTAGGCAGATCGTTTGTCCACCTCGAGACCTGGAGTCTTGTCCAATGATGCTCGAACATGTAGAAAGGACTTGGATGGTTGCACGATGCTTTCGTGTTCTCAAAGGCGGCCGCGAGCATTGCGTCCCACCGCACGGTGGTGAACACATAGAGGTCCTCCCCATCGTCCAAGGCCGGTGGGTACGACAGGCCCTGCTCATGTTGCACGGAGAAGGTCTTGTCGTGCATGGTCATTTGCGGTCGTCTAAAGCATTCATGAAGTCCACCGTCACGTGTGCGTTTCCGATATCGAATGCGCGATGCCATCTCCCGGCATGCACAGCCACACTTATGTCATGATTGATTCGTGTGGACAAGGTGTGCTGTTGTATGATTGGCCGAGATTGTCTTATCTTTGCGACCTCCGCCCAGGGTCCGAAGGCGGTGAAGCGCGGTTCTGTGGGATGGTGGCGTGCAGAAAGCGACTCTCCATGCGACACCCTTGTGCTTCAAGCTTTGGTTCCACCGTCAGGCACGAGCTGGTCCACAGACCGTTGCTTGGGACGCAGCAAACCTAGCGCGCTGCTTGGGCGACCAAGCTGTCAAGCACCGCAAGCGCGGTAACCGGGTATCGTCAGACTTCACTACGCCCCCGTTCCGCCCATGTGCGGCGGGGCGGATCCATTGTGCCTGGCAGACAACCCGCGCAACGGCTATTAATCTGGGATGCAGCTGTAGCGTGACGTATCCGCGGCGCTATTGGGAGGGGTGCTGAAGCGCATGAGCCTCTGTTGCCCTGGCGTAGACACTCACGGCAGCACTCTGAAGGCCACAGAGCTTGAACCGGACGACGCAGTCTCCACTTCCAATCATCTCAAGTCAACCAGTTCAACGTAAGCACCTGCTTGATGTAACGGGTATTAGACGAAGAACGACGGGTATACTGGGCATCGGGCATATCGATCTATGCAGACCCGTCCACTCCTCCTTATCTGCCCTCCCACAGACCAGCCGTACATTGTCCAGTAGTAAAGCAAGAGGTCGTGACATGCACAGATAGATCTCCAAGCCTATCGAGCCTGCCCCGCGAGTTGCTTCTTGGAGAGTGGATGAACGGAAATACCAGGCCCAATACCTTTGAACCTAGGTGCATAAGTGAACGGGCCACTTCAGCCACACTTCGAGCTCGGAGCAACGCGATTCTGCCGGTTGCCCTCTGGTTTATAGGCACACGACCGCCCACCAACAGGCCTAGCGAACCAACCTCGCTCAACTCTTCCCTTGTTACACTCAGCAATCTTGCAGCTTTGTGTGCGCTCAATTGGAGTCCTTCTGTAACATTAGTGTTATTGGCAGCGCATCCAGAAACATCAATCTCGGCATCACCTTCGCTTCACCACCATGGTTCGTTGACTTGGCGGAGCTACGCAGATCTTTGTGACGAAAGCTGATGGACTGCGCAGGCGACCAGCACGATCGTCTCAAATACCGCCAATGTGAGTGCAATGCCACCGTGACTGATTGGGACGGTTCGCTAACTATTTCGCAGCTCTTGAAGTACAGAGATCTACCGCAGCATGGCGCGGTCATTGCCGAGTACGTCTGGATAGATGCCAGCGGCGGTACTCGTTCCAAGTGCAAGGTGAGTGATTTCCCACCAGGAAAGCACCCGTTGGGACGAAAGGCTCGTCATGAGAGATTTTCGACGTCTCGCTGCGTTCATGCACGATAAGAGAAAGTGGCTTGACTCGCCGCGGCTTCGGCAGTCTTGCGGTACTTTTAGTCACAGAAACCGCGTCTAGGCGGCTACACGCAATGGGATGGAACTTTAGAGAGACTGCGGCTCTTCTCTGACCTCGCGCAACCGAAGGCCGCAATAGAACGTGGAGACTAACCTTACAAACTCGCAGACCCTCAAGAAGAAGCCATCATCAGTCAAGGATCTCCCAGAATGGAACTTCGACGGCTCTTCCACCGGCCAGGCACCCGGCGACAACTCCGACGTCTACCTCCGCCCAGTGGCCATGTACCCATGCCCCTTCCGCCTTGGCGACAACATCCTCGTGATGGCCGAGACCTGGATGTCTGACGGCAAGCCGAACGCCTACAACTTCCGCCACGACGCCGCCGTGCACATGGAGAAGAACGCCTCGCACGAGTTCTGGTTCGGCCTCGAGCAGGAGTACACCCTCCTCGACGACATGGGATGGCCGTACGGCTGGCCCAAGAACGGTTTCCCGGCTCCCCAAGGTCCTTACTACTGCGGCAACGGCACCGGCAAGGTCTTCTGCAGAGACATTGTCGAGGCACACTACAAGGCCTGCTTGTACGCCGGCCTTGAGATCTCCGGCACCAACGCCGAAGTCATGCCCGCTCAATGGGAGTACCAGATTGGCCCGTGCACCGGCATCGCCCTGGGCGACCAGATGTGGATGTCCCGCTTCATCCTCCACCGCGTGGCCGAGGAGTTCGGCGTCAAGGCTACCTTCCACCCTAAGCCGATCCCCGGCGACTGGAACGGCGCCGGTCTCCACACCAACGTCAGCACCAAGGAGATGCGCGAGGATGGCGGCATGAAGGCCATCGAGGCGGCGATGGAGAAGCTGTCGAAGCGCCACAAGGAGCACATGAAAGTGTACGGTGAGGGTAACGAGGCGCGTATGACTGGCGCGCACGAGACGGCGTCGTACGACAAGTTCACGTGGGGTATTGCGAACCGTGGCGCGTCGGTGCGTGTGAACCGTTCGTGCGCCGAGGAGGGCAAGGGTTACTTTGAGGACCGCCGGCCGGCGTCGAATGCCGATCCGTACCAGATTACTGGTATGATTGTGGAGACTGTGAGTAGTATCGATGTCGTTGTCAACGAGGGATGAAGCTAACGTGTGTGTATAGCTCTGCGGCCATCTCGAGGGTATCGATGTCCTCAAGAAGGTTACGGACGCCGAGATGCAAGAGCAGGAGATGATTGTGCCGGTCGCGAAGCCGTAAGCTATTAATGACGATCCAACGGTCAACAAGGAGCAGTCGAGCTTGCTACAGGTTGGACGAGAGATGTGATATGATACCTTCCTCGCGTGTGCACTGAGGCAGAGACGGACAGACAGTATTGGAAGTGAGAAGAAGATGGGAGCATTGTGCTCGATGCGAGAAGCTGGTGCTATAGTGCTCCTGTACCTTACGACGAGCATAGCAATGACTCCTCTGTTGCTCTCAGCTTGCTTGTATCTTGTGTGTGTGTGTCTCACGTCATGATCAGCGCACACGAGGACACGTCAACTGTACCATTATATGCTGATCAACGCGACAGGTATCACTGTTTATATGCTGCACGACGCGGCAGGTATATCGGAGCATCGGCGTGCTATGATTTATAAACGGGGCTAAGCTGATGCTCCCATTCCATACCGTGGCGGCCGTCCAGAAGGTGCTGTGGCTTGCGTTCCAGAAGCCTGCTTACCATGGATGGAGCTGTTCAAGCAATGCGCCGGGGATGCCACAGCATCGGAGATATGTCCATATCATCTGAGGAACCCCAGATATTACGAGCGCGGCATCTCATCTCCGTTTGATGGCTGTAACGAAGCTGTCGCAGACTGCTGTGCACGAGGCTGATTCAGCCCGTACAAGCCTTGTGGGTTGCAGCCGCAGCCATGCACCCCTGACACCAGCGAAAAGCCAATACGAGTGTGTACGCAGCGCATTCCAGCTACGCCACCCACGGAACAGCCCATGTGCGGCCGTTATGGCGCTCACGAGCTCAGATGAAGTAGTTGTAGCAGTCACTCACCATTCATAACATACCACCTCAGCCTCTTGTACCCTCTCTGCCATCGTGGAGGCGGTTGTTTCCTGCTTTTAGTGCCTGAGGGGAGGGGTCTGCGTATTCGTCATTCTCTCTCGATTTAGCGCCCGTCGGCCAATCAGCACACAGCTGGTCGCTCGCCGCGACGCTTCCCAAGACGCAGACAGCACTGCCCGTCCAACCACCGCGCGTGACTCGCGGCCTTCCTCTATCCTACAGTCTCTCGCTCTGAAGCCAGCGTACCGACTGCTCCCGACGCATTGCAGTGAATACAGCAGACTACGTACGAGCACACCCCGACATACAAACACTCGCTCCCGGCTCGGCCGGCCTTACATACTGAGAGGCGACATCAACATCAGACCTGCGCTCTTCAGCGCCACCACTCATCACAGCAACAACACACAGCATGAAACTGTCAATATCATCGCTAATATGCCTCCTTTTCGGCATCTCGCGGTTCGCAACCGCAGAGCAGATGCTCTACTCCGACTCCCTCAACCCATGTCAGACCAATAACAACTTCAGCGCGACGCAATTCGACGTCGTCCTCACCCCCGCCAACAACAGCTTGGCCTTCAGCATCGTCGGTGTTAGCACAATCCAGGGCAACGTCACAATAGACTTGGTCGTCATTGCGTATGGCTTGAATGTCTACCAGACCACGCTGGACCCGTGCACTATGGGCTTCCAAGGACTGTGTCCGATGAGCGAGGGTCAGATCAGTCTGCCGCTGTCCAATGTGCCTATACCCGGGAGCGCGTTGAAGGAGGTACCGGGGATTACGTACACGGTGCCGGATTTGGATGCGAGGGTGCAGGTCTACTTCAACTCGTCGAATACGGGCCAGGCGGCGGCGTGTGTGGAGGCGGAGTTATCCAACGGCAAGACTGTGGACCAGGCAGGCGTGGCGTGGGGTTTGGCAGTGACATCGGGTCTGGCGCTGGTTGCGTCGGCGATTACATCCGGGCTGGGCCACTCCAACACCGCGGCGCACGTGGCCGCAAACGCCATGGCATTGTTCGGTTACTTCCAAGCGCAGGCGTTCATTGGCATGACGGCCGTTCCTTTGCCGCCCATTGCGGCATCCTGGACGCAGAATTTCCAGTGGAGTATGGGTATCATCAAGGTCGGCTTTATCCAGAAGATTGCCACGTGGTACCAGCGCGCCACCGGAGGCACACCGTCTACCATTCTTTCCAGCCTGGCCACCACCTCTGTGCAAGTGCAGAAGCGGAGTCTAGATGTACTCCACGCATTGGTCAAGCGAGCTGCCAATACCGTGCGTGAGAACATTCTCCGCGCTCGCAGCAACGCGGCCGGTGCCAATGGCAACGACACCTCCAACAATGTCGTCGTGCGCGGCATTCAGCGTGTCGGCTTCCGGGCCGGCATCGAGGTCACCAATATCTTCCTGACGGGCTACATCTTCTTCCTAATCTTCACGGTGGCAGTTGTACTTGGCGTAATCATCTTCAAGCTCGTCTGTGAGTTGCTGGTGAGAATGGGCAAGATGAAGGGCGATACCTTCCAGGACTTTCGCCGAGGCTGGACGACCGTCCTCAAAGGAATCTTATTCCGCATCGTCCTGATTGGCTTTCCGCAGATGTGTGTCCTCTGCTTCTGGGAGTTCACGCAGCGCGACTCCGCCGCAGAGATCGTGCTGGCCATCTGCACGATCTTTGCCATGCTAGCCATCCTAGCCTGGGCGGCGAGTAAGGTCATCCGCTTAGCCCGCCGCAGCATTTCGATGCACAAGAACCCGGCTTACATTCTCTACTCCGACCCGGTTTCGCTGAACAAGTGGGGCTTCCTCTATGTGCAGTTCAAGGCTACGGCATACTACTTCATCGTACCCTTCCTCGTCTACATCCTCATCAAGGGCCTGTTCATCGCACTGGGTCAGGGAAGTGGAGTGGTGCAAGCCATCGCACTCGTCGTCATCGAGGCTGTCTACTTCATTACCCTCTGCGTACTGCGGCCGTACATGGACAGGAAGACGAACGCCTTTAACATCGCTATCAGCGTCATCAACTTCATCAGCGCCATCTTCCTGCTGGTGTTCACGGGAATCTTCAACCAGCCCGTACGTCCCTCCCTTCCTTACCTGTCCTTAACCACAAACACCGACACTAACATATCGCTTAGGGCATTGTAACGGGCGTCATGGGCGTCATCTTCTTCATCTACAACGCCGCCTTCTCCACCATCCTCCTCCTCATCGTCCTCATCGCCTCCATCATCGCCGTCGTCGCCAAGAACCCGGACACGCGCTATCAGCCCATGCGCGACGACCGCGGCAGTTTCATTAAATCACAAACCCACCTCACCACTGAACTCGACGCACTTGGCGCCACGGCCCGAGGCGAAGGGAAGCATGGCTGGGCGCCCAATGGCAAGTCTGGGGCACGGATTGAGGATGAAGAGGATAGCTGGTCCGGGGGCGGGAGTAGTGATCGGACGCAGCAGGTGCATCAGCAGCAGCAGCAGCAGCAGGAGCAGACGGGGTATCATGGCGCTTCGATGAGTGATGCGGAGGGTGGGGATGGGAGGCAGATGCAGGGGTCGGGTTACGGCGGGGATCGGAGAAGTCGGACGAGTGCGTATGGGGATGAGCAGCCGCGGCGGCATCAGGGAGGTGGACCTAGCCCGTGGCACCGTGGCGCTGGGTTCGAGTAGAAAGAAGTTCTCCAGCATGGATAATTGGAGCATGGTGAGGCGTTTTCTTGGCCGTGAACATGGCCCGGGATGTGCGGTAGTCCTGGTTGGCGTAAGGGGTTGAAAAGGCATCTTAAACGGGTGGGGTTACAGCTTGTGCATTAGGTTGGGACGGGCTCCGATTTGGCGAGAGTGCCATGGTAGGCCGGGAATGTCAATTGTTACTATATATCTACGTTAGAGGGTCCGTTGAAGAGAACCAGTCGGAAATGGAACGCGAGAGCGACATCGACCCAAATGATGGCGAACGCGGACCTTTACATGAGTTCGCCATGCACCTGGCCCAACATGTTACCTACCCTCAACTCTGTAAGATGGATGTAACAGCAAACGATTGCTCGGCACTCTGGGATCGTGTGCCCAAGGAGGGCCGCAGCTACAGTCCGTACATCACTGATGATGCTTTCAGAAAGCTAGAGGAGTATCACTGTAATACAGTTGAGGATCGTTATGGCTATAAACCGAAAACGCCTATGCCTGTATCTATGCTCTTGCTACCTTCCCCCAGCAATGGCTTTTCTCATGCCTTTTCTCCAGCAAAGTTCATGGGCTAGACTTCAGCCTGGTCCACCGTGGGTGCCTATCTACTGTGTGTCTTGCTAGCTCTAACATCACCCGCCTGGAGTCTGCACAATCCCCCGACTGCAAAGCGAAGCATAAGCCTTGAAGTGAATTATTCGAGACGGAATGACTGCGTAAGAAGATGGATCTCTCGACTTGCTGACTGTGGATGCGATCTCAACGTCTCCCAAGTGTTAGTGCTTAGGGGTTTGACTTCATAGCACATATGTTTACAACAGGAGGCTAGCTCGAGGCAGCAGCGTTCCGTGCTGCATGTTGTCGCACCCATCATCCTGCGACTGTCGGACAATACCTCAACTTCGGACTTGTTCGGTGTCAGTCTCATCATCAAACTGCTCTATAGGGTGTGCCGTTTTTACAAAACGGAATAGGTGGTGGATTGATGGAGGCATTTACAGCTAGACAGAGTGATGGTTGAGCTCTCTCCAGTATCTTGGTTCCAAATCACCGACAATACGCCCGTGATGCATCTCAAATAGCTCGGCAGCCATGCTTGCCTGCACGACTGAGGCGTGGGCTTGAACGTCCCGCCTCTGCATCGGCCGGTCCGAGGCCATGCTAAGACATTGGATGCAGCTGCAATCTATCTCGCGTGCGTGAGATGGCGCCACTCATAACGGTCGTGCTGGTGCTATCACCTATCTGGCGGCAACGTGCAGACGAAACCCATAGAGTCCAAGCCTTGGCTCAGGAGGGCCGCTCCCGCCGCACCAACAGCTTCGAGAAGGATTAATTATAGTACGGTAGCTGCCCAGTATCGCGTGCTGCAGCATGTTTCATAGCCGCGAGGACAATCGTTCTGTACGTCTTTGATTCCCGCGCGATTGCAGTACGGTTCCCCGTACAAACATGTGTGTATGCTGGTAGACTTATTGCAGTGTCCGTGTCACGCGCTCTAGCCAGAAGGTGCTTATGCATCTTGCCCGAGTGGGTCAAGTCTCGCTTCCTGCGACCACCACGCAAGAGAATCCCTGCTGCCCACGAGGCAGCGCCCCGGCACTTGTCTGCGACCCGTAGCATCCGCCTCGATCACCAACCGGCCGTGCACTCTATAAGCCATGCCACGGAGATGCACTCCATCGGTATCACGAGGCCTGTCGGTCTGCTATTGGTGGGCGTTGTAAAGGATGCGGCCGCCTGCTGCCGAATACTCATCTCACCATAGTTTCTGATACCCAACTTGAGTGAACGATGTCACGTCGTAAGCGAGGCGTTTGCAGCGGTAACGGCTGTCAAAATATCCCTTCGCGCTGGTTGGGGATGATACAGAAGTAAAGCCCACAACGCTGCCGCTTGCGAGTCAGGCTTCAATACCTCGGAGCTCGGATGACTACCAACACTCCCAGCGGTGTGGTACTTCATACCCTTGACGAACGGCAAACGCGGCCTTCTCTGTGCACTCCCAGTACAGTGGAACCGACGTTGCTCGCGAGATGTAGTGTCCTCTTCAGGCTATGACTGCTCGACTCCCGTTGTGTTGGCTTATTTCTTGGACAACGTTATCTGCGATCGTTACTCATACGCCGAAGCCAGCGGTAGAACGTGTAGAAGACGGTCGCACATATAGGAGCAGTAAGTACCCAGTCGAGACACGCATTAGGCCACTGCTAAGTAACCGGAAAATAGGTGGACACAGACGGTCTGATCGAACGTCATGACATCGCTCTCGGCGTTGCTCTCGCAGCAAACTCCACTTCAAACCCGGAAAGCTTTGATTCTGCTGGGACTGCAGAACGACTTCTTGTCACCGAATGGCAAACTCGTGGTCAACGTCGAGTCTGGATTCTTACACCGCCTTGAGGTTCTTGTGCCCGCATTTCGCGAATTTGGCGACATCATCTGGGTTCGCTCGGAATTCGAAGCCAATCGCGAAGTGAACTCTCTGCAGAGTAACGGCGACACTGTCATCGCCGGCTCGTACAATGATCGCGGGAAAGTCGATCGCACCAAGTCTGGATCTAAGCGTCGTGCTTCGGAAGATGCCTCGACGTCGGCAAAACGTATCAAGTCGACCAAGCCCGATGAGGATGAGGAGCTCTTCTTAACCAGGACAAAAAGCCGCGAACCATGTTGCTTGCGAGGCTCGTGGGGCGCAGACTATGCGCCGGACGTCAGCAAACTTATAGACGAACGTCGCGATATGCACCTGGTGAAAACCTACTACTCCGCCTTCGGGTCCACCTCGTTTCTCACCACGCTCCGCTCGAAACTCATTACCGAGCTATACGTCTGCGGCTGCAACACCAATCTGTCGGTGTTCGCGACGGCTATGGATGCGGCACGTTACGGCATCAAGATTACGCTTGTTGAGGACTGCCTCGGCTACCGCAGACAGGAGCGCCACGACGAAGCAATTCGCCAGCTTGTTGACGTGATGGGCGCTGAAGTCATGACTGGTAAGAAGGTCATCGACATACTCAGCAACCCGCCGCTCGTGCATGTTGATGACGACTCTGACGCCCAGGACGACGATGAAGACGATGAGTCGGACAACGAGTCGAACGCAACAAGTGATGCAGGGCAGATTCTTGACAAGCCTGCCCCTCCCACCCTAGATGAGGACGACGATGAAGCTTTGGTCCCGGAGGACGAGCAGGACGAGGCAGCTGCAGTTCAGCTACCAAGCGTACGTCCTCCAAGCTTGCATAATGCGAGCTTAACTTTACGTTATGCTTCTTCGAAGAACGCACGCTCACAAGGAGTAGTCTCGCCCACCAAGCTCAATGAGGACCTTGCCGCTCAGCACGCGCAATCTCCGAATGCTCAACCTTCGGACCCCAAAGCTGCGCTATACGTCAAGCACAACTCAAGCCGCCAAGCTGCCACGAGTAACTTGCGAAGCGTTGCCTCAGACGATGCCCAGCCCGAGGTCGAGCGGCTCACCAGTAACCCAAACATGAGAGACGCCGTAAACGAAGATGGTGTGACAGCGACAGCTGCCCGTACGGTTTCGCAGCACGCAGCCGCGCGTGAGTCATCGCAGAATGTTCGATCAAGTTCTGCCAAGCATGAGAACTCAACAAACGAAGGTGGCTTTGAGAAGGGAAACACGGGGTCATCGTTGGGCAAGGCAGACGACCGTTTCGCACCAAGTCGTGCTGATGTTGGCCATCGAGGCATGGAGCACGAGCACGCCGATGTGCAAGCACACCAAGCCGAGCCAGCGTCATTGCGGAAGACACCGCTGTTCGGAGACGGCAAAGATGTAGAGAGCGCCGGGTCAGTAATATTGTACGATCTACTACCGGCCGACCTTTCAGAGAGCATCTTTGAAGAATTGATAGCCGAAGTGAAGTGGCAGAAGATGCACCATCAGACTGGCGAAGTGCCGCGCCTAGTCTGCTGTCAAGGCTCCGTCGCAGAGGATGGCAGTATGCCTGTCTATCGTCACCCGTCCGACGAGACACTACCGCTGCAGTGCTGGTCGCCTTCCGTGGACAAGGTCCGGAGGGCTGCGGAGGCAGTGGTAGGGCACCCTTTGAACCACGCACTGATACAGCTATATCGCGGAGGCCAAGACTTCATCTCTGAACATAGCGACAAGACGCTAGACATTGCGCGAGGCAGCTGCATCGTGAATGTGTCCTTCGGCGCGCAGCGAACGATGCGGTTGCGCACGAAACGGAGTGCGGGCGGATCAATGTTATTAGACGGATCTCTACCGCCACGCACGACATACCGTGTCCTTATGCCACACAACTCGGTGATAGTAATGACGCTACCCACCAACGCTGAGTACTTGCATGGCATCAATGCCAACAAGCGGCCTGCAGTCGAGTTCACCGAAGCGGAGAAAGCGTACGGCGGGCAGCGAATCAGTCTGACGTTCCGTCAGATTGCCACGTTCCTAACCGCCGATGAACATGGAATATGGGGCCAGGGAGCGACTGGTAAGACTCAAGAGGATGCTAGGCCCGTTATCAACGGTGATGAAACGGAGAGCGAACGCCTCGTGCGTGCCTTTGGGGCGGAGAACCAGGCGAGTACCATTGACTGGGATGCCGTCTATGGCGAGGGGAGCGATGTGCTCCATCTGAGGTCAGGGGCAAGACTCAGCGGCACGTCTAGACAGAGCGCGTAGCATAGTTATCATCTGGAGCTTACCGTTTCATGAACCCTCAACCACGGCTAGCGAAGCTGCGGTCTATGTCCAATATCGCCGAGTGAGTTGCTGCTCGATCGAAGCAACATCATTTCAGAAAAGTCAAGACATGTTGCTCGCTTGATGGATGAGGGGCGTTGCAACTGTACTCAGCACCTGGTTCAAGATCACTCAGCACCTGATTCAAGATCACCCAGCCCCGGGTAGGACTTTGTTTGGCGAACACTGTACCGTGATCCATAAGAGTAAATGCTACAATGGTGTTGGGACGTTGACCTTGAGTCGGACACAGCTGCGAGACGCTTTAGCGCAAAGCATGGCTAGCGGCAAAGAACAATCTAGAATTCATGAATAAGACAGTGAATGCCGTTTTATGGTAAAATAGAATCGTGGATGCAATTAACACTGAGTTCGGCGGCCACAATAATATGCGGGAGTGCTCGTGTGCCATCAATGTAACCGACTGTAGAAGGACGTGATGACCTTCAGCAACCTCCTCAAAGGTCCCAGATCTTGTACCCAATTTCCCGCCCCTTCTTGTACCATTCTTGTACATAAGGCACGGCAACATGCGGTCCGTAGACCTCTTCCTGCCATTGCGGGATTGGTGGTTCGAAGCCCGTCTCCCCCTTGCACGCTTTCACCAACTCCTCCATCGTGCCTCCTCTGTCATATAGCGGAAGCGCCTTCCCTGCCTCGGCCTTCTCGATATCCGCACGGAGAGTTTCCGTGGCTATCTCGTCTACATCCAGGGTATCGGGGTTGACGATGACGCCGTAGTTGGCCTTTGCGCCGGCGATTGTAACGAGCTTCCGCCGAACCTCAAGAGCGACGGTCTCGGCAGGTCGTGTAAGCGGGTCGCCCAACCCTCCGCCACCCCATGTCTGCCACTCTAGTAGATCACTAAAGCATGGTCAGCAGTGGACAGTAAGGTATAAGACGTGCTGGGCGGCTCTTACCCAGGCTTGACCTTCACGTGATCGCACTTGCTGGGAAGCAGCTGTGTTGTGACGCCACCCTTTCCATCCGGCCCGTGAATGGCCTTGGTACTCCTGCTGCCAGGTTTACCACCTCGGACACCCCATGGCTTGGTGAACCATCGATCGTCGTGCAGACTGAACTCGCCAGCTGACAAGAACCGGTAGAGTGTCTTCTGAGCGTTGCCTCCGCGATGGAAGCCTGCCCCACCGCTGTCTGCCACAGCCTCGTTTACTTCCAGGCGGACAGGGAAGTTGAGCTCGATGGACTCAGTTGGGACAGACTTGATCGCTGGGAACAAGCAGTGACAATCTGGTCCGTCTCCCTTCGGTCTGGCCGGTACTCCTCCGAATGCTATCTGGTATAATTGATACCATGAGCCATCTGGCTTGAATCCAGAATAGAAGAAGTGAGGGCTGTCGCTGAAGCCGGCAGCTGTCATAAAGGCCTCGTTCTTTTGACCGAACAGGGCCTGTAGAGGGAGGACAGAAAGGTCAGCTGTGTCTCAGTCGAAGAGAGGGGGGCTCGACTTAGCGCTCTACTTACCTGCATAACGTCCATAACCCTCCCAAGGAAGTGCGTTCGGCACGAAATCGAGGCTGGCCGGACAGGCTTCAGTACTGAGCCGCGAGGGATATCGATATCCAGCAAGTCGTGAAAGCCATCGTTCGGAACAGTGAAGGGTGCATGAACAACAAGAAGGTAGTACCCAACGAACATCTTGAACATCGTCTCCGACAGGTAGAAGTTGATGCTGCTGCTCGCTTGAGGGCTCGTGCCAGACCAATCGAAGCGCAGACGGCCTTTCTCAGGCTTGCTTAGAGTGCACTTGAGGGCGAACGGGCCGTGACCGTGCCCGTCATCGTCGACGAAATCAACAAACGAAGAGGTCTCGTCTGTCATGTGCTCCTCGATGATCTTGCTCACGGCCATCCTTGTGCGCTTGAGCAGGACGTCGGTCGATGCCTAAGACGATGGGTAAAAAGGTCAGTTGTGCCTCACGCGTGGGTAGGGCTACACTTCGCTCAACTTACAGCGTAGACCTCAGGCCCGAAACGTGCGCAGAGCTCGCAGATACGCGTCGCTGCCGTCCGACACGCGGATATCAGCGCCAGCAGATCGGATCGAAGCCACTCGGGCTGCCGTGAGTTCCTGCACATGAGCTCAACGATGGAGCGATTCATCTTGCCCTTCTCGAAGAGCTTCATTGTGGGAATCTGCAAGCCGTCGTCAAAGATCGTCTGGGCGTTGATGCTCATGGAGCCAGGCACTTGACCCTGAACGTCGGTGAAGTGGCCGAAATTAGCGGCCCAACCGACAAGCTTGTGCTCGAAATAGATGGGCAGGAGCACGATAACGTCGTTAAGATGGCTCACGGCGCCTTCGACCTCGTATGTGTCGTTAGTGATGAAGACGTCGCCTTCTTCGATTTCATCTACTTCGCCGCGGGAGAGCTTGTAATTCCAGATCTTCAGAAATTGTCCAATAAAGCTGCCGAACTGTCCTACCAGCATAAGACCTTCAGGGTTAGTGATGACGTTGAACTCGTCTTGTTGTTCGCGAATGGCCGGCGCTGAGTAGAGGGTCAGTAGAGTCTGAGGCCCGATGAAAAGATGGTCTGCTTACACATGGAACATCTAAGCATGAGAGTATCCATCTCTGCTCTGATCGAGGCAAGCGAAGAGCCGATCAATGTCGGCACAGTCGGCAAGTCTTCGACAACCTTCTTCGCCTCAGCAATCTTCTGCTCCGGTGTCTTGTCCGACAGTGTGCTTCCAAAATTACTTCTGAACGTCGGCATCTGATTGTCAGGAGCGGGAGATATGCAGATGTTGCCAACTGCGTCAACGACAGCCTCGAAGCCGGGCTGGATGAGGGTGTTGGAGTCCATCTCGGTGATAACACATGGACCTTGCAGCTTGTAGCCCGCCTTGCTGATGGCTGCACGATCCCAGAAGGTTGCTTCATGCTCCTGGCCTTGCACGACTATGGTCTTCTTCTTAATGATCGCCGATGAGGGAGGTTGCTCGCCGTTTGCAGACGAGATGCGTGGAATCTCAATGTCCGGCGACGCATCCACGATAGTAACTGTTAATCGAGTGAGTTCGAGTGCAAAGTTCTCCAGGGTATAGCTGAACTGCTGCTGGTGGATTTTGTCGAACTTGTTGTGTGCGATCTTTTCGAAGGCTTCCATTGGCTGAGACAAGTCCTCAGCGGTCAAAGTGATGTTGAGCTCAAGTGCCTGGCCCTTATACCTCAACGCAGCTTGGTAGGTTGTGGCAAGCTTCCGCTCCGTCTCCTCGAGGGCATCCTTCATGATCTTTTCGCACCTGTCCTTGAGCGAGCCGAACTCCTCACGGAGTGTCTCCATGGTTGTGGACGACAGCAACTGGATGAAAGAAGCAGAAAGCTCGTGGCTCATCTTTGTCGTGGCATCACCTTGCGCGCAAAGAATACCGGGTGCTGCAGGGATGATCACTGGCCAAGCGCCCAAGAGTTTGCCGACGCCGTTGGCGCACATGGGTCCCGCACCGCCAAAAGCCACCATGGCGAAGTCGGCGGGGTTGTGGCCACGCTCTACGGAAACGAGACGCAGGGCACCATAGATAGCTTCGTTGGCGAGATCAATGATCGCCTCCGCCGCTTCAAACATGGTCTTGCCCATCTGCTCGGCAAGCTTGCTAACTGCCGCTTTTGCGGCATCCACATCAAGCTTGAACTCCCCGCCGAGAAGCGTTTCCGGGAGGTAGCCCAGTACGAGATTGGCGTCAGTGACGGTCGCTTGGGTACCACCACGACCGTAACAAGCTGGGCCAGGACTCGCGCCAGAGGACTCTGGACCCACGCGCAATGTGTTCGTAAGAGGCTGGAAGAATGCAAGACTACCGCCTCCGGCGCCAATAGTCCTCACGTCCACCGAGGGAGATCGCACGGTAATATCTCCGACCACAGTCTCGCGGCGCAAGGATGGCTCAGAGTTGGCGATCAGGGCAACGTCCGTCGATGTGCCGCCCATATCAAGTGTGATGAGGTTCTTGTGCTCTGTTGCGCTTGCAATAATGCTTGTAATGCCTTTGACGCCGCCCGCAGGACCGGACATGAGGATATTAACCGGGAGCTCTCCTGCTAAGCCAAGATCTGTGAGGCCGCCATCACTCTTGAGGATGCGCAGAGTAGACGTGTCTTGCTGTAGCTTCTCGCGCAGTCCATTAAGGTAACGCTTGACTTCTGGCTTAACCACAGAGTTGGTCGAGGCTGTGACTGTTCGCTCGTACTCGCCCAGCTCTGGGAGAACCTCGTGCGATAGAGAAACCTCAACGTCAGGGAGCACTTCCCTAATGACTTCCGCCACCTGCTTCTCGTGTTCGCCAGACACCCAAGAGTTGAGTAAGCTGACTGTCACAGCCTTAACTTTGCCTTTCACAGTAAGCAGCTCTTTCCGCAGAGCATCCTTATCCACAGGCTTGACGATCTCTCCGTCCACACCGATACGTTCAGATACCTGCAAGGTCCTTTCCAGCGGTATAATAGGCGGCGGTGGAGCCCAGTTGATCCAGCTTGCTAAACCGCCAGGGATCTGACTCCGCCTGGCAACCAAAACGTCTTTGTGTCCTTCGGTCACCACAAGAGCTGCTGGTACGCCCTTGCCCTCCAGTAACGCATTCGTGGCAACGGTAGAGCCATGGTGAAGAGCACCAAACTTGCCCTTGAACCCTTCTTCTGCTTCGATAATGGCGCGGACCTTGTCGATACTGTTCTTCACGCCAATGCTTTGATCCTGAGGCGTAGACGGGACTTTGGCGCGAAAGATGCGTCCATTGGGTGAAAATGCGCAAGCGTCTGTGAAAGTGCCGCCCACATCTACGCCCAAGCGGTAGGTATCCGTGATAGAAGTGGTTGGATCCATTGCGGACGCTCAATGGTTGACACGTGGAGGCAATACGGGAGACAGATGAGACGTACTTACCTTCTTGATGACCATCCATTCATCGTGTTGGTCGCGAAGTCGGAGCTCTCCGCCTAGCTCTCACCAGAGCTAGCATCGTCAAAGCCGTCGGGCGAAGTCTCCCGAAGCTGATAGGCATGAGGCGCCTGGTCTTTTGCCGAAGACCTAGCTGCTCAGAAGGTGAAGCGTATGCAGGTACAACTCGCGGCGTAGGCGGTAGTTCTTCGGCCTACAAGGGTAGCACATGGACCAGCGCTCAATTATGGTGGGTTGCATTGCATAGGGTATAGTGTCGGCCGAATACATCGAGAAAGCTTGGTGTAGGCGGGTTTAAGGCGTATGATAATCGTCTTGTTCGCGGCCCTTATCGCTTGCCTGCACGCCTATCTATCGCGCAAGCATTGTTGACACTGCGCGTGCTACAACCATCCATGTGCGGCCGGGCGTCACTCGGACACTGCGTGGTAAGAGATGTAACAGCGACGAGAGAATGGTAAGTGCTGCTGCGATCTCCTTGTTCCTCGCTCCGGCAAAATGTCTATCGTTTCATTGTCAACGGGAGAGCCCACGTGTACGCTCGAAGACCTCAAGGCAATCGCCGGGGCGAACAACTTTGCCATCAAGCCGGGTAGTACCAACGAGACTGCCTTCCTTCTGTTCGCTAACGCCTTCGATGCGACATGTGAGGCGGTCAGCAGTCTGCCGGAGTACTCAGAGCCGCGCCTTCAACCTCAAGCGGTTGAGGGTGGCGAGCGTAAGTACTACAAACCAGATCAAGCCGAGAATCCTCTGAACGCCTGGGCTCATAAGACGACACTCCGGCTGCCAAATGTGAAAGGACCGCTAAGTGGCCGTACCATCGCCGTCAAGGACAATGTGAGCGTGGCTGGTCTGCCAATAGGCCTGGGCTGCTCGCCTAAGCTGCTCAAGGATGGAAAACATCCAACCTCCCCTATTGATGCCACAGTCGTGTCTCGCATACTCGCCGCCGGTGGGACAGTCAAGGGAACAGCGACCTGCGAGAACCTATCTATGTTCGCGTTAAGTTACACATCCGACTCAGGCGTCGTACACAATGCATGGTTGCCAGAGTATGCAACAGGCGGCTCAAGCAGCGGCTGTGGCGCTCTGGTAAGTATTGCGGATGTAGAGCAAGCTAGGAAAGATGGCAAAGATGCCAGAGGCTATCCGCTTGGCGAAGGCGTGGACCTTGCCGTTGGCGGCGATCAAGGAGGCTCCATTCGACTCCCTGCTTCCTACTCTGGCATATACGGTCTAAAACCAACGCACGGCTTGGTACCTTATACGGGCATCGCCGCTCTGAACCCGCTGATCGACCATACCGGACCAATGACGCGGACGGTCGAAGACGCAGCGCTGTTATTGACTGTCATGGCGGGTTGGGATGGCATAGATCCACGCTGTAGTCCTGAAACACCCATGCCCAGCGCGGTACCGGACTATTTGCACGATCTGCAATCATGGATCACCACCAAGGAGAAAGCTGGTGAGTGGACGCCACAAGCAGCGGCAAAGGGTTTAAGGATAGGTATTCTCAAGGAAGCCTTCGAGGTCTTTGGGGTAAGCCGAGCGCATTGTCGTCCATTCAGAACATAGCTGATCCTTTGACTTATCGACCTCAGCTTGATCCAGCTGTCAGCGAGGCGGTCAAGAAGGCCGCAGAACGCTTCTCGTCTCTAGGTGCCGAAGTCAAGGAGGTGTCAATACCAATTCACAAGCACGCCGCTTCTATCTGGACGATCGCGGCGCGGCCGATGATGCCACACAACGTTAACGGCAACCCACCTGACCTTCTATCATATACTATGCCCTACCTACAACCCAACCCAGTCGATCAGACATACTTCGACACGCTAGCGAACCGCAATCCAGCGGCGGTCAATGTACTGATGAACGCAGCACACATGCAACACAAGTACGGTCCGGCTCTGGCTCGCAAGGCGCACATGCATGTATGGGAGCTTAGGGCCGCATATGATAAGGCCTTTGAGGATGTCGATGTGCTACTAACGCCCGTCAATCCTACAGTAGGCCCTAGACATCCATCGGGCAGCGTGAAGTCAGAGCAGAATCCTGACGGCGTCAGCCAGAGGCTTATGGATCTATTCGAGCCCGCAATCGGTGCGTGATCGATGGGCCGTAAGGCCTTCTTTATGTTAGGACATCACTGACGAATAAATTGTGTAGGTAACACCCTCAATACATGTGGCTTCAATGTGACCGGCCATCCAGCTATGAGTATGCCTGTCGGCTGGGGCAAGGTGAAAGATGGCGAAGGACGACTGCCAATTGGCATGCAAGTAGTGGCGAAGAGGTGGAACGAGGCGAGTCTATTCAGAGCAGCGAGATCGTGGGAGGTCGGTGGGAGGTGGATGGACTCATAGGGACGGATCTCCTAAAGGTAATAAACGCAGCTAATATTACCAACGTCCACTACTAGTCTTTGCACAGCGCTAACATGGCCCTCCACCGGCTTGCAAGCTTCGTTCCAACCACCTTATCAAAGCTTTCGTACCTCGCACCGCGCCCGTAGTTTGCAATAGTGTACACTGGACCCAGTTCATCGCCACTTAGTCGTTGCATAGGCTCCCAATCCAGTTGCCCATGGCAGAACTTCAGCCATTGCTCCCGCAATTGTCTCACCGCGCCCGCGTACTCCTCGCGGTGCTTTTCGAGCAAGAGTTTCTCGGTAGGAGCATCGAAGAAGAACATGTCGCTGATAGCGTGATTCGCTTTGCCATATCCAAGGGACCAACCGACGTAAGGACTGGTAGCTTGGAACTCGTACAAGAAGACTTTCTGGCCTGGAGCGGGATTCAGGCAGGTTTGGTAAACTGGAATGCGGAAGATGAGCTCCGAAAGAAGCTCGGCGCAAGTTTCTAGATGAGCGGACGGATGTTGAAGCGCCTTTTCAGCGTCATAATGTTTGAGGGCGTCTGGACTGAGGAAGACACTCGGGTCGGCGGTGAGTGAGCTTCTGACCACAGTGGTGCGTACCATTCCCCGCAACTCATCGTCGTCAGGAGGAGAGATGCTACCCAACATAGCGAGCATCACGTCGTCCTGGAAAGTAGTAAGCCTTCGACAACTCCTGGTCAGTCATTACGATATTATCTTACCTCGAACTCACAGCACCCGATCATGTACTCCGGAGGGTGGCCCTCAATAGGGCATTCATGAATTGTCCGTCCTTTCAGCCAGTCTCCGTCAATCACGGGATTCCAGAGTCCGCTCAGGTGCTGGTTCACTAGGTCATCGACGGGTACTTCGCGTAAAGACCGCAGGCTGTCCTCGCCTTTGGTGAATGATCCTGCAAATTTGTCGTATATCGCCTGGTGATGGGTGATTGGCAAAGGACCGATGCCGACAGCGGTGCCGCTTGAGATGATGGCTCGCTTAAATTTGCGATCACGGAAGAGGGACTGAAGATGGCACGAAGCGCCTCCCGCACTGCCGCCCATAATGGTAATGTTGTTGGGGTCTCCGCCAAACCCGGAGATGAACTGCGCAACCCACAGCAAAGCTTGACGTTGGTCGTGGAGGCCATAGTTGCCCACAATCTCGCCGTTGCTTCGGTTGAAAGCAGCAAGCTCGCGCGACGCAAGGAATCCCAGTGGTCCGACACGGTAGTTGATGGTTACGACAACCACTGGCTTGCCCGTCGCAGCACCTACCCGAACGACATTCCGAGGATCGTAGATCTCCCGGTCGGCGATCTGGATGCTGGAGCTGCCGCCTGGTTTGTGTTGATTAGGGCCGTCAGCGATGCTTATACCCGTATGAAGATTTCAAGCGTTCAATTACCGGCAAAACCCCCACCATGTATGAAGAAGAGCACTGGCAGCGGTGTCTGGTTCTTCACAGACGTAGTGAGAGTGGTTACATTCAAGTTCAGACAGCGCAGCTCGTCCATCTCAGGCTTGGTAATTGATATTTCGTCCTTGCCGAGAGGACCCGTCCAGAACTCCGGAAAAGGCAGCTTTCGCTGTGGGCAGACATAGCTACGTCTCATCAGCTAGGATTGAGAGTTCACCACTGATCTACCAACCCAGGTGAGATAGCATCGAAGGGCTGCTGTGGCAGAGACGACTTCCTAATAGCCTGTCGAAACCGCCCGGGGATGTCTGCGTAAGGGATGCCACGGAACTGTACGATGTCCTCGCCGCGATCAACTCCATTGATGGATCCGAGGGCTGGATGAGCAAGTGTATACATCTTCACAGTTGACCGACGCTTCAAAGCTACAAAGGCTGACAGATACCTTGGGAGGTGCTTTCACAGTCTAGTCGTATTTGTACACTAGCCGAACGAAAGCTCATCATGGCTTGCTCTATCACTATGCCGGGTTTGGTGCCGCCATATTGTTGCCAACCTTCAGTAGTAGCCGACATGAAGTTGCCAGAAGTCGCTAAAACGGCTCGTAGGTTCACCAGCGAATCGGAAGCGAGTCGGGATCGAATCGGAAGGTGCTCGGAGCGGCACTCATGTGGCGTTAGCATGAACGAGACATTCTGCACCGTGCAGCCATGCATGATCTTCCCCACATGCACACACTCCTCCGCATTGCTCCCCAGAACTCGTGAGGAGGCCCGAGGGGCCTGGGCAATTTGCTATGGCTAGCCTAGAGTTCCGAGAAAGCACTATGGCTTCCAAGCTAGTCGCGTGGCACATTCATTGTCCAGCTTTCTGACTGCCGAGCATGGCATATATAACAATGCATCTGCGCCCGTCTCAGAGCTCATCGCATCCAGCATCTTCCCAATCCGACTGTCTCTAGACATCGTTCACCATGGCGACTTCAGCGGGCACCGTGCTGTTTACGCTTAAGCACAACTATCCTCTCGCCTTGACAGGTTCGAATTATCCTCATTGCGCAGACGATTGCGGACTAACTATCTGATAGCCCTCGTCTTGGCCATGACTTTGTTTACGTTCGGTTATGATGGCACGGTGATCTCAGGACTCTTGGCCATGGTACCGTTCGGTCAGCAATTTGGCAGCCAGAAACTCCCGGACGGTAGCAGGGTGCTCACGGCTACGGATGTTGCTCTATACGTTGCTGTACCGAACTCTGGCTGCCTTCTCGGCCTTCCGGCTGCTGTGTTTCTCGGTAACAGGATTGGACGGAAGAAGACGCTGCTCATTGCGGCATTCGTAAACGCCGCCAGTGCTGCTGTTCACACTGCCGCGCCTAATATTGCAGCACTGGTGGTTGCCCGCTGGATACAAAGTGAGTGAGACTTGACGGGCCCTGAGTTCGATAGATACTGACGATAGCAAGCCGCCTCTATCCTTATGTTCATCGTGATGTCCAGCGCCCTCCTAGCGGAAATTAGCCCTTCCGAAATCCGAGGCATCCTCACGGGCCTCTCGATTGTCCTTATCGACGCTGCGGCGATCGTGGCCCAGGGCGTGAACTACGCTTTCAGCAAGGTCATGGCTCAGTACGCCTTCCGTGTGCCTCTGGGAATCACTGTCGCCATCGCAGTACTGCTCTTCGGTGCCTTGCTTTTCATTGATGACAGCCCTACACACTACCTATCAAAGGGTAACGAAGAGCAAGCCTGGCGGAGTCTGCGACGGATCCGGAGAGGTTACACCGAGGCCGACTTGACCGTTGAAATGGCCTCGCTCAAACATCAGGCGGTGCTGGTCGAAACTGAGACTCAGATGTCCCGGAAGGAACTCTTTAAAGGCACGAACCGACGACGGACGTTCATCGCACTTGCAGTGGCCAACATGCAGCAGCTCTCAGGTATAGCGTTTGCCACCAACTACGTGACAGTCTTCCTGAGCACCATCGGCGGAGACGTCAGTGCGTTCACTCTTGCAATGGTCGTCGCCGTGCTGGCCTTCGCTGGAGCCGTTGCCGGCCTGTTCATCGTCGACCGCGTAGGCCGCCGCTTTCTCGCACTGAGTTCATTCAGCATACTCTTCGTTATCAATCTCGTCGTTGGAATCATGGGCTTTCTCCCACTCACCAACCCTGCGGTGCCTCGGACTATCGCTGCCTTCTGCTGCATGTTCGCTTTCTTTTTCGCGGCAGGGTTCGGCCCTCTCACTTACATATTGAGTGCGGAAGTACCTACGGCTCGGCTTAAAAACGCTAGCAGTGCGTTCTGCTTCTTCTGCGTGGCTTGCTTCGCCACGGTGGTGGTGTACTGTCTCCCTTACATCGCCGATGCTGGCTAGTAAGTGCATCATCTCTCATGACAGGATGAGCATCCAGTTGACATTACCTAGCGGCAACCTCGGCGCAAAGACCTATCTCATCTTTGCGGCCTGGATGTTGGGATGCATTGTTGTGACATTCTTTTGCATTCCCGAGACCAAGGGCCGCACTCCGGCAGAACTAGATGAGATGTTCGCCATAAAGCTGCCCGCTCGTAAATTCAAAGGTATGTTCGCAGACTCTGCACTGGCCAGTCGTGAGCAATCACTAATGTGCTGCTAGATTACGTCTCTCCTGTGGCGATTGAGAACATCGCAAGCGAGCTGAAGACTGGGGTGCAAATTGAGACGACCGAACATGTGTGATCTCTAGATCATTTGCAACCTTGACAGGTAATTGCAGTCATTCCAAGCAGTCCATAGACCGAGCAAAGGTATCACTTGGTTTCGTCGCTCGATCTTGTACACAATCACCAAAGTCGTTCTCAATGCTCGGACTACCGTCAAACTTCATTTTCAGTACCTAGGTAGGCACCTTTCTGTGCAGTAATATGTGATTTTTCGATCGATGCAGCCGCTGCGCACAGGGCATCCTCCAACCCAGTTCTCATCTCAGAAGCTATACCATCTTTAACTCAACATGCAACAGCGCAGCTGCTAGTCGGCACATTAAAGCGTCCAACATCTTCCCATTTCTTTGTTGGATGGCTTCAACGCGCATTCTTTAAGACGTGTTGAAGGTCACTATGCCTCCAAACCTCCAAGTATACTGGAGGAATGGCTTCGGCGAAGGTCAAGCTTGCGTGTGAGCCATGTAGATACCGAAAACTGAAGGTCTGCATCCGTTGTATAACCTGTATTCCACCATGGGGACTAAGCAGCTGGGCAGTGTGATGGCGGACGCCCATGCCTTCGTTGCACGGGCATGCAGTTCCAATGTCGATATGACAGCGAAAGACGCGCGAGGACTACCGCACGCGGCAGGTTGGTTATCAAATGACAGTGTGCTTTACCACAGAATGAGCTAACCAGGACACAGGCGCATCAGTGCGTTGCGCCTCCGGGGCGAGCTCAGCGAACGTTCCCTGGAGCCAGTTCCAGCAGCTCTGGCTGTGGGCTCAGAAAGCGCCATTAATATCGTCGATGGATGCACTTCAGCCCAGTCGCCACCCTCGGCCACGTTTGAACCTTATTCAACCAGGAATTACGGTCCAGATAGGCTACCTGATACGCAATCCCAAAACCTGCTCCGTTACCCGCATGGCGACGTGTCTCCGTCTATACTGTGGACTACCGCTTCGCCTCAGTCCCCTTCCACAAGCAACGGAGCTGGTTCCGGCACAAGTCCAGGACTGACGACAAGTCCTCCCAAACGCAGCGACCGTTCTTCAGACCCAGCCTTTGCGGTCACTGATCATGGCTTGCCTCACTGGCCACCGAATCTCAAAGATGACGAAATCCTACAATACATAGATATCTTCTTCGACAGGCTATACTCCACCCTACCCGTCGTGGATCGGCACGACTTCCAGAGGAAGGTGATGCTACAAAGATACCTGCATGACTCCTCCTTCGCAGCATTGGTACTGTCCATGTGTGCTTTTGCTCTACTGCAGCCTGTGTATCATCAAGAGTACGAGTCGATGGACAGGCGACAGAGTGTCGCAAAAGACATGCTTCAAGCAGCTAATACAATGCGCTCAAGCTTTGACTTTGGTGAGAACATGACACTGGAGACTGTATTGACGAGCTTCTTCATGTTCGCGGCACTGTTTGGACTTAACCTCCAGAAAGCGGCGCTGCTTCGTCTTCGAGAGGCTGCGGAAGTGGGCAAGCTGCTGGGACTGCATCGACCAGATAACTATGCGCCCCTCGGCTTCGATGAGAAAAGTAGACGCTTGAGATTGTTCTACATCTTGGCTGTGACCGAACGGTGATGCATCTCGTCTCCTTGCGCAAGGGAATGTGCGCTGATAGATTTCCAGGGGCTTTGCGCTCCAGCGCAATCACAGTTCAACATTTTCGAGACAACACATACGCACAATGTCCCCTGTTTTGGAAGAGCTACAAGCCAAGGCCAGTCAACGTTCCGAAGCGATTATTGTACATGATCAACGGTCGGCCCCGGCTATGCACGGCTTGCTTCAACTGATAGCACTTTTTGAATCTGTGGACGCAGAGATTGTACCATGTTTCAATAGGAGTTGCACTCCACGAAATCAACGGTGTATGCAGCTCACCACGGCCGTTGCGATCAAGACATACGATGCTATCAAGGGTGTCATAGGCCGTCCCGCAGACCGGCGCGAAGGGCAACCTGTATGCTCACCGCGCGTCAACCTTGATATAACCTACACCACCCAAGCGTCCTCGGAGCTCAGCACGTCTCAATACGCCGACTGCTTCACACTCCAGCAGTGGCTTCTCATCAGGCTCTGGGTAGCCTGTCTTGCGCACGACCTTCTTTCGGCGGACGAGTCATGTCTGGTTCTATCACCAACCTTTCCCGTAGCTATTGCGTGGGATGTGTGGAGCAAATGTAATGCTCTTGGTGAAGCCGTATTGGAGGTTCACGGTCTCGGCATGGTGTGTTAACCCTCGAAACATGCAACAAGACTGGGCTACGTATACTGACGGCTTGTAGATTGAGCGCATTCACGACGTCGCAATGGGCGTCGTGTTGACCTTGCAGTCGCATTCAGAGACCCGCAGTCTTGTGCCATGGGACTACGGTTGCCAGGTGGTCGAACAGTATCTGGGTTTGCTAGCGCGTCTACGTAATGGCCAGCACCCTTTCCATGCGGCTCTGCAGAACGCCTTCGACTCGGTCCGTTGACATGCGCCTACCGAACATGCGCGGAGGAAGCTGCAGAGCAGTAGCAGCCAACGCGCAGACAGACAATGTCGTGGCTTCCCACCGCTACCGTAAACTCACACGCCTGTCGAATGTCTGTATCTCCTTCATTCACTGCCATGGGAACTAGGTACCATAAAGCGCCGGCACCAGGTCATCCTGGCCGCTGCATTCTGACCTCTACTGACAAGAGTCACTAAACGCCCTTATTGGGATATGCGCTTACAACCGGACGGGAACATACAATCGCATCAGTGCTGGTCACGCTGCAAATGGAATGCGTTCCGTCAGGTCGACAATCATGCTTATAGGAGACGGCGTATGCAGTGGACATGGAGGCTCGACATGTACGGGAAGCTGACTGTTGCGGAACACGACTCGGCTGAACGAAAAGGGCGCAGATGCGCGCGGGACAGACCGCGCTAGATCAACCGAGCCCTCCGAGCGCCTTCCGATTGGAATGGCGCCGACCCCACACCAAACTGGTACGTGTGGGCTACTTGCGCCTGCACAGATTTGGTGAAGGCTTTACTGCTAAACCCACGTCCAGATGGATGCACTGGATGTGCCCAGACTCGTAGCGTGACCATGTCGGGTTCTGAAGATGGCGCGCATTTGGGCACGGCATTTGCTAAATGGTGTATGTGCCATGTTTTACAATCGTAACCGAAGATGCTTCAGTTCTCACCTGGTCGGCAATGCAGCGACAATACTCACGTTTGCAGCAGGAGCGGTCAAGGTAGAGACCAACTCCCACTATGTCGGTTCTTCAAGCAGCAACAACTGTATCGCATTGCCCGGATGCCAAACCAGACGTCTTGATCAAGGTCACCAGCGTTGAGATCAACGCAAACGAGCCTGTGGCGTTTACGAGATGGCGACCTATGTTCCATGTCATCGCTCCTCATGGATGGATGAACGACCCTTGTGCTCCCGGATATGATTCCAAACGCTGTATTTACCAAGTCAACTTCCAATGGAATCCTTATGGCACCACCTGGGGTAACATGTCATGGGGCTCAGCAACCTCAAAGGACTTGATCAAGTGGCAAGTGTCACCGACGCCCGCTGTTCAACCAACCGAGTCGATGGACGTCTGTGGGGTCTTCACAGGGTGTCTAGCGCCTACTTCTATCAGTGACGGACAACAAGCCATAGCATACTACACATCCGCGAATCATCTCCCTATCCACTATACCCGCAAATACCACCGCGGGTCGGAGAGGCTGCACATCGCCACATCGAGCAACGGAGGGCGAATATGGAAGCGACCGGTCGACAAGTCTGCAGTCGTTCTGTGTGGCCCACCAAGAAATCTAGAGGTTACTGGATGGCGAGATCCATTCGTCGCAGAGTGGCCTTCTATGGACAGCGTACTAGAATCTAAACAGTCGCTGTATGGTATCGTGTCCGGCGGCTTGCGAAACCAGACCCCAACACTGTTCCTGTATCGCATTGACTCGATGCTGCGATGGGACTTTTTGGGCTGTCTTTGCACGCTTGGCCTAAACTACACTCCTTCAAGGTGGTCTGGCGATTATGGCGTCAACTGGGAGGTTGCGAACTTCGTGCCGTTACCAGACGCTGGAGCCCAAGCCCAAGCTCTCATCATCGTTAGCGTCGAAGGTCGCCTTTCTGACGCCCAAGTTAATACTCCTGCCGAGCCGAAAAGCATGTGGATGGTAGGTGATCTGGCTAAGAGTGACCATGGCGCAGATCTGACCTTCAGCTACGGTGGCACGCTCGATCATGGCTCCTTCTACGCCGCTAACGGCTTCTTTGATCCTCTGATTGGTAAGTACGTGATCTTCGGCTGGATCACGGAAAGCGAGCTGGATCAAGATTTGGTTGACGCGCAGGGCTGGAGCGGATGTCTTTCCGTTGCACGAGTCGTAGAGATCGTGAGGTACCACTCGGTCGTTCGCGCGCTGAGGTCGGACTTGCAAAGCATGACGTGCTTACAGGTCGAAGCTGATGGAAGTGGCACTCACATTGTGCGGACGTTAGGAATCTCTGTGGACGAACGCTTGCGCCATTTAAGAGGCCGCCATGTCGGAAGCCGGGCTGTCAATCGGTTGGTGTCATTTCCCGGTGGTGTCTGCTCGCAATGGGAGGTGAAGGCTTCCTTTTGGCTTGGTGCAAGGTCGAAACGCGTCGGAATTGACATACTTCACTCATCCAGTGGGTCAGATTACTCAGGTCGCACACGCAAGATGCTAACATGCGTAGACTCTAACGCCAAAAGTTCCATCTACTTCGATGCTGAGACCGAGACGGTGGGCATCGACCGCTCTGCGTCCACCTCGCGCGATGGCGTTGGGACTAAGCTTCGAACAGCACCACATACGCTGTTCGCTTTCCGGGCTGGAGAGAACGTCAGGTGGGAGACACTCGAGATCCATGCAGTCTTCGACGCGAGCGTGCTCGAGGTCTTCTTCAACAACCGGACCGTACTCACTGCAAGGGTATATTCCGACTCCGGTACTTGCGCTACTCTCTGTCCTGTGATGGACGACTCTCTGGGAAACGCTACTCGCTACGGAGGAGAGTCGTCGTCAGAATTGCTTTCGTTTGATGTATGGACGCTCCGGCAGGCAGTGCACGTAGAGCAGACACATAGACTTTAGAAGCCTCCCAATTCGCAGTCAGCTTGAAACGCTCCAACATCTCTCTACATTCCGGTGTGTTCATCGCAAAGACATGCCGCTCTGCTCTCCAACCATCTGCAAAGCCGAGCGGAAAGCTCCTCGTGGACGTGCTGGCAGGCTACATTCAGTGCCTGCCGAAGGAAGTGCAACAGATTCGAAGCCATGAGGTTGAATACCCTTGTTCGCGCTGTAGACGCTGCAAGGTATAGTGAATGCCACAACAACATCAAGGCCAAGCAACCCAGCCGAGTCAGCACTAGGCGAGCGTATACTAATGAAAGGCCCATTCTCCATACCCAGTCCTGTCCTCCAAAGCAGGTCAAACTCATCGTTCATCATCCTGTCCGCCTTCCCCCCTGCCCTCGGCAAGCCCACTTCCGCGATCACGACCCTCAGATCTCAATATCAATCCCCAGATCCATACTCCCAATAACCTCATCGTCCAACGCCTTCTTCCGAATCGCCCCCAACAAACCACCACCACTCTTCTCCCTCTTCACACCCCCATTCACCGGCGTTCCCGTACGACTACGTCGACTCGGCGCCGGACTGGCCGCCCTCGAAACATCGCTGCCGAACAGATCGTCCATCTCGCCTTTGGGGACAGCAAGAAGCAGCTTAGCCTTCTCCTCTGCCTCCTTCTTCGCCTTGGCTTCCTTCGCCTCGGCCGCAGCCTTCTCGCGCGCAGCCTGCAACTTCCGCCGCTCTTCGATAAGCGCCTTGCGCACTTCCTCAGTCGTCTTGCTGCGGTTCTTCATATTGATCTGCGCGAGGCGATCCTGTTGCGACATCGGCGCATTGTTCTTCTTCGGGCTGGGCTTGACGGTGCCGTTGGCGTTGCCGTGCCCGTTGGTCATACTCTGCGTCGCGTTCTCCAGCGCGGCGACCTCGGCATCGCAACGTGCAACTTCCTCCGAATCGCCATCTTGCTCAGCTTTGAGTCTCCGCTGCTTGATCTTCTCGAGTTTGATGACGGCGGCGTTGGCAGGATCAAGCTTCTTCTCCATGGCGCGCTGGTTTGCGAGTTTCTGCGTAATGCGCTCGTCCGTCCAATCCATGTTCAGCAGACCGTGAATGGCGTCAAGGCGGGCACTGAGGTGCTTCTTCAGTGGAGTGCGGATGTTGTCCTTCTTGAGGGTGTCAATGTAGCGGTCGTATTCCTGGTCGGTGAAGTGGCTGTCGCTGCAGGCGGAGAACGGCCAAGGTTTCTCCGCGGCGCCATGGGCGACAACTGCGTAGACGTCGGTGTTGAAGTGCTTGCCGTTGGGGGCTTCCATTTGGTAGGGTTTGCCTTCCGTAAAGCCTACGATCTGATTAGCCCGCTGGCTGTACATTGTTAGGCGCTGCATGTATGACTGTACCTTTGATCTGCGTCATGCGGTACGTGTTCTGACCGGTATGCCTGTCCAAGCCAATGCTGACACGCGCATAGCATCCCTTGACGGCATCCTCGAAGCCTGGATAAAAGCACACCTTGGCGAAAGCGGTACGACCGATGCGGCACCGGTCGAAGTCCTTCTTTTCGGCCAGTGGCTCGTCGCGACGACGACTGTCATAAGGCTCAGCGAACTCGACTTCTTCCTCCTCGCCCTCAGCATCGCGCTCCGAAGCTCCCGAAGGCGAACGCCGCTCATCACGTCTGCTGCTGCGCTCCGCTTCAAGTCTGCCACGCTCTGTGCCCTTAAGTTCGCGGGCTCGCTTGTAGTCGTCAAGTGCAGTCTTGGTCTTCTCGGCCTTGGGTCGGGTTCTGCGGCCACCGTCTTCGAGCTCGGCGGTGGCTGCTGATCGCTTCCTGTGCTTGCTGGCTGCGGCCTTAGTTGCTGCGAGTGCTTTCTTGAGTTGCAGGTCTTGTTGGCGCTTAACGAGCTGCTGGGCGCGGTCCGCTAGAACTTCTTCGCGTTCGACTTCGGTCATGGCCAGGATGTCGGACTTGTCCTGGGCGGAGAGGTACTTTCCCTCGAGTGGGAAGAGCGGCGCATCATCGTCGACTTGCGAGCTCGGGGCGTCCATTTCGCCGTCCGATTCGTCCATGGCTTGAGAGGCGAGTGAGGCTGCCGGAGAGGGTGAGCTGTGGTAGTAAGTGTTAGCCATCACTCGATGTGGTTGTGGTGGTGAATGCATGATGAAGCCTCGAAGATACACCGGAATAATGAACGGCGATGTGCTCAGGCGCCAAGACTCTACTATTAACAATCATGTGGCGCGGATGACTTACCCAAGGTCGTCTTCTTCCTCACTCTCCTGCTTTCGAGCCCGCTTTCTACGGCCCTTGACCTTCTGCGCTATGCCCTTGGTGCGCTTGTTCGCATCTTCGACCTTCTCCACGCTCTGCTTGGCTTCCTGGCTGGGCGAGCGCTCGTCGTACGCCTGCGTCTGGTTGACTTCTCCTTCGCCCTCGTCGTCAGACTCTCCGCCCACCATGCCGAGCAGCTCCGCGTCAAGCTCGTTGTCAGACATGTTTGCGTTGTTCAAGTATGTTCCCAAACCGAATGGTAGGTGATGAGGTACGAAGAGGTACTATCGTGTCTGGCGCGGGATCGAGGGCGTCTCTTTATCCTCGGTAAATGTTGCAACTATGCGTAAATGTCGTGGAGATATTATGATGTTCTCAGTAAATCTGGTCAAGCGATGCTTTTGGGGATTGTGAATTGTGTATGACTCGGGCAATGGTGACAACAGTATCCAGATCGGCGACTTTGGAAGGATCCTGAAGGGCTATCGAGGGGATTAAGTAGTGGGAGGGAGAGTAGTGAGCTTGACATACGCCCGTCTCAGGGTTCGTGAGCGCGCCGAGGCGCTATCCGTCCGAGCTGGTCGGTGCCGCTATGCCGCATTTGGACGCCACTGACGATGCGATATGAAACGTTTGGCCGAGCATTGACAAGCCATCCGCATTCATACTCTGTTGACAACAGACCATAACGACTGGTAGACATCGTGATCATGAGTGTATGGGGACGGCAACTGCTCGGTTCGCCGACACTACCATTGAAGGCATCTCTATCGCCACTAGCCTTTCAACTCCGCGCCCGCACCAGCCAAAATGCCATCCAAAGGCGAAGCATGATCCAATCTGCCGCCTCGCCAGCGACCGAACCAAAGCCCGAAAGCCTCCATCAACCCCAACCAGCCCGGAGGAAGCCTCTCACAGCGGCACAGAAGGACTTCCTTGACCGCGCCCTCCGCGTCAATCACGCCGGCGAGCTTGCCGCAACCCTCATCTATACCGCCCAGTCTCCTCCTATCAACAAAGCTCACCCTCACCTAAGACCTCTAATGAAGCACATGTACGACCAGGAAGCCGGCCACTTCGCCACCTTCTCCCACCTCCTCGCTCGCCACCGCATCCGCCCCACAGCCATGTACCCCATCTGGTCCGCCGCCGCCACCTTCCTCGGCTGGTCCACCGGCGTAATGGGAAGGGAGGCGGCGATGGCGTGTACGGAGGCGGTGGAGACGGAGATTGGGGAGCATTATAACGGGCAAGTGAGGGAATTTTTGGGATGGGTGAAGGAGATGGAGGAGAGAGGCGAGGAGGTCGGAGAAGAGTTGAGGACGTTGGTGGAGGATGTGAGGAGGATTCGGGATGAAGAGTTGGAGCATTTGGATCATGCGGTCGAGAATGATGCCAAGGAGGCGAATCCGTATGAGCTTTTGACGGGCGTGATCAGGGTTGGATGTAGAGGGGCGATTTGGGTTACTGAGAGGGTGTGAGCGGGATGCGATGGGTCGGTGAACGACGGAGAGAGCGTGCGGTACAGTCTTACACCACTCTGGTTCGCTTCTATTACGCTCACAGGGCTTCCATACACCCCCTTGCGCTGCACGCAGATTGCCCGGAAGCGCCGTAGGAACGTCGGTTTGAAGACTATCGGCAGGCGATGTTGGCCCAAATGCGCGCTTGCCACTCGAGGCGCAGAGTTGTCCGCAGGCCATGGATTCGATGTGGACTGGGACCAGCCAGCCCTTCGGAAGGCGCTTCCACTTGCCACAGACAGCGCCTCAGCGTGGAGCCGCAAGCTTTCTTTGCTGCCTTAACACAAGCATTACGTTCGCCATACGTGGTCTCATTCAACCAAGGTGACTACGTGCAGTGCGCCACACCGCCAGATGTTGCGAGCTGTCGTAGAAGAGGAGCTGGGAAGTCCTTGACTGCATGTAGGGACCTGCATGCTACACGGACCCGTCTCCAATTACGAGACCGGAAAGCTGGCGTTGGGCAAGCACACCTGTGCGCAATTAGAGAGTTCGTCTTCTAAGTACGCCACGCCGCTCCTGCGATGCCCAAAGACGCACGAAGGCATTGCAATGAGCGTGGATGTCCAACTGTTCTTATCATTGGGCGTCGTATGTGGTGGAGTGCGAAATCGAACGCTGGAAAGCGCGGGCCACACAAGCTCCACGTGCCATCACAGGGCAGTGGGAACACGGATGTAAGCTAGACTTCACATCAGTAATATCAATACCACCTGAAGCAACAATGGACAATAGGTAGATCTGGTATTCACTGTAGGTCGGTAACATTGCAAGCATCCCAATTCTTCTACTCGCTCTTACCTTCGCTTTCACTTTCCAACACTCTCCTTTGCAACTTCTTAGGACCAACAAAACCAACTTTCCTTAAACTCGTAGACAGCAGAAGACACCTTCATACGGCTCTGACTCGGGCTCTACAAGATGAAGCCAAACAAGCGCAAGATTAGCGACACAACATCGCCCTCCGATGATACCGTGCTTACATCTTCATCACCGCCATCAGCAAGCAAGCGACCCAAGCGTAACACGCCACTCAACCGAAAAGGCTCCGCTCCGTCGTCATCATCGCCGCCGAAGCCAGCTAATGGTAAGAAGGCCGTTGCGGGAGACGCACCGGCAGTACCTGTATCAACTCGCCGGTCGAAGCGGAACACGCCTATGGTCGGCAAGGAAGCTGAAGACGAAGCCACTGCCTCATCGCCACCATCGTCCACATCACCGCCTGAACCGGAGCTTCCCACGAGCGCAAACGAACCAGAGACCTTCACAGGAGCGACAGACGCACCACCGCCTGCACCTGCACCGGAGAGGAAGAAAGCCAAACGTAAGCTCCCGCCACCACCGATGGGCATCGACACCGCCAAGATCATTAAGGACGATCTGAAAGACATGCATTTCAGTGATCAGCTTGTCCGCGGGATAGCGGGCAAGAAAGAACGTCGAGATTCGTACGGACACTTACTCAAGCCGCCCGGCGGCGCCGAAGACGAGAATGGACGGGCGAAGAGGGTCAAGAAGAATGGCGGGTTCGGAGCAAAGTACGAGCATCTGTACCTTGGCAAGGAGTCTTCGAGTCAGTACTAAGCCCATCCTCGACCTCGTGCAGGCCCTTTTGCTAACCGTATTGGTGTGTAGACTGGGTCCTCTTCGATCCCACCCGTGGCTACCCAAACTTCAACGACCCGTTCCTCGCAGAACACCCACTCTCACCTCCGCCGATCCTCAGGCAGCTCGAGCGCTTCAAGGCGGGGAATAAGCGCGTCGTGGAGTATGACCTGGTCAGCCGTGCTTTGCGGGTGAAGCGTGCACCGAAGATCCTGCGCAAACAGCACCGGGAGGTGCAGTATACGGACGTCGGACCACAGATCGTGGAGTACGCTGAGAAGAAGCTGGCGGGCGATGGGAAGAGGCGGAAGGTCAGTAATGAGGATACAGCTGAGGCTGGGGTGGGCGTTGAGACCGAGGCTAAGGCTAAAGTCGAGGTCAAGGCTGCTATGGATGGGAAGGGGAAGGGGAAGGCCAAGGTGGCAGAGGGCAATGCACAGGATGCCGGAGAGGCGGAAGAGCTGAGTCAAGTCGACGAATGACGTTTCCTATTGGGGTTGGTATGGTCAGATGGATGCTTTGTATGGCTGTAGCAGTCATTCGAGGGCTACTGAGCGAACTGTTCAAACTTGCAGCTCTCGCGCATCTGCGTATATCGCGGCTCGGCAGTGCAATCACATCGTCGCTCCCTTGCATTGCTGATGGTGGTATTTGGAAGTCCACTCCGAGTAATTAAGCAAGACGCTTTTACGGTCAAGACTCGCCGTCGATCAGCTCTTCTATCTCCTGCACGTATAGCTCCGCGTCTAAACCGGCCTCCCACGCCTCCCGTTCCGGATCATACACATTCAGCTTTCTCATCCCATTAGCGGCCTCAATAGCTGAGTCCGCTTGCAGCTCGTCTTGGTGCAGAAGCTGACGCTCGAGCCTGCTGACCACGAAGTCCGCAGCGTCATCGTCACCCATGCTCTTCGCACTTCCTGCCTGCTCTCCCAATGCATCGCTTTTCCACAGTCCATTACGCTGGCAAAAGGCTAAGAAATTGCGCCAGTACTCATCCTGCCTTAACACAATTGGGTTGCCAATAACAATCAAACCCTCTTTAGCCCTCGTCAACGCAACATTGAACCGCTTTGGCTCGCGTATCACCCCCAAACCCTTCGCCAGATCTTGTTCAATGAAGCGATCTCTCGTCCTCGTTGTGCATATGATGACGAGCCTCGACTCCAGGCCCTGAAACGCCTCGAGCGGTCCTATACTGACGCCGTGCATCCTGAACCTTGCGCCGCGAGCGACGCGGCGGATGAGCTTGACTTGAGCGCGGAAGGGACTCATGATGCATATGTCTCTCGGCTCTATCAGACCGGATTGGAGGAAGGAGTAGGCGAACTGACAAGCCATATTGGCCTCAGCTCTATTGTACCATCCTCCTCCGTCGCCTTCGATGTCATCGGCGCCAGTGTTGCAGGCAAATAGTACGGGCCAGCCGCGCCCTTCCCAGCTGTTCCACGAGAGTAGGCGATCGGTGTCGGTAGCTTCTGGCTCGAGAGTGTCATGATAAAATAGCGAGGAGGGTGTGGCGAGGATGGCTGGGTGGGAACGATAGTTTCTGATTAGATTGGCGAATGGTGCGCGCACTATTGGGAGCATCTGTTGCGTTAGGGGCCGCATAACACCGCCCGTCTGCTTTGATCGCGCGAGTGGGTGATCTCGGTACAGCGGCCGTGCCAGTAGGCGCTCGAAGAGCGACGTTTGCAAAGCTGGAATCTTTGACGCCGTACGTGGGCCGAGCTGGTTCTGATCTCCAGCCATCACCACCAGCGGTAACGGTAGGTTGGTCTGCTCGTACCCTTCAGGCGGTGCAACTACAGTCAATGCAATGCAAGCCTCTGGCTCCGTCGCTTGCGCAGCTTCATCAATTAGCAAGCCAGTCCAGTGAAGCGGTGGGATTAGTACGGCGTTCTCTGGATGTAAAGCAGAAGAGACACCTTGTTCCAGGCCAACCAAGTCTGCATTGGAAAGGCGAGCTCGCACCAGTATCTCCGCGTCACGGCAGGTCACTACTACGATACGGTAACGCATTAATTGCTGAAACGGCGGCAGAGAGAACATGTCCTCATCCACATGGCAGTAGGGTAGAATGGTTTGAGGTACTTCTGGGAAGCTCCGCGAAGGTGCATTGAGTCGTAAGAGTTGCTTCGGCACAAGGTGGATGCGCAACCTCAGCGTTAGTGTGTCGGCTGCTGGATCGGAGGGCGCGCAGACAATAACGTGCGAGCTTTCATGTTCGGCGATTAATTGCAGAGCTAGCTCAACCATAGTCTTTGTTTTGCCAGTGCCGGGAGGACCAGAGACAAGGTACGGAATGTCGCCATACTTTTGCAGCAGCACCGTGTCTACGGCTCGAATCTGCTCGTAGTTGAGCTGCTTGTCTCGTCCCTCCCATCGAATGGTGCCTTTGTTCAGAGTGTTTTGCAGCACACCGTCCGTTTCGTCAGGGAACAGCATCGACCTTGTCCAGCACGCTCCGCCACTAAAGGTCAAAGCCTGCTCTAAGGTGGTGATAGCTCTGTACATGGCTCCGATACGGCCAACCTGTATAGTAAAGCAGACATTAAATTGCATCGACATATGGTATAATCCATCCACCCGCAGGGTCAGTATTCCATTGAGGCTATCGATAGCCCATATGACTGCATCGTGGCGGAAGATCATCGGAGACTCGTCAGCTAGTGAATGTCCGTTCCGATACGTTGCCATCGGCCCGCTCAAAACCTCGCCACGCAGGTCAAGATGCAATTGCCGCAATTGTACGACATCCCCGAGTTCGACAGCTAGGCTAAGCTCTCTTAAGCCGGGCACAACCAGAGAATACATGCATGGGCGCGGATCCCTTGCTGCTGGTTGAATCGGAACCTTGTAGAGCGCATGATCGTCGCACTGTATCCGAAGGGCCGCTGCTTCGTGGACCAAAGCCTCCCGGAAGAAGCCATGGTAGTTAGAAGGTTCGAGTTTGTGGCCTACTGGAGCAGCGTTGGGCAGCTCTGGCGGCGGAGGGTCCGGTTGCAAAAAGGCCGAACCTGCAAACGAGCGTACATATTCTGCAAAGTCGATCCACCTTACTGGTAGAGATGGGATAATGTGCTGATTTGACGCTTCGTTGACGGCTCTCAGGCTGTGGGGAACATAAGGCCGTGCATAAGGATCCAAGGTAGACGAAGTATGTTGCTGGTTAGCCATATTTGTTCCGTACTGCTGGAAGATGCGTTCTATTCATCATCGGACTGCTGCTACTCCAAGTTGAATGGAGATCCATGTTCTATGAGTAGAAGGTGATGGTCAAGATGCGGCAAGGCTGAAGGCAAACTGCATTGCGCCGCGGTGCCACGACGCCGTTTAGTCGATCGCCCCCAGTACGCATATCACAGTAACTTGCCATGCAGACGATATCAATCTCCAATCGTTCAGCGGAAATGGGGTATACTAAGCGACTACTGTTGCAGTGCTCGACACACGTGCGTGTACCTTGTGCTGTTCGAGAGTCGAGATGGAAGGTACGCAAATGTGCCGATCTCGGAGGCTCTTCGGTCCCAGCCATTGAGCGGCAGCTACCGAGCTGCAGGGCGTCGACACTTTGCGGAGAGCTGGCTCGAAAAATCTCAAGCTCGCATTGCTCACACGACTCTAAGAAATACGCAGTCTCTCTTTGGTCTCCCTTTCCACTCCCAAAACAATACCATGGCTTCACAGCGGTCAAGCAGAGCACTGCGCCTGGCATTGAGGCAGTTGAGCGGTCCTCGCGTGCAGCAGCGCACGTTCGTATCGGCGGTGAACGCAGCAAGCAGACCGGCTGTGAAGCAGGCAGCTGTCTCCTCCTTTGTACAGCAGACAAGAGGAGCAAAGACCGTCGACTTTGCTGGTGACAAGGAGAAGGTCTATGGTGCATATTGACCGCTTTGCACATCTCATCGGTCTGATTCAAGCTGACAATGCCACAGAGCGTGATGACTGGCCTCGCGACAAGCTCCTCGACTACTTCAAAGATGACACTCTTGCGCTGATCGGTTACGGCTCGCAAGGTCACGGCCAAGGTCTGAATCTTCGCGACAACGGTCTCAATGTCATTGTTGGCGTGCGCAAGAACGGCGCAAGCTGGAAAGAAGCCGTGCAAGATGGCTGGGTGCCAGGCACGAACCTCTTCGACGTTGACGAGGCTATCAAGAAGGGCACGATCGTCATGAACCTGCTCAGCGACGCTGCGCAGAGCGAGACGTGGCCGCACATCAAGCCTATGCTTACCAAGGGCAAGGTAAGTGCCTCGTATATGCTGTACATACGTAGAGTGAGACTCACCTTCGGCAGACTCTCTATTTCTCCCACGGCTTCTCCCCTGTCTTCAAGGACCAGACGAAGGTCGAGGTGCCAAGCGATATCGATGTAATCCTCGTGGCGCCCAAAGGCTCAGGCCGCACAGTTCGCACCCTCTTCCGCGAAGGCCGCGGCATCAACAGCTCCTTTGCCGTCTTCCAAGACGTCACTGGCAAGGCCGAGGAGAAGGCTGTCGCAATGGGCGTCGCGATTGGTTCCGGCTACCTGTACAAGACTACCTTCGAGAAGGAAGTCTACTCCGACCTGTACGGCGAGCGCGGCTGCCTGATGGGCGGCATTCACGGCATGTTCCTCGCTCAGTACGAAGTGCTGCGCGAGCGGGGTCATTCGCCGTCAGAAGCCTTCAACGAGACTGTGGAAGAGGCCACGCAATCTCTTTACCCGCTCATTGGCCAGAATGGCATGGACTACATGTACGCGGCATGCTCCACGACTGCCCGTCGCGGTGCGATCGACTGGAGTAAGCGCTTCAAGGAGACGCTCAAGCCAGTGTTCGAGGAGTTGTACGAGAGTGTGAAGACGGGTAAGGAGACGCAGCGCACTATGGAGTACGCCGGCCGTAAGGACTACCGCGAGGCGTTTGAGAAGGAGATGGAGGAGATCAGGAATATGGAGATCTGGCGGGCTGGCAAGGCTGTAAGGAGCCTGAGGCCGGAGAATGTGTAGTGAGCGCAACCAAGTCTTGGCACTGCTGGCGTTGCATGGTGAGAAGAACTTGACGGCGTATGCGGGCGCTTTTCTGTAGAGTATGTACGTGTACTCGGAATAAAAGAACATTTCACCGGCCATATGCCACACGCATCTGAGACAACCTGGACCACTCCACAGCGCACGGGCTTCATAGATCCGCGCTTGCGGCAGCTTCCCGCACCTTCAATCACACTGCAGCGGAACCGCGGATGTCAAGAGTCGAAGACAAGCATCATCTCTTAGCATTGCTTCTTCACGCTCCCGCGCTTCAAAATTGTGAGTGCCAACGCGAATGGTCCTTGTCATGTTATATGCCAAGCGTCATGGCTCGTAGGCGGGATCAGACATTGGGACGAGGAACACTGGAGCAGGGGACAGCCCTGAGCGAGGGAGAGGCAGACGGAAGGACAGCCTGTTCGTGTTCGGGCTACTGCAGCCGCGGGGCGAGCGCTACATAGCAATGGCGACACTGGAAGCGCAGAGGTTGGCTGTGCCAGAGTTGAGAGATGAGGACGTCTCGCCCTCCAGAATCACGGACGTGTTGCCCCACCCGAGCGAGGCTCTTGAGGCGGGCATGAGAGTACAGAACGGGACCGTAACACCACCGCACAGACGAAGCGTGCAGTTCGCTCGCTCTCCACCGGCCGAGGACGAAGCAATCCCATCCCCGTTGCGCAAGATACAGACTCTGGAGTCAGACAACGAGGCCGACCGACCAGCCAATCTCCGTGAGCGGGAGAAACAGGGCTCCTTCTTAGGCAGGTTCAAGGCTCTCGCCACGCCATCTGGCTCGTCACCGTCGCATACAAGAGTGCAAAGCAACAGCACAGGGTTCGCCACGCCGAACATTGCCCTCTCCCCGCAATCTGAACGAAGTGAGCCGGTGTTTTCTCTGGAACCGAGTGAGGCTGCCGATGCGGACTTCGAGAGAGGTCAGGAGTCTGATGAGGCAGGAGGCGACAACGTGCGCCCACGAAAGCGTCGCAAGTCACGAAGACCACAGATCGGCGGATCAGAGTCTGCTCCGACTACGCCCCGGCAGTCCCGCTTTGCGTCTTTCCTGCGTGACCGTTCCGTGCCAGCTGCTACTAATCGTCCAGATGCCCCGTCGAGACGCAACACCTTCTCAGATGCAAGCGACGCTGGCCATGCTGCTGTATCCGAGGACGAGGGCCGTGACCGTATGCGCGTTTGGAGACGTGGGCTCTCTCACTCTGCTAGTAAGCCTACCGACGGCGAAGTGACCAATGGTCACAGACCGAGTCACTTCCGCCGTTTCACAACTCGGGGCTTTGATGGCTCAAGCTCGCCATTCCGCACACGTGGCGAGAACGGCAGGCAGGAGAGCAGCAACGTGCAGCGATGGCGGCAGGTTCTCAGGACTATTGGCCAGCGGCGCAAGGAAGAAAGGCTGAAGGTTGACCATCAAAAGTCTGCGCAGCTAATGGCCGAACTGCTTGCGGGTGCGCCAGCAGCGCTTGTTTTTGCCAGCATGTTCCAGCGCGACGAGAAGAAACGTCACAAAGTGCCTGTCTTGCTGGAGCAGCTAAAGCTTAGCATACCTCATTCCGAGACTCGGCAAGATAGCAAAGGCGACAGGCATGCCGTTTTCAGGATCGAGCTAGAGTACGGCAGCGGGCCCGCGCGTATGCAGTGGGCGATACGACGGACCTTAGCCGACTTTGTACAGCTCCATGCTAAGTACAAGGGCGCTTCTACTGCGGACAAGATCAAGCGCGGGCGCGGCGATCCGAAGGGCAGGGCAAAGATGCCAAAGTTTCCCAAATCTGCATTCCCGTATGCAAGAGGTGTTAGAGGCTTGTTTGACCGCATAGTCGACGAGGATGAGGACGAGGAGGCGCCGCACCCCGCCGCAGATGTGGTTGCGCCAGTTTTCGGCACCGCTGGCGACGCGAGCGGGACCGATCAGGAGACTCCTCAGCGACCAAGCCTTGCAGGCCGCAAGCACACCCGCCGTAAGAGTAGCTATGCGCCACCACGTCGAACGAGTACCGGCGAGCTAATACCAGGTTCAACGGATCACAGCGCTGTGATGGCGCAGAATCGCGAGCGCTACAACGACTACCAGCGTAGGAAATTGGCGACGTACTTACAACAGATGATCAGGTGGCTCATCTTCCGAGCCGATGCAAACAGGCTCTGTAGATTCCTAGAAATCAGCGCGCTTGCGCTTCGGCTTGGCGCTGAAGGCGGTTGGCAAGGAAAGCAAGGCCTGCTCACGATTGCCAGCCGTCCGAACAAGGAAATGAGAACAAAGGCTATGGCAATGGGCAGACTTATGGTCGCCGCTGATTTCAAAGAACGACACAAGCCACGATGGTTCCTTGTCCGGCAGTCCTACGTCGTGTGCGTGGACGGACCGGAAAGCTTGACGCCTTACGATGTGTTTCTAGTGGACTCCGACTCCCGCACGGAACAGATTCCGAGGAAGATGGTAGATCAGAAGACTGCAGCGGACATGGCGAAGGCTGCCGTTGACACGACGGCTACCGGCAATCATCACATAATCCGGCTGTGGAACGCGGAACGAAAGTTGAAGCTTGTTGCACGAACCGAACGCGCGTACTTACAGTTCCATGAGAGTATACAGCACATGATAGACAATACTATATGGGCGAAGAAGCAACGCTTCGCATCTTATGCGCCGGTCCGCAATAACGTATGGTGCCGATGGCTGGTCGACGGACGCGACCATATGTGGCAAGTCTCGCGTGCGATAGACAATGCCAAAGACTTCATATACATACATGATTGGTGGCTGAGCCCCGAGCTGTATCTGCGGCGACCAGCAGCAGTAAGCCAGAAATGGCGACTAGATCGGCTCTTGCAACGAAAAGCGCAGGAGGGCGTCAAGATCTTCGTCATCGTCTACCGCAACATCGAGAGCGCGATCCCGATTCAGAGCGATTACACCAAGTGGAGCTTACTCGACTTGCACGAGAATATCTGTGTCCAGCGCTCGCCTAATCAGTTTCGACAGAACCAGTTCTTCTGGGCTCACCACGAGAAGCTCGTAGTCATCGACAACATGATGGCATTTGTGGGTGGCATCGACCTGTGCTTCGGTCGTTGGGACGACTCATGCCATAGCTTGACAGATGACAAGTCCACCGGCTTTGAGCTTGACCCAACAGAGGGTGTACAAAACGATAATATGCAGATGTGGCCTGGCAAAGATTATAGCAACCCTCGTGTGCAAGATTTCTATGCGCTTGACCGGCCGTACGAGGAAATGTACGACCGGACGAAGGTGCCAAGGATGCCGTGGCATGACATCCACATGCAGCTCGTCGGGCAGCCGGCGAGAGATATTGCACGTCACTTCGTGCAGCGTTGGAACTATGTCCTGCGCTCTCGCGTGGCGACCCGTCCTACACCGGTGCTGCTACCGCCACCGGAATACGATGCTGAGGAGCTGGAACGCTTGGGCATGACCGGCACCTGTCAAGTGCAGATTGTGCGATCTTGCTCTCCATGGTCGATTGGAACTCCAAATAAAGTCGAGCACAGCATCATGAATGCTTACGTGCATCTGATTGAGACGAGCGAGCACTTTGTCTACATTGAGAACCAGTTCTACATCTCGTCTTGCACGGTCGAAGGGACGCCAATCAACAACTCCATCGGCGACGCGCTGTACAACCGGGCCCTTAAAGCGCACAGGAACAATGAGCAGTGGCAGGCGTGTCTTATTATCCCGCTCATCCCGGGCTTCCAGAACACGGTTGATAGTCAGGACGGCACGAGCGTCCGCTTGATAATGCAGTGCCAGTTCCGCTCCATATGCCGTGGCGAGGCCTCTCTCTTCGGTAGGCTGCGCGCCAAAGGTATCGAGCCGGAGGACTACATTCGCTTCTACTCTTTGCGGCAATGGGGCAAGATCGGTCCGCGGAAGTGCTTGACCACCGAGCAGCTGTACATCCATGCCAAGTGCATGGTCGTTGATGACCGGACCGTAATCATCGGTTCCGCCAATATCAATGAGCGGTCTATGCTCGGAAGTAGGGATAGCGAGGTGTGCGCTATCGTCACGGATACTAAGATGTTGCCAAGCTTTATGGGCGGCGAGCCGTACGAAGTCGGCGAGTTTGCGCACACCTTACGGATGAGGCTGATGAGGGAGCATTTGGGCGTGGACATTGACGCGCTCTATCGGGGTGAGCAGGCTGGTCAAGAGCGCGAAATGGACAATATATACCGCGCACAAAGCAGCGTCGGTCTTGGCCTGGACGGCGAGGTAGGCCGCGATGACTACTTCAGCACGCCGCCGGGGTCACCCCATCTTTTACCGCCTCCGGCGCTCACTGAACAGAACCTCCGAGCAAATTCTGTTGATGAGGAGGACAAGCGTGGCAGGAAGTCTGCAAGTGATCTGGCCATGCCATTTCGAAGCTTGGCAGGCACCACTCAAGTCACAGACTCTGGAAGTGGTAGAGCGAGCATCGCGCAAAGTCCCCAGCTGAAAGGCGAGTCGAAGAGAGAAGCCTTGCACGATCTAGACGTCGATGGCTTCGGTACAGACAATATGCATGCCATCGTGGGCGCTGGTATTCAAGGGCTGACGGACACCTTCGTTGACGCTCATGGACACGAGGTCATACTGAGGACGGACGCTCCTGGCGTAGAGCGGATTAGGAGCCTCGACGCGCAGGACGCCGTGCGCGGTGATGATAGCATCATTGAAAAAGCAGAGCCATCTGCACGCCCCCCGTGGCCGATCGAGCGCGGTGACACCGTGGCATTGGGTCTTATGCCACGTTCGCAGTTGCCTGAGCTGCCAGCATTGGATGACACTGACATAGGCGGCCCACCCTTGACAAGAGGTCAATCCTCGGCGTCGGCAAAGGTGGTTAACCCGCTCGTACAGTCTCTACGTCGCCCCGAAGTGCACATAGACTGCATGACGGACCCGCTAGCGCTGGGGTTCTATCACGACATTTGGCACACAATCGCCGAGAATAACACCAAGCTCTACCGACAAGTATTCCGATGTATGCCAGACTCCGAGGTTTTGGACTGGAAAGCCTACGAGCGCTTCAATGACTACAACGAGCGCTTCATGCAGTCGCAAGGTCTTGGTACAGCCAGAGCGAACTCGAGCAGAGATGCGCCAGATAGCAGCGGCCCACCTGGCTCCGGGGGACCGATGGCGGATGCTGCAAGCTCGATCGTGCCAAGTGTTCTAGAGAAGGGCACGGCGGATCGTCAGCAGAAGCACGGCGGCCTGCTTCACGCTGTAGTGGATAGGCTGCGGCCAGGCAGCAAGTCCAGTCATGACCCAGGTCGCAACCCCGAAATGAGCGAGAAAGATCGGCCAATGCCAGGCAGTCCGGGTTCCGGCGCGAGTAGCGGCCCGACTGTGGTTCCTTCCCCTGATCTCAAACCGTTGAGCGAGAAAGAAGCCGCGAAACAGCTGGATGGCATCAGCGCCGCCGATATGGCGTATGTGCAAACTCAATCCACTCGTGATACTACCGGCGGCAACAGCTTCGAACGCAAGCGGACGGTGCAGTACTCAGATAGTGTCACCCAGTCCCCAGAGATCCCAGCTATGCAGCCTAGCTCAAGCTCGACGGGCTTGCAGCAGTCCGCCAGCCAGAGGCGCAGGCGAAGGGCTACAACCAAAAGCAGCGCGAGGGTTGATGACATTCTGAGCAAGGAGGAAGCAGAAGGCTTGTTGAAACTGGTGCAGGGGTCTATTGTACTTTGGCCGTATGACTGGTACGTACTTCTGCATGCGCCTGGTAGAGCTACGCTGACCGAAATCGCAGGCTTGAGAAGGAGGAAAAGGGCGGCAATTGGCTCTACAGCATCGATCAGCTTGCGCCGCTAGAGATTTACGACTAAGCTTGCAATTTTGCTTTGCTGCATTCACTTGGTAAGAGTTGCTTGGATCGCTTTTGAGCGTGGTGTTGGTGGAGCATAGCGTCGGAAAGGGCATATCTGTAGGCGTGTTCATGCAGTAACACCGCGTTTTCGTGTCTTCGATCGCCTCGAGTCGCGTATCAAGCACTTTTTCAGCTGCTTGGGCCGTCAAGGCTAAATATGGAACACTCGACTCTCCTTCACTGCTGATACGGCCTTAGGCTGAGAGCTCTATGAGATGTCGTGGGATGTCGGAGGCAGGAGACCAGGCGGTGCCATGAGGCCGAAAGCAAATTCTCTCATTGACGGGAGCATTGGAGGCAGAGTTGATGCGTGCGAGTGCCTGGAGATATGTAGGTGGAGAACACAGGCTTGCATGGGCTGCTCAGGGTACACCGCAGCAACTCGGAGCGAGTCGCAACCACCAGGGGCAGTGTAGTCACTTGGTTAGGCCGCACGGCAAAGCTTTAAATGTTGTTCAAACACGCTGGCGGTATGTGAACCGAGCATCCATCCCTTGCATACCGCTTTTCTTGGAAGCGCGTCTGCTGCCGCCACTGTCCCCCGGTTTTGAACGTTCTGACACCACGTCTTCTCCCTCGTCTTAACGAATTCAACAAGCATCTGTCCAGCTCAAGACGTTACGCCGCTGACTGCAAAGCAAGCCAAGTATCACAACCATACACCATGCCGGCACTCACCTGCAACCCCCACATCCCTACCTTGGACCGACCCAACTGCGTCGACGCCTCCACATCCAGCTATACAACAACCAGAACAATAATAACCCGGTGGTTCATCTTCTGGGGCTTACTCTTTGGCTTGGCAGTGCTGGGAGGGTGTTGTCAACAAGCCCGGAACAAAGCTAGGTCTAGGGCTGAGGCCGCGCGGGAAGCGAAGGAGGAAGCCGCTGCTATAAGCCTGATGGACGCGTCGATCAGTGAGGGAGCCGTGAAGAAAGCCGCGTTTGCTGAGTATGCGGTTGGAGGGGAGAGTGGGAGGAGCAGTCCCCGTAGTGAGGAGCGCGAGGCGAGAATAGGCTGTAAGGGGCCATCGTATGTTTGATGCGGAGATTTCGCAGTTGTGGGTAGGCGCTTCATGGTTGACGGCCGTGAGAGTCTACAGCTTGCTTTCCCGGACATAGATCTCACCGTCATCGTCGTCGCGGGCAAGGTACGCGCATAACCATCTTTCCGCGTCCTTCCGCATGGTCTTCGAAAACTCATGCCTCCCTTCCGAGTCCACAATATCCTCCACCTCAATTCTCAGCCCCCGCGCCCAACCCTCGCGCGGGTCAACAGCTCGCTTCAACCACCCCAAAAACGGCTGCGCACATTCATACGGCACCAACCGGTCCTTCCCGCCACTTACACATAAGATCTTCTTCCCCTTCAGCCTCCGCTCCAATATCGGCCTCAACCTCTCCTGCTCCGCCGCTGAAGGAGTATGTAAGTAATCATCCCCAGTCACCGTATCCAGCTCCCCAAGCAGTATACCAGCCGGATCTCGCTCTTCAATCATCGCCAGCAAACTCGGCGGAAAGTCGGCCGATCCGGAGAAGTCGCGCCCAGGCGGGTCCGTAGACATACACGTACTCAACTTACCCCGGATGGCACGATCCGTCATCAACCGCGTGTAATCCGGACACCCGATCACGACGATGCCGGCCTCAATCCGGGAGTCACTCATCAGCAGCTGCCACGTCGCGTGCCCGCCTAGACTGACGCCGGCGCAGATATGATGGGCGAGTTTGAAGGGTAGATAAGAAGGAAGCAGTGAGATGAGGTGGCTAACGTCGAGAGCGGTGCCGGAGAAGTGGGAGAACATATCTGGTCCGTGGCTGGGGTTGCCTTGTTTCCAGCTCACGTTTGCGGTGTTGTCTATCATTCTGCTTCCGTGGTTTCTCTGATCGATTGTCACGCAGATGAAGTGTTTCTGTGAGGGCTTTCGCTTGCTAGTCCACGCGTTGAGGAAAGCGGCCGCGGTGTAAGCCATGCTGTCTTGCGTATCTCCCCGTCCATGCAGCAGCCAGAGGACCGTTACTTCGGCTACGTTTGGTGGGAGTTCTTGCAGGCCGTAGAGCGTTACTAGCAGACCGGCAATGTTGAGACGACGCCATGACACCGGCTCGACGTTGTTGAAGGCGGAGTGCGTTGTGGGGAGCGGAGAGGAGAAGGGGGAGAGGGTGGAATGGAGGCGGAGGGCGTGGGACCAGGTGAAGGTTGAGCCGCCGGCCATTGCTGTGGTGTAGCAGGAAGATAGGTAGGTAGGATACAGGTGGAGAGGAGAGGAGAGGAGGAGGCGGAGAGGAGCGGAGGGTAAGGAGAGGTTGTCAAGCAGATAGGATGGAGAGGAAGTTGAAGTGGGAGTGCCAATGGCAGTCGCAGGTTTCGGCTATCTGTGCTCGAACAGCCGAGGCTCTTCCCATTTTGGAAAGGCACAGCTGTAAGCTTGACCGTGGAGGACATCCATCCAAACATTCTATAGCTTTCACCGAACAGTGGATAATCGCTGCATTGGTATGTCACTCGAGACGAGACGATACTACGTTCGCACGATCAGTGGAGAGGTCTTCCTATTCAGGCTTGGGGCCTCATGAGCTATAAGCACAAGCTCCATGTATACTACATCGTACAACCATCCCTGCATCAATACACTAAGCGAACGTTGAAAGTCCATCTCCATCACCCGCAACGCCAGCGCTCGAACGTCATAAATATACATTCAGACCACCGCCATCATTCTTCCCCCATGCTCCACCCTCCTGCTTCCCCTTCTTCTTCTTCTTCTTCCTCCCATCCTCCATATATTATCTTCCTTCCCTCAAGCAACAACCTCCCCATCCGCCCTCATCCCCTCCAGCACCGCCTGAATCCCACCCTTCCCCAACCTCGTCAACACCACGCCCACACCCTTCCTCGCCTTCGCCTGACTCTTCTCCGTCCGCTGCAGAGAGATAGACTCAATAGCCGAGCGAGCCGCGGTCGACGACCATGACCCGAAGAATCCCTGTTTCGCCGGCCACGCCGCTAGCTCCGAGGGGTCGTCTTCTTCGCCCACACCTGCACCCGCACCCACGCCGGCGACGGAAGTGGGCGTGGCGGTTTCACCCCAGCGTTGCCGGCGCTTGCGGAGTTGTTCCCCAATGCGGGATTTGAGGGTGACGGAGACGGAGACGTCTGTTCGATCCGTTAAAGCATCGGGGGACGTAAGGGTGTGTCCGGGGGTAATGTCTGGCCGGCGAAAACTGTGTCGTTCGATGACGGAAAGGACGTTACACCAGTTTAGATTCCGACTCTCCGTCTCCATCCACCCTTCCCTCACATCGATCACGCTTGTCTCGAGGATGAAGCTTTGCGTCGTGCCATCTGCGCCACTCCCTATCACGCTGCTGGGTAGCAACTTCAGCACCGCAGGGGGTAGACGACTCCGCTTTAGGTGCAGTCGGACGGTTGTGAGGCGTTGGGTGGCCGGATCGAAGGAGCGCGAGATGGTGTCGGTGGAGGCGACGTGTTTGCTGTAGGGGTTGGGGTAGCGGAGGAAGTAGGCGAGGGAGACGGCGGGGAAGGGGTGGTCGTAGGAGTAGGTGGAGCTGTAGAATTTCACCATCTTTGCGATCCCATTATTGTTGTCGAAAGTTGAATATGATGGGGATGGATGATGAAGCTGGAGCAGAGAGTGTGAGGCGGAAGTGGAGGCTGAGGAGGAAGAATGGAGAGGAGAAAGTGTGTCGCGTGATCATGGCGGAGAACGGCGGCGAATTGTGTCAGTTTCGGGTTAGCTTGGATCGGAAGCGGAAAGATGTCTCGTGCCGATGATCGAAGGGGTCGGGGTTGGCGAGTTAAGTGAAAGCCGCCTGCCGCTTACTATGTGGTTTTGATGGAAGCTTACCCAAAGACTGTTAAATTCCAAACGGGGCTCTAAGCCTCCTCAGAAGTCTTGGTTAAGGATGGAACCGGGCTGGATTCTTTACTATTATCTAAGTGTAGCATCCTAACAGATATGTAATGTCACTTTTCAAGGTGAGAAGACGGAGAAGCAAGGCTTGTTAGACGGCAGACGCGGCTCACCTACTTCGCAACCCTTGATGGAGCGTGTGGATGTTATCTCGTTGGCTATACAGTGCAGAAGGTATAGCCAATGGGAGTTGGTGAATGCTCCTACACTCATGCGGGTACAGTCATCCAAAATCATATGAGTGGGAGAAAACCCCATCAATATAAGTGAATTGAGCGGTGATCATTCCATTGAGACCGTGATTCGAGACAACAACTGATCTCTGCGATCAACCTGGGAGATATGGCCACAACCGACGCAGTAGGAGCGCCACCAGCCGTGGAAGCCAATATCGACGACAAGAAAGGCTCGGCACAACAAATCGACCCGTACAACGTCGCCGGCGAAGTGGACGAACAAGGCAACATCAAGGCCATCGACTATGACCGCCTCATCCAAGAATTCGGCGTGCAACCCCTCACCCCCGACCAACTCCAACGCTTCGAAACGGTGACAGGCAAGAAACCGCACCGGCTGATGCGAAGGAAACTCTTCTTCTCCCACCGCGACTTCGACAAAATCCTTGACGCCTACGAGCAATACGGCACCTTCATGCTCTATACCGGCCGCGGCCCAAGCTCAGGGAGCATGCACCTCGGCCACACTGTCCCATTCCTCTTCACCAAAGAACTGCAGGAAATCTTCGACGTCCCGCTCGTGATAATGTTAACAGATGACGAGAAATACCTCTATACCCGGCACAAATCCGAGGGGGTCCAGAAACCGAATTGCCACATCCCGGACTACTTATCCTACGCCCACGACAATATCAAAGACATCATCGCTTTGGGGTTCGACCCGGCGAAGACTTTCATCTACTCCGACTACGAGTTTGTGGGTGGGCACTTCTACCAGAATATCAACGAGTTCGAGTCCCTCGTCACCTTCAACCAAGCCGCGGGCGCCTTCGGCTTCACTGGCAGCACGAATATAGGCCTAATAGCGTTCGGGGCGAAACAATGCGTCGCCGCCTTCCCCTCCAGCTATCCCTCCCTCTTCGGCCTGCCCGACTACCGAGCCCCAGATTACCCCGCCGCCGCAAAACGAAGACACAAATCGCTAGCCTCCATTCCAACCTTGATTCCCTGCGCCATAGACCAAGAACCCTACTTCCGCATGCTCCGCGACCGATGCGAACGAATGACCGACCCGCACCCGAAAACCGCACTCATCCTCTCCAAATTTCTGACCGCACTACAAGGACCTGGCGGGAAGATGAGCGCCTCCGACCCCAATTCCGCAATCTTCATGTCCGATTCCGCTAGTCAAATCAAGAACAAGATCAACAAGCACGCCTTTTCCGGCGGACGGGAGAGTCTGGAGGAGCATAGGAGGCTAGGCGGGAACCCCGATGTGGATGTGGCGTTTACGTATCTTTCTTACTTCCTCGAGTCGGACGAGGAGTTGGAAGAGCTGGCGAGTAAGTATCGCAGTGGCGAGATGCTGACGGGGGAGATGAAGCAGCGGTGTATCGCCGAACTGCAGAAGTTTGTCGGTGCGTTTCAGGAGAGGAGGAAGGAAGTTAGTGATGAGGTGATGAGGAGTTTTATGCGGTTGAGGAAGTTGGAGTGGAGGGGGAATCCTAATCCTACGAAACCTGCACCGCCCGCGAGCGTGGAGGTTCCGGAGACGAACGGAGCGGTTGATGGGAAGGGCGGAGGCAAGGATGGTAGCGGGAGGGGGACGAAGGGGGAGAGGAAGGCGGCCAAGGTTGCGGCGAAGAAGGCGGAGAAGTTGGAGGTGCGGCAGAAGGTGGACGCGGAGCAGGGGCCGGAGCAGGGGCAAGGGGTTGATGGGCAAGGGACGTGAAAGTGTGCAGGGCACGCGACTGTGCCGCCTGTTAGACGTTCGAAAATGTGCCTTTAGCGTAGCAGCATCGCTGTCAAAGTCATCCGTGGCTGAATAAAGTGGTCCATGCTGTGGTTGTCGTACCATACGTGTTACCACTCGATCAATCATACATGAACCATCTGTCCGTCCCGTCGCGGGCTTGGGCTAAGCCCTGCAAGCCATTACCCTCCTGAACAAACTCCATCGCTGCAAAGAACCCAACAAAGCAGGCTCGAATACACAACTCCCGTGCAATCCACGCCGGAACTTCACTGTCTAAAACTCGCACATGCTTTCGTGCTGATGTGAAGAAGCGCGTAGGAGCATAACACAGGCACAGACCGCATTTACAAAAACCGCGGCCCGCAGCAGCAAGTGTGTGGCAGGCTACCGCTTACGAGCAGCACGACTTTTCGACTTCGCTCCTCCTCCCCCACCAGTACCTGACATGACCGTATCCTCGCTTTCCGCCCTCGACGTCCCATTCGGTGTGCCCTTGACGCCATTGACGGCCTTGTTCTGCGCGTCGATGTTAGTGCAGCACTGGTCATATCCTGAACCTCCGACCACTCACCTTCGCACTCCCGCCCCCACTAACCCTCCCCTTCTTAACAACCGGCTTCGCCTCCTCTTCCTCTTCCTCTTCCACCTCTTCCACCGCCCGCTTATTCTCCTTCCCAGCATTACCACCTTCCATCTCCCTCGTCACAGTCGTGATCAAGGTGGCACACCTCCTCCCCAACTCCTGCGGCGTGCGCGACAAAAAGAACCAATCAAAGCGAAACAACGGTGACTCTCGAATCTCATCGCGGATCCGCTCATATAGCCCCTCACTATCCAGCCCGAACCTATCCAGCATAACCAACAAAAACCGATCCTCCTCTTCGGTATAAACCTTCTTATTGGTAGTGCTGACGGTATAACTCAACTTCAACTGCTGCAGCGGCACGCGATACATCCTCAACTTCCTCCTCAGCATCTCCCTCTGCTCAATCACGCGGGCGGCGCGCTGCTCGCCCTCCACAACAGCCGAGACGTGCTTCTCCCAATTCTCGATCTTACGGTAGTGTTTCCAGAACGCTTTGGCATAGGCTTTCACTTCCTTCGCATCCTTCGAGTCGACTTCCTGCGCGATCATCTCGTAGTTGTCGCGGCCGTATTTGGCCGAGCCGTTGACGAACTGTTGGAAATCGCGCTTGTTCCAGTGGCCGAAGCCCTCGCCTTGCAGACGGTCCTTCTCCACCATCTCCTCTTCGGTCAAGGGCTCGGCTTCATCGATCATCTTCTGCTCGAGGGCTTGGTCTTCGAGCCGGGCCTCCATGTTCTCCTCCTCGCCCTCGGGTAGAGGCGCGCGGATCCCGTTCTCCTTCCTGAACCACGCCGTCTCCTTCTCCTGCAAGTCCGCCAGCCGCGCGTCGAAGAACTGGTAGTCATGCATGGCCACCTGCTTCGGCGCACGAGGGACACGAGGCTTAGGATCAGGTCGCGGCCCGCCGGTCATGAGCGCATTGCGGTAGTATTTGTCCATGCTGTAGCTTTGCTCCTTGCGCTCGCGCTTCGACGGGTTGATCCACGTCAGGCCGATCTCCTTCTTGCGCGCATTCACGAAGCTCTCGCCGTTCCACTCGTAAGTGCCCGTGCCTTCCGAGCTGAACTTCTGCAGATCGTCGAGACCGAGCTTCTCGTACCGAGCGCTCATCATCTTCGTCTTCTCCTCGCCTTTGCGGAGCAGCTCGTCCAGGTCGGTCTCGCTGACTTCGCCCTTCTTGCCAAAAGCGCCGTAGCCTTCCTTCTGCTCGAAGATATTCTCGGCGCCATGCTGGATCATGCCTAGTAGCTCATCTTTGCTCGCGGCTTGCTTGGCTTGCTGCTGCGCGCGGCCCTGCTGGATGACGAGTTGGTCGAGACGCAGCTTCTGCGCGGCGCGCTCGAGGACTTTCTCCTCGATCGCGTTCTCGGTCACGAAGCGGAAGACGACAACTTGCTTCGTCTGGCCAATGCGATGGGCACGGTCCATAGCTTGTAAGTCAGCTTGCGGGTTCCAGTCGGAGTCGAAGAGTACGACAATATCAGCAGAGGTTAAGTTAATGCCGAGACCGCCGGCGCGAGTAGTTAGCAGGAAGAGGAACTTCTCAGACCCGGGCTTGTTGTACTCGTCAATGGCTGCGATACGGTCTTCATGCGCGGTCGAGCCGTCAATGCGGCAGTATTGGTAGCCGCGCATGACGGAGTAGTCTTCAAGTATGTCCAGCACGCGCGACATCTGCGAGAAGATCAGGACCCGACTCTTCTGTGCCATCATGCGCTTGAGCAGCTTGTCCAGCATGACCATCTTCGCCGCATTATCCACCAAGTGCTCATCGGTCGTGTATGGAGGGCCAGGCTCTGCGCCGTCGAAGAGGTATGGGTGATTGCAGCATTTGCGCAGCTGCATGACGATGTTCAGCAAGCGCGTCTTGCTCTCCTTCTTGCCGCCAGCACCGTTGACGGCGTCAATGTCCTTCTCGATGATGTTCTTGTACCATTTGATCTGCATCTCGCTCATGCCAACATACAAGTTGATCTCCTTCTTTGGAAGCAAGCTCTTCTCCACATCGGCCTTGACGCGGCGCAACAAGAAGGGACGCAGGACGCGATGCAGCTGCTGAACGACAGTATCTTGGTCCGCATTCTGGCTGCTGAACCACTGATCGAAAGCTTCCGCGTCGCCAAAGACGTCTGGAAGGAGGAAGTTGAGCAGCGCCCATAGTTCGTGCAGGTTGTTCTGCAGCGGCGTGCCAGTAATGAGTAGACGGTTACGCGAGTTGAAGATACGGATGATCTGCGCGAGCGAGGACTCCTCGTTCTTGATGCGGTGCGCTTCGTCGATGATGATGTACTCCCACGCGAACTTCTTCAGATGACTCTTCTCGCGCAAAATCATCTCGTAGGAGGTAATGCAGACGTCAAACTTTTCATCCACGAGGCGCTCGTTGATGAGCTCGTGACGCTCATCCTTGGCTCCTTGCAGCACGAGGATGTTGATCTCTGGGATCCACTTGGCAAACTCGCGCTTCCAGTTGTCTAGGGTAGACTTGGGCACGACAACGAGGTGTGGTCCGGTTATGCCTTGCACAAAGCGCAGATAGCCGAGGAAGGAGATTGTCTGCAGCGTCTTGCCCAGACCCATCTCGTCCGCCAGTATGCCGGAGATACCGTTCTCGTGCAGACTGATCAGCCAGTTCAGACCAGCCACTTGGTAGTCCCTCATCTCGCCGCCTTGAATGTAGCTCGGACTCTCACGGAAGATGGTTTGCGCTTCCTTACCATCCTGCTTGCCTTGCCTAATAAGCTCGGCGTCCTCTTCCTTCTCCGTCCGTCTCTTCCTGCCACCTCCAGCGCCGCCTTTCCGCTTGTGCCCCTCCGCCTTTACCAACTCTTCCTGATCCTGCCGGTCAATCTCTGCCATCACCTGCCGAATCTTTGGATCCGGGTTGGTATCGATGAAATGCCGGAAAAGGTCCGTCAAGCCTAGCAGGTAGCGAAAGCGACGAATGGTGTCGTCCTCCTTGCTCTCCCCCAAACGGTTGTGCTTCTTGCCGAACATCTCCTTGCGGAGGGCATTACCCTCCCATCGGCGTTTGCGGCCATCAAGCTGTGCGGGGTCACCGGCGATGCTGTTGGCGCCGGTGGGGTTGGACTCGGAGTCGGTGTAGTCGGGAGTGTCTATCATTAGGGAGGGGTTGTGGTTGACGTCTGGCATCGTGCCGTCACCAGCGCCTGCGGTGTTGGCGCCGCTCATAGTGGCAACCGAGGCGCAGGCGCGCGGAGGTGTGGGGTTTGAAGAGTCCCCTGAATCTTTCCTGGGCGGCTATATGAGCGTCAGTTGGGCAGACGATGGTTGTATGGGCCCACGAAACTCGCAATCAGTGCTCTTCGCCGCAGCTATTGTTGGCTTTGATGAACGTCGATGGCTGCGCTGGAGACAGCGGACCTGTTGTCGCGTCACGATTGCAGGGAAGGGTGTGCGGGAGGTTGTGGTGGTGGTGGAGAGTACGCGGAAGGAAACTGATACATGCTTGGCGCGTCACTGAGGCGGACAGGCCGGACGCACGAGCGGCCGTACAGTCCGCACCTAGCATGAAACATATCAATACAGCATTTGACCTTAACCCTTGCCTCTCGCACTCAACAAGTACTATAGGGCCGTCATAGTATGAGTGGCAGAGCCACCAACTAATGAGCGCAGCTTGTCTTGGTATTCACGCGGTCATGCGGGATATTTTGTATGCCGGCGCTCACCCAGCACTACATCATGCTAGCACGTAGCGAAAGCCGTGGCCTTGTTCGCACGATCACGCAGACTTCCTTGGTGGCAATAATAGTCTTGACGCCAGTCTTGCTCACAGACAAGATGGGAGAAGTCGGTTCTAACGTTGCAGGTCTATATTGCTGGCCATCCATTTCCATTCGGCTCATGCTGCCAATCAACTGTGGCCCAACGGGCACCAGGTCTCCATTTGCACAATGTCCCTTGATATTACGGCGGAGTAACATCATGAGTGACAGAGACTTCGATGCAGGCGAGGAACACCTTCAGATACTTGACAGGAACCACCACATCCGCGTTGTATGTAACCATTCTACGCAGCTAATCTGAAGCACCACTACGAAGAGATGCTTCTGTTCTTGAAACATTCAACATTGAAATACAGATGCTCGTTTCCCAGACAGTCTTCAAGGACTAGGTGAGCTGCGGCCCGCGTGCCGCAGCCGCATTGCTTCGCCTCGGCTCCCCGAAACCCGACCATGACTCGATTACTGAAGACCTCGCTCTTCGCCATCATTTGACGCAGATTGTATTTCACCTGAGTGCAGGCGTTAGACCGCTACGAAGCCCGAGTGTCTACTTGTAGGCTACGACAACGCTTTCAGCGGCCTTTGAACCGCTGCTACAGTTTCTGTTATCCGGCCCCAAGAACGCAGCGAGCGCTGTGGAGACTGCTTCGTGTCCCGGCAGCCAATGTGCCGAACGCGACTCAGTGCATGATAGACAAGGGCTAACGCAAGATCGTACCCCTAGCATCTGCACGAGGGAATGCAAGAATTATCGTGCTTCCATGCCACTGGCCCGAGACCCTATCTCAACACCTCAGATCCGGGCCTGGCAATGCTATTCTCGCTGGGCGTACAGATCAGCCGAGCGGCCTGCGCTGCCGACCAACTTTACCTTGTTGAAAGTGTGCAGCTGTGGCCTGCATGTGGTGGGTCCACGGCTCAACACCATTGGCGTCGTTGCCTACGATAGCTGATAGCCCAGAATGAATCATGAATCCCACTGCGTTTGAAGCAAGGTGCCTTTCGGACCTGCATATCTCGGCCTTGTTTCTTCTCGTGCATGTGCACCTAACTCTTGTTCCTTGATGGGACGTTTGCTCCTGCGATATACCAAGAAATAAGTGTACAGGGTTCTATCCGCCACCGCCAGATCCCTCGCCACGGAGGTTTTAACCATGACCAACCGCAGCAATAGGGACACACGATGCAGTGGCTTTTGATCAATCCAGCGATACGGCACTGGCCGTAACCTCACAGTTAAACTGTGAACCGGGAACTTGCAACTCATACATCTGAAACTGTTACCTTACCAGACTAGAACAACTGAGCTGGTTCCCACTGGACTACTCTAGGTTCCACAGTCTGTAACATAGCATGGCGGACGAAGCAGCGCTGTTCGAGCAACTCAACAGAATCTCCGCTACCGACCAAGCCGCCGCGAAGCATTTCGGGATCGGCATTGGGACGATCGTTGGTGCTTTCGTCTTCGTATACTGGGGACAGCGGCTCTGGGACCGAGTATCTGGACGCAAGGGTGGTATTGTCCGCGCTGTGTCTTATGTAGCACGGCCGCTCAGACGCATTGCGAGCGGCGTCCCTGTTGGAGGCTTTCTGATATTACCTGGCCGGATCTTGCTGGCGTTGGTATATCTCGCGCTGAACATCGCTCTAACGTTTACAAACGTCGACTGGTCTCAACGGACATTCTTCGGGAAACGTCTGGGATGGTACGGTAGCTCATTCTCGGGCAGCCGGATATCTCTACTGACATGAGGCTAGGATGGCCCTTTGTAATATGTGCTTGGCAGTCTTTCTGGGCCTCAAGAATACGCCTTTGTCGCCACTCGCCGGATGCTCGTATGAGGGTTTAAATGTCCTTCACCGATGCTGTGGCTACACTACAATCCTCTACGTGATCCTGCACGCAATGCAAGTCTTTTGGTTGCCCGTAGCGTATGCACTTTGACTTACCATGCCGAACAGCGTGATTGTCACCGGCCTAGTCCATGAAGGCCAACTCTACTTGATGAGAATGTCGCAGCAATATGCAGGTGCTGTGGCTGGGCTTTCCATGCTCATCATCCTCGCCTCTACGGCCAGCATCATTCGAAGACGGCAGTATGAGCTGTTCATCACCATGCATGTTGTGCTTGTTGCAGTCATTCTAGCGACAGGTGCGTACCGCTCTCACACCCCATACGGCATGCTAACGCCTGTCAGCCGGGTTCCATACCTTCAACCCGCCTTACATATCGCCGAAGACACTCCTGATCACTACGCTCGCGGCAGGATTCTGGGCTATCGATCGGCTGCAACGAGTCATTCGCTGGACTTACTATGCCGCCGGGAACCACTGTACCCTTACACCACTACCCGAGGAAGCAACACGTGTTGAGATGCATCGTGCGGTCAAAGCTGCGCCAGGATCCCACATCTTCTTATGGATCCCGGGCGTCAAGGTGCTCCAGATCCACCCCTTTACGCTCAACAAGCCTACCGAGTTCGTCATCGCAGCTCGTGACGGGTTCACTAAAGCGTTGTACGAGAAGGCGTGCTCGAAGCCAGGTATAAGACTGAAAGCCAGCGTCGATGGACCGTATGGCTCGGCGCCCAAAGTGCGAGCATACGACAAGCTGGTCCTCCTGGCTGGTGGTAGCGGAGCAACATTTACATTGGCGCTGGCACTGGACTGGTCAAGACACCTTCGGCTGAGGAGGCACGGCAGTACGCTCATTTTCGTCTGGACTGTGAAAACAAGAGGTACGCCATGAAGACATGTGCATTTTTTTTGGTGAGGCCATCACATTCACTGACTGTGCACATAAGCGTACCTTCAATGGTTCGAGGCTGAGCTCACCGAACTGGCGAATAACCCAGCAATTGATCTCCGGGTTCATATCACGGGCAAGAACACCTCTAGATATGCATCTCCATCGCTGACGCCCGGCTGGTCATATCCGCCAAGCCCTCCAATGGAGCTGAGCGTCATCCCCGATAGCAGTGCAGCCGAGAAGGGCACTAAGATGCCGAATGTGAAGGAGATGGAGTGCTCGCAGTACTCGCGGTCGGCGTCGACCGTCTGGCCCAGGATTCACTATAACCGTCCTAATGTTGAAGATGTAGTTGAGGGCGCCCTGGCAGGGTTGGCGGTCACTAAGCGTGTGCTTATCGCTGGTAAGTCCGACGTGCGTTGAGCACGCCGTCGCGCGATCTGACTTTGTCCCAGCTTGCGGCCCTGGTGGCCTCTTGACCGATGCGCGCATAGCAGCTGCTGCTCGTATGAGAGCTGAATTGCCCAGCGTGCACTTGCACCTTGAGGAATTCGAGTGGTGAGCCACAAGCGCAATACTCAGGTCAATGAATCCGATTGCGATCATGCTAGACTCGAGGCGCATCACCGCATCACCCTTCGCAAACGACTATGCTCGGAAGGCCTGTATGAAAGCTCGAGATACTTGGTGGACGGTCGAGCATTGCATACCCGGATACATACGAGGTTGCTTGTGAAGACTCGTGTGCGTCAGGCTTACAATCGCGTACCAGGTACGCATTTTTGGATACGAATAACGAAAAGACGTATTAAGTATGTACAAAGAAGACAAATAGAGAGAATGTGCCGAGTCATTGCGGCTTTCTAGCGAGGAGCCACCATAACGCCCAATTGCGCACAAGTCGGCCGTAAACCCCCGGGACAATGCAATGCTGATTGCGTCGATTAGCCGTAGAACCAATACTCCGCGGCATAAGGCACGGTGAGCACATCACTCCCTGTACACGAACTTGGTGCAACGCCGCCCTGCGTCTCCAACCGATAGACGGATGATACAATCTTATTCGACGACGAGCCGTTGCTAGCAAGGTACAACCAGTCGACATTGCCGGACGTCGGCGCTGGCACGTCTCCGACCTTCTTGGCGTACAGGAATGGATGTCCAGCGCCAAAGTAGAGGTCGAATGTAGGTGTAAGCGTTGAGGTGAAGTAGTGTTGGCCGAGGATAGGCAATGGCGTTCCGCTCAACAACGCTGCAATGTCTTCGCAAGCATCATCAGTCAATACGCAATCGGATAGGTCGTCCGAACACGGCAACGAGTTGAAGCTCTTGAGATATGTGCTTGGGAGAGTGTCGACCTTGCCGGGGTTGTTGGACAGGTACGATGTGGCGTCGTACAGCCGGGCGAGTGCGCCGTCTGATGCGTAGGTTGCGCCATTGCAGGTATAGTTCTGTGATCCGAGTCCAATTGCGATGTACTTTAACGTCCCCGTCGGCGAAGGTAGTGGCGAGGCTCCTGTATTAGAAACGTCTTTAAGTGGTATGGCAGGTGTCGACCTCGCATGATGCGGTACGCAGTGTCCAAGGGCGGCTAAGAGGAAGAGGGACGACAGTAGATGCTGCATGTTGCAAGGCGTGATGCGGCGAGGAGCTGAGCCAGTGTAGTACTGAATGATTATATAGCGGTACTCGAGACAAGAATAATTCGCCCTGCTTAGAAGATGCAGACGAAGCGTAAGAACCTTACCTCTATATACTTGCAAGACCTACGTATGCAGGCTGTGCGGCGCATACAGGCCTCTACCCTTGTAAATGAAGGTGGAGTCAGAACTATCAAAAAGAGGACTCGAGCTCAGACCTTGCAGATTATTGCCCATACTAGATGCAGCTTCCCGCGGCGCAAGCGCCACGTGAGGGCCAAGGTGCGACAAGGTTCCCGTCTCCATGTTGGACAAGGGCGCTTGAAGACGATCATTTCCTCACTGAAGGTTAAGACGCTACCCTATTTAGCTAGAGATAGTTCGATGTGGGAAGCCGGCAGCCTGGGAAGAGGTGGGCTTAGAACGAATGATCAGATTCGGTAGGTTGTCAAGACGTCCGTGAGTGAGGAGGCTTTGGAAAGTATGGAGCAAGTCGCCCTGCAGACTGCAATGCGGCACCGGTGGAGACTGCGTTGGGTTGTAAACCACGATGCTGTTTCTTAGTCTGAGGACACCGTTGGGTGTCCAGTTGTACAACTGCCAACATTCAGTCAGAGAGCCTAGGCTTGCTGAGGACATTCTAAGCTAGCTAAGCCTGTCATCCATTACTGTCGGCATTCCCTGAGGAGATTGGAATGCCATTCCTGCAAGGTGGCACAGGGAGATACAGTCATTTGGTTGAGACTTCGAAGAGCATCAAGGTTGATTGCAAGGACCACCAGGTCTCAAAAGTTCACTATGGAAGCGCCCTGCATGCATGCAGCTCGCACAGACCTGCACTGCCAAGTGCCGGGGAGATCGCTTGCTTAGGCTAGAATGCAAAGAGGCATTTTACCTAACTTCTGCACTATAATAAGCACGTTAAACGCCCGAAGGAGATGAGCAAATGTAGCTAAATATGCAAACATAGAAGGAAAGAAAGTGGGCAATCCAGACTCCACGTCTATCATCTAGGGGCCGAAACGAGCAAACGTGTTGTCTCGACCTTTGTGCAACGCTGTACTTGACCGTCGCTTGCTGAGCGCCTCTGTCATCGGACCCCGATCCATCTGTCCTTTATGGCGAGCCTCACATTGGAGCACGAACGTGGACTAGGTCGTTATCCATGATGTTTCGTAGCAAAAGCAAACGGTCCGTCAAGGTAGGATCCTGCCTTTTGCACCTTTACCAGGTGAGAACTCAATACTAAAGGCTGTCTGTTGATCTCACCGCGCATGACCAGTTGGGGACGGTCTGATCGACGTTAATACAGCTGTCGTTTCAAGAGAACTGGCAGATATTAGCTGCCTGGATGACCCGTCCGGAGAAGCTCACCGAGTCGACGAAGTTGGCAAGCCATGTAGCAACGATCAATTGCACTGACCCTCGTAGCATACTGTCAGTGGGCTGGTACGCATACATGGTCAGCTTCAATATCTAGGTCCACGAAAGACGGCTTGTTGCACATGTGTGAACATCTTTCCGTCAGTCTTGACAATCTCTCGCTACATGTTTTCGTTTTGTTCCCGTCCCAACCATGTACAGGCCTGCCGTCCTGTTCAGCATTGTCCTTCGCGTCTCACCCTGCGTCAGCCTGACTGCTTCTCATGACCGGAGAAGAGAGGGAGATGGCACTTACATCAACACAAAGCTTGATGGAAGATCTGTTTGGTCATGGAAATCGAGTATGGCAGGCGGAGGCCGCGGGGGCGTTCCGCAACGCGAGATCACTATCCCACCCTCTTCGTTTCCTGCCTCGCAGTAGTGCGCTGGCGATTGGGCCGTATATGTACCACCTTTCTGCCGAACGAGTCTTCATGGGCGTAGCCGGGGCTGCAACCAATGTCACCTGTCTTCTCACGGTTTCAGAAGTCCAGGCAGATGTGAGTGTACTGATATGCCGGGCCGTCTCTGCATACTTCGTACGGTCCCAACCTACGGCCGGCTGTATACGCGGACTCGAAGTGGCCGATCGTGCCTATGAGGTGCCGGAAGCGGGAGCATCTAGACAGGACGACAACAAAATTCTTCCTCACAGCACACCTACTGCGCTTCTGTCTATCGCATATTATTGATGACAGGCATCGGCAGAGCGAACCTTCCCACACTCTCACGTGTTGCAGGTCTTGCGGCGTGCCTACGCAAGTGGAGCGAGCTCGGTTAGCAAAATTGCAGCAACATGCTGCGGAACGTTCTCTGGCAGCGTCACTACTGTCACAGCCGCGAACTAATCCCAGCCGCCCAAAGAGGCCCCCTCGCCCGCGCCTGAAGATGCTGTCGCGATCCCGGAGTGTTCATTGAAGCGCCTGAAGTGTTTGGTGAGCCGGAGAGGCTGTCGACACGCCCGAAGAGGTTGCGAACATGCCCGAAGAGTTTGTTGAGACATCGTCCATGCCGTGCGCGCCCGCTCGAGATAGCTTGTGGTTGGCACGGGTACGTGCCCGTGCCACTTTCAGCGTAATTCACACGATTGAGCACCATGGCCTGAACAGAAACTCTGGGATGACCGATGGCTGGGCCGCACCTTCCCAATGGGAAAGGTAAGAGCTCCAGCTGGGCGGCTTGTATGCTCAGGCTTTGAGAGATACGCTCGGCACCTGGCACAAGCGTGGTCGCACCGCTATCAGCCTGCAGACGTCGAAGTCGCGGACGCCATCCGACTATGAGGAGCTGGCGTATTGGTGGGATTGTGAAGAGGAGTTGTACAGCGGCCGCGATGTACTTGTCGTCTATTGGGAATGGGAGGTTCAGACCGCTGTGTGATTATACACCGTCCACCGGCGCCTGCTGCTCTTGTATATAGGCATGCTTCACAACGTCCGATGTCTGACCAGTACTCTTCAATCGAGAGGGTAGTCCAGCGAGTTTAATCGACAACGAGGCGAACCGGGACAGCGTTCCTAGCGGTTGCCGGCCGAGCTCGTCGCCATGAAGCTTTGGTATTAGCTTCATGAACCCTCCGCCAAGGCATCATGCACGTGACCGTGAAACACCCACTCCACTTCTGATCTCTTATTCGATATTATCCAGCCATCTCACCTCCTCCACCTACCTTGGTCCTATTATGTATTTCGAAGCGTGTGACTCCAATCCGGCTTACCACTCCTCAGCTAAGCAATGCTTTGTTAAACCTATAGTGAGCTCTGCCATCAAGGCAATAGGTGGAAGATGGCTGTCAAAAGCTTCATCACGTTTCTCATACCGTAGGCTCATCCCCGGCACTGATGGTAGCCACAACAGCTTCGCATCTATTCAAGAAAGTGGGATGACTGCCTGCTATAGCTCCCTGGTCTCAGAGCTACGGCCCTACATTGAATGCTCAACGGCAATACACCAGCTTGACGGTCCACTGCTCACTCTGGAGATGGTGATCCAATGTACTGAGCGTATCCATCCGAAAGGGTAGTGCGAGCTACTCATGGCAGCTATACGACCTTCTATTGGCATCACGTTTCCAGGAATATTAACAAGTCCACCATAGCGCGGTCTGCAGGCGTCTCCCTTAAGTCTCATAGGTGGTCTATGGCTGGTTGTGGTGAGCGTGTAAGCAAGGTAGGTTGGGTCGGTTAGGCATATCGCACACAATCGAAATAGTGGAAGGGTAGGCTCTCTTGACGTGCAAAACCTCAAGAACCCGCTCATCTTCCCTCCTCTCTTCCATCAACTTTCCTCCCACCTCTGAGGGATCGTTCCAAACCGAACTCTCACCATGAGGTTTATCATTCCGGCAGTTCTGAGCGTCGCTGCCCTGGCCATCGTTCTTCCTATCTCTCACAACGGTCTCGAGACTGCTCTCAACGTCACCAAAACAGTCTCCGCGGTTGCCTCAGCCGAGGCGGAGAAGATTCAGCCCGCACCCTCCGGACTCGCTTATGACGGAAGTGTCAAGCTGCTTGAGCTTGTCGGTGAGGTTGCGGACAGAGCTCACGACTCTCTGAATAAGGTCGCCGCCCGTGCCGCCAAAATTCCGGCTAACTTGCTCTCCTCTCCGGTCTCTGTTGCGGGTGACACTACCCGGTCATCGGACAAGAAGCTCTTTCCTCGCTGCGGCAAGAAAAACCCGTTCCCCGTAAGCTCACGATGCACACCGCACCGAGGAGGTGCCACCATACCAGGCGAGAAACGTTTGCTAACATTCCAATAGAAGGCTGTCGCGGAAAATGCCCCTTGTGACCCCAAGGATGAACACACTTACCAGCCCGCGGACGCACCGTTCCACCCGGTAGGTGACAGCTTCATCGCCATACATTGATGACAGCCTTCACCTTTACTGACACGCCCAATAGAAAGCTGTTGAAGACAACGCGCCGGATAAGCGTCCGCAGCCGAAATCGACTCGGCCCGTCGCCAACACCCTTAAGCCAGGCGATCCAGCACCAACCATACTCCCTCACGACGGATATTACACAACGACCATGTCCGTGCTGCAGCAAACGTACTCAGAAGCGCCCGTGCCGTCTGGGGCAGGACAATGCCAGCCGCCTCTCTGCTACGAAGGCTCTGCAGGTACCGTTGCAGAGCGGGACGTGGATGCCGCTGCGGCCGTCCAAGACGCCGACGAGCGCAAGCAGCCGGGACCTTGGAGGCCGGGTGACCCGACGCCCACCGTGCTCCCTTCCCGGCTGTGGTCTCACACCACGATGGCCGTGCCGCGGCCAACGTACATGCTGGCCTCACTGCCGTCTGGAGAAGGGCAGTGCCAACCACCTCACTGCCACGAAGGCCTTCCGGGGGCAATCGCGGATGTTATGCCCACTGTCGAAGTCGACAAGGCCGCAAAGCGCGACATGGATGCTGCTGCTGCTGCCGACGTCGTCCTTCGAGCCACAAGTACTTTGTCAGCCACGGCAATGATCACTGCCAACCCTTGCCCATCAGGCTTGTGCCACGAGATCACGACTGGTCTGGATGGTTACGCCACGCCTTTCGCGGCCGCGACTACCGTCAAGCAATGCACAGCGCCCAACTGCTACGCCGGACTTCCTAGCGGCTTCCAGACCAGCGTCAAGATTACGAAGGCAGAGACGAAGACGAAGCGAGACGCCGACGCCACATTCCACGCCGCGACCCCAACCGCTGATGCCTCGAAGAGGGACCTTGACAACGCCGACGCTGCCGACGCCGCCGACATGGCTGACAACTCAGCCACCTCCAACAAAAGCGATAAGCAAAAGTGCCACTGGGGCAAGTGCTACTTGACTGGCTGGGTGACCAAGCGCAAGACCGATGCTCCAAGGAAGAGGGCCAACGACGCCACCGACAGCGCTAATTCGCCCGTCTGGATCCTCTGCTTTTATGAAGGGAAGTTTTGTCACGGGAGAATGAGGCCGATTTGGGGGGTTAGAGGACGAGAGGGATAAGAACGTGCCGTGTGATCCAAAGGCCACGGTGACAGCTTGCCTGCCGCCCCACTGCCATGAGGGCCCGGCAACTGCGGAGACTTCATAGAGGAATAGCCATGCCGCCGATGATGGGAAGGAATAAGGAGGGATGGAGAAGAGATTGACTGGCTGGGAAGAGAGTGCAGACGGTCAGAATGTGGTGATGCGGCGGTGGCGAGGCATCTTGGGTTGGAGGTGCTTGCGAGAGAGGTGTTGATGGTGTTCACAACGATACCAAGAGTTGTCTCATTTGTGCGTTACGACTAATGTCAGTCCGCAGCTTCGTCTGCTATGTATGTTCTCTTCTATAGTGTGGTGTAGTCTTTAGGAGTACTGTTATACCACACATCTCCTGACGTACCAGCTCGCTTGGTCACGGCTCAAGACAGTGAAGCTGATGGTCTTGGCGGTCCATGTCGGTCTTTGAGCGACAGCCCTCCTTTGCATGTCGACTTTGAATCATGTCCACAGTACCATATGTGTGCGCCAGGTGCCTTCGCCAGTCAATTAATCGATCTGTGAGATTTTCGAGGCGGCAGCTGCGCCTGCAATCTACTTGTAAGCTTTTGTGCAGTGCAAACTGGAAAGGAAGCAAATCCGACGACTGATCGAGCGTATATGCAGCCGCTCCCGTCCACGCCATCTCGCCTACACTCCTCTCACGAGCCCGGGCCGTCGCGGACGAGTATGCGAGCATCTCTCAGCGTCTCGCCAGCGACTACGATGCGAAAGCAGCAAAGCGCCTCGGCGAGCTCCAGTCCACATCGGCCGCCGTGAAGGAGTATGACAAGGCGCATTCTGCGCTCACGGAATTAGAATCTTTACTCCATTCACCAGACAAGGAGTTACGGGATCTAGCAGAAGACGATGTTCAGCCTACGAGAGACCGGATAGAGCAGGCATCAGCGGCTCTTAGGTCCAGCTTAATACCCGTCCATCCATTTGCGCACCTGCCATGCCTTTTGGAGATACGGCCAGGTGCTGGCGGCGACGAGGCTGCTCTATTCGCTGGTGATCTGTTGCACATGTATGAGGCCTACTGCACTCGCCATGGTCTGCGAACGGCACGGTTAAAGTTCGAAACTGCAGACGGCATGGTCTCAAGTACTGGAGCAGGTGGCACGCACCTTCAAGAAGCCATATTATCTGTAGAAGATGCAGGTGCATATGGCAATTTGCGCTGCGAAGCCGGCGTGCACCGGGTCCAGCGTGTGCCTGCTACTGAGAGCAAAGGCCGCACGCATACCTCAGCTGCAAGCGTCCTGGTCTTACCATCTTTGACCTCGGAGAACGATGGAGAGACTGGCGAGGACAGCTTCAACAACCCGAAGAGCGACTACTACGTCGACCCGAAGGATGTTACTACCGAAGTCATGCGCGCAAGTGGTGCAGGAGGCCAACACGTTAACCGCACCGAATCCGCCGTCCGACTCACGCACATTCCGACCAAAACAGTCGTAGCGATTCAAGAAACCCGTTCGCAGATCCAAAACCGGGAGAAAGCGTGGCAATTGCTCCGGTCACGCATCGCGCAACAACGGCGCAATGAGCGGGAGGAGGAGATTGCTCGCCTGCGACGCGGTGCCGGCGCAGGCCGGGTTGGTAGAGAGCACAAGGTCCGAACATACAATTGGGGCCAGCAGCGCGTTAGTGACCACCGCAGTGGCCTCGACTTGCGCAATCTGGATGATGTGATTGCCGGGGGTGAGTCACTTGATCGGGTTATGGAGAGCGTGAGGGCGTGGATGGCGGAGCAAGAGGTGATCGGTCTGGTCGCTGAGGAGGAGAGTAAGCAGAGCAAAGTGTAGCTCAGCCGGGCACACTCTTGCCTCACTGTTGCTGGGTACGGGTCATATGCGATCATGCCCGTGCTATCACGGCTTTTGATTATGAACTCTTCAGTCCTTCACCGCACTTCGCTCGCCATAACAATAGTGGACTCCCAGTCATGTGGCAAGCTGAGTTCGACGCCCACAATAGTGGTGCCACGGCTTCTACGAGCTGACATTGGCCAACGGCAGTGCGACTTTCGACATAATCCAAACTAGCAAGCAGTGACTACGAAGTGCTCGGAAGGGATCACGCATGTCAATCCGTCGAGCTCTACTCTGCGTATACTTTTCTTTCTATTCGGGAAGGTCCTCGATTCCTTGAAGTTGCCAGTTTTCCGACATTCGCGATGATCGGCATGCTGCTGTTGATTCTCGCTCTCTTGCCGTTCGTGGCTTCAGACCCAACGACGACTATCCACCTGCACCTCACCGCCACCACGGAGGTCACAACGACTGAGACCACATCGCTTGCGCCGGTTCCAACAGCAGGCGACTGGGAGACTGTTTTGATACCAGTGCTACAAAGCGGAAGTGTGCTTGCCAGTTACTCCGCTGCAGGCATCGATACGAGCTTTACTTCAGCTTCGAGCGAATCGTCTTCGGCTCAAGCAATATATATGCCATGCGAAACCGGTCCGGTTATCAATGGCCAGAGCTCGTGGGCTGGTACTTCGTACTGCCTGGCAGCAAGCGCCACGATGAAGGTGAGTACAATGCAGCGTTAGGGCTCGCTGAATACCACTGGCTCTTCCAGTCAGTGCTTCTGGCGAGCAACAGTGATCAGTGGTAGCCCTTCGTGGCCTGTTCGATGCGTATTCACCTCTGCTAAAGTAACTATAACACGCAAAGCCTCTTCGACTGTCTAAACCGCACACGATACTAATTCAACTCCACAGGCGATGATGTCGACAACAACTCTCACAGCCGTAAGCACGAAGTGGCTTACGTCTACTTTGGCAAACATCATGTCAACCACGGCGAGCAACCTAACGACGATGCTCATGTCCACAACAGGGGTCACGACGGCGAGCACGTCCGCTCTCAACCCCACAACTACCTGCTATCCAGACGCGTACGGCCAAACAAATTGTTTTGATATTGTCACGCCGAGCACCTCTTGGTGCACAACCATGGGTTGTCAATGGTATGCAGTCACGGGAACAGAGAGTACTATAACGACAGCGTCGCTGCTGCCGACAGTCTCGGCAATACCCAACTCCACGGCGATACAGGAGTGTCTGAACGCACGTGGAGGCGTGTTTAACGGTATCGTCAGTCCTGGCTGCGCTGCCATGCTATGGCATCTTGAGGCGTGCTATAACTCATATGGTCCAATCACGGATCCGTATAACATACCACAAAGCCATCTGTTCCAAGCATGCGCTTGTGAGACATACGATAACACGCCGTTCAATTCGAGCAGCTGGTTATGGCAGAATTTCACCGGCTGCGCGACTTGCCTTGAAGCGTCCAGTTCCGGTATTACAATGGACATCCTATCCCAGCAACTCGAGGACATCGACAACTTCTGCCGCTCACAGAACCCGGTCATGTATTTGGCGATAGCCGACTTCGAACAGTGGCTGAAGTTGGTACTGGCTGGGTTAACTCTCACCCAGCCGGTGCTATCAGGAATCATCACCGATAACTTAAAAGCCAGCTCGCTATTCACAACAACGCCTCCACTCGCAAACCTGGCGTATGGACCCTCTGCGCCCTTCGACGGCAGCTTGAGAGGCGTCGTTCCGAACCTGATGACCCAGGTACTTACAAGTGTTGGCACTGGGTCCGCATCAACATCTACTACGGTGGTGTCTATCACGATGCTCGTTGATTGGGAGTCCGCGTCGATACCTCCAGGTTCCATAGGTTATTACGATCCAACGGCTGCCAGTATCGAGGCTGCCGAAGCTGCGAGTGCGAGCCTGCAGAGCGCAATCAGCCAACTGGAGACTGTCGGTCAGGGAGGTCCCACGGGTCCACGATGTATCGGGCCTTGCCCCAAGCTCTCATGTTCCACGAGATTTGTTTCCAGTCAGGTGAAAATTGCTTCAGTCATGGTGGGGTTAGCCATAGCTGTATGCTTGAGTTTGTAAATCAAATATTCCTAGGTTCGCATTGCACAAAACAGCAGTTGTGCGGACGAGGGCTGCAACAACATGTCCGAGAACCGCAATGAACCGTGTAGTAGATTGCATGCCTTGGAAACTATGCGCCCAAGATGTATCTGTTCATTGCTTCTGCCGCTCAACGGCGAACTCCGACGAGGCTACATGTTCGCTTGCCGTATCGAGTATATATCGTCTTGCTGGGACTCAGTATACTGCATACGCGTAGAGGTGAATGAGTTCCAGCTACGTGGGCGAGCCTGAGCAGCGTCTTTTAGCAATATCACAGCAAGTACACCCAGCATATACCTTCTCTTCTGGGCAGCCCGGCATGGCTCAACGGCCCTTCATAACCTGCCATGTGCTCGATACAGTCGCCGGCAAGCCTGGCGCTGGTATAGACGTGAAGCTGAGACTCCTTTCACCCGCTTCCGAAAGTGAAGCTCAATGGACGGCAAAGACGAACAGCGACGGTAGAGTGCCCACCTGGAGCTCGTCAAGCGAACTGAACGCGGTTGTGGCTAAGCTGAAGGGCGACATTGGCGATGACGAGCAAATGGTGTGGTGCCTGACATTCGACACTGAAGCGTACTTTGGCAAGGGCAAGACGTTCTGGCCGCAAGTGGACCTGACGTTTGCGGCAAAGAAGGAGGAAGAGCACTATCATGTACCGCTTTTGCTCGGGCCGTGGAGTTACACCACTTACAGAGGCTCGTGAGGCACGCCGAACAATGTCACCCTCATTTCCGCCAATGCTGGCATGACGAGATGTTACAAGGCTCCGTACAGTTCTGCATGCAGCTAGTAAGCGAAAAGACTCGGGTTTTTGGCAGGAGAGGCAGGCATGACGACCTGGAAGCACCTAGTGTCCACAGAGACCACGAAGCGCGCGACTATGGTGGGTATTTCAGCACCGGCACTGTACAGACATCGACTGGGAATGCGGGAAGAGTCACAACACTACAACCTAGCGAGCGCCTATCAGAAGCAGAGGCCAGAGAACCGACCGTGAAAGATATGGAGTTGGCTATCAGCATTAGAATCAACGATCACTGATAGTGCAGCATTCGAAAAAGTTTAAACTTTCGCTCATTCGATACGCTCCCACAGAAGCATCAAGAGCTGTTCCGTGAACTCCTAGAGTAACACTATGGTATTGCTCGCTTGCACTAGTCCTCGCTGTGTCCCCTGCTCTGGGGTCTGCATGGAAGGCACGCTTTAACGAAGCGATCTCGGCGAAAGTCAACCCCCACTTAATGGCAACTTCATTGCTGGCTTATGATAGCTACATATAGTGTATCACTATGCCAATCCACGATCTTTCGAACAAAGTCGTCCTGCTCACAGGCATCGGCGCAATTGCTGATGGATGGGGCAACGGCACAACGATTGCAGCGCTGTTTGCTAGGCAAGGTGCCACAGTCTTCGGTTGCGACATTAACTTAGACGCAGCCAACAAGGCTGTGAACGAGATTCGGAACGATCCTGAAGTAGCTAGCCATCCAGCTAGAAATAGTGGTCACGCCGCCGTGACAGTGCTGCAGCAGAGTTGTGTATGTTCCATGTATCAGTCGGCCGCAATCGTGTAGTAGCGCTAATCATCCGCAGGACGTGACGAAGAAGGACCATTGCGCGAGCCTAGTCCAAGCCTGCAAAGAATGTTACGGCCGCATCGACATCCTCGTCAACAACGTCGGCAAGTCCGAGCCCGGTGGACCAGCAGAGATGTCCGAGGAAGTGTGGGATGCGCAGATGGATGTCAATCTCAAGTCTGTGTACCTCATGTGCCACCTAGTCTTGCCAATCATGGAGGAGCAGAGCACCGGTGGTGCCATTCTCAATGTCTCCAGTGTCGCCGGTCTGAGGTACATTGGCAAGCCGCAAGTTGCGTATGCGGCAACGAAGGCAGCCATCATCCAGTTTACCAAGACCACAGCCGTGATCTACGCTCAGCGAACGAACGGCAAAGTGCGACTGAATACTATCGTCCCGGGTTTGATCAACACGCCGTTGGTGTCGGTGTTGGCGAAGAAGTACGCCGGTGGCGATGAGGAGGGCTTCCGGAAGGTACGAGACGCGCAGGTACCCACAGGCAAGATGGGTACGCCGTGGGACGTGGCTCATGCGGCGCTGTTCCTGTGCTCGGATGAGGCATCCTACATCACCGGCCAGGAGCTGGTAGTGGACGGTGGCATTGTTAACAGCACTGGGAGGACGCCGCAGGGTTAAGATTGCGATCCGGCGTGGGTGCTGAATCACGCTCACGTTCCGTTCTCCTCGAGTAAGCGCGACACCGTAACGATCTCGTACCCTCTCCGCCTAATCTCGGGTAGAACCTTCTGCAGCATCGGGAGCGTCCAGCTCCGGCGATCATGACAGATGATCACGGCTCCCGGTCGTAGCATGCTCAGGATATGCCAAGCGTTGACACGCCAGTACTTGATGAACGGGTCATGCGGGTAGATGCTGCCCAAGATGGTCTTGTAGCCGAGTTTCGCCGCGACATTGAGTACACGCTGGCTAAAGATGCCGGAACCGGGGCGGAAATAGCGGCCTTCACGTGCCATTCCCGTGGTCTTGTAGGCTTGACTTATGAGTCCGTCCACGTGCTGAATCTCCTCACCCAGAGTGCCGCTCGAAACGTTGATGCTTGGTTCGTCGTGCATCGCATGGTTGCCTAACTCGTGGCCTTGGCGTACTATCTCGTCGACGATGTCTTCGCGACCAGTTACTTGTCCTCCGATGATGAAGAACGTGGCGTGAGCGCCATTGGCTTGGAGAACCTCCAGCAATTGCTTGGTATACTGGGTAGGTGCATCATCGATGGTCAATGCAACCAGCTTCTTGCTCGTCTCGATGTGGAAGAGCACGCTTGGAAAGCGATTTTGAAAGTAATTGATCACGAGCTTCGGCGGCTTGTAGATGACATACGCCGGCAATATGACCAGCAGAGCAATGATCAATGCAACAGTTTGTACGGCCATCCGTGTCCGGCGTGCTCTACGGCGTGTCCAGCGGCCGGGCAGGCGGAAGAATGGATTGACCAGAGGCATTGATCACCCATCACTAACAACATGAAAAGATGATGGTCATCTTGTCTGCCTGATGCAAGGCCCACCACAATTAGTAGAGACAAGCTTCGCCTGCATGGCAAACGAAACAGAAAGGAGAAGGCACGCTTTAGAGTTGGTTCATGGCCTGTGCGTCAATGTGACTGCCCCACCGACAGCGATAGGCCCCTCCATGTAACTTGCTTGTCCTCGTGCTACACTTGATGAAGACATTAATCGCTCATATCAAACCTTTCTTCTCTTCAGCAAAATCGACTGGTCTGCGCTGCGTTCGTAGGCGATCGGTCAACGATATAAACACATACCAAGCGCGATACCCTATCGCAAGAGCGTCTTCAACAGCTTCCTGGCCCTACATATACCGAACCACACCCTCGCCCAGCATGGCACCAAATCTGGACTCGTACTTCAAGACAGTCGACGCCAACGCCGAGGCTTTCATTGACCGCTTGCGGAAAGCCGTAGCGATACCGTCAATCAGCGCCGAGGACGAGAGACGGCAGGATGTGGTCAAGATGGGCATGTTCCTAAAATCGCAGCTTGAAGCATTAGGCGCGCATATGGAGGCAAGACCACTTGGCAAGCAACCTGGCAAAGAGCATCTCGAGCTGCCACCTGCCATCATTGGCCGCTACCCGAAGGAGAAGGACGAGAGCAAGCGAACGATCCTCGTCTATGGTCACTATGATGTACAACCCGCGGCTAAGGTTGACGGCTGGAGGACGGAGCCGTTCGAGCTCAGCATAGATGACAAGGGCAGGATGTACGGCAGAGGCAGCACAGACGACAAGGGCCCGGTACTCGGGTGGGTAAACGCAATCGAATCGCACCAAAAAGCCGGCGTGGATTTCCCTGTCAACCTCTTGATGTGTTTTGAGGGCATGGAGGAGTACGGGTCGGAAGGTCTAGACGACTTCATCGTGGCCGAATGCAAGCCTGGCAAGTTCTTCGCCGACGCAGATGCCGTCTGCATCAGCGACAACTATTGGCTGGGCACCGAAAAGCCATGCCTCACCTACGGTCTCCGAGGTTGCAACTACTACAGCATCGAAATCAGCGGACCAGGCCAAGACCTCCACAGCGGCGTATTCGGTGGCACAGCAGCAGAACCCATGACCGATCTCGTGCGTGTCATGAACACACTCGTGGACAAAGACGGCAACATCCAGATCAGGGGCCTCTCCGAACTTGTCGCGCCCGTCACCAAAGAAGAAGAGAGCCTCTACACCAACATCGCCTTCACCATGGACGATTTCTACGAATCTCTGGGTTCCAAAAGCAGCATCTTCGAAGACAAGAAGAAAACGCTCATGGGCCGCTGGCGCTACCCTTCCCTCTCCCTCCACGGCATCGAAGGCGCCTTCTCCGGTGCCGGAGCAAAGACCGTCATTCCGGCAAAAGTCACCGGCAAATTCTCCATCCGCACTGTACCAGATATGGAACCGCACGAGGTCGATACGCTCGTGTACAAGCACGTCGAGCAAGCCTTCGACAGCTTGGGGTCGAAGAACAAGATGCGCTGCTGGCTGCAACATAGCGGCAAATGGTGGGTGGCCTCGCCCAAGCACTGGAATTTCACCGCTGCGGCGAAGGCGGTGGAGAAGGTGTGGGGCGTGCAACCGGACTTGACGAGAGAAGGCGGCTCGATACCCGTGACGTTGACATTTGAGCAAGCGACGGGTAAGAATGTGCTGTTATTACCCATGGGCTCGAGCACGGATGCTGCGCATTCGATCAACGAGAAGTTGGACCGGAGGAACTACATTGAGGGTATCAAGCTGCTCGGGGCATACCTGCATTATGTGGCGGAAGAGCCTATGAAGGAGGCTTAGTCGCATAGGAGACGGGAGGGAGGCATAGATTCATACCTGAGCCTACCTTCGTTCTATGATGATAACCTGCTTCTGTAACCCTACAGTTCCACGACAATCGTTCGCGATGACGTTAGTTCTGAGATCGTATGTGAAAGCTCGATGCAACTCTATTCCGCCGTCTACACTCAAACGAACGTACAATGCGATTAGCGCCTCCCGCCGCGCATGCCATAATGATTCGTCCATCATCCCATGCAATGCTCCACCGTGCACTGCTCCACCGCGCAGAAAGCGTAGCGCCTTTCAAACCATGCCCGCCGCCCCTAAAACCCAGCCCTGAAACCGGACAACTCCATGCTCGCTCGTAACGCACCATAGTGATACCAAGAAGCTCATTCTGTACGAGTCCGCTTGGACGACTCATCCTCCACTCCATCATCCGCCGCCCTCTTCGTTCCAGCGCTTATTTCCAATTGCTCGCCTCTCTCACCGCCGCTCGATTGCTGCGGCGGCGATGGACGCCGAGGTACTCCACCCAACTCCGGCGCCTGCGCGGACGTGTTCGTACTGGCAGGTCCCCGCAAATTAGGTGCTGTGTTTCCCTCCGGCGCTTCAGACTCCCGCACCCATTCCGGAAAGACAGGAGGCCCGCGAAACGGAGAAGGCTCCGGTATTCCGCGTCTATTCAACCACTGCAGAAACTCCGCTTGCCCTCCAAATGCCTGCTGAAACTGCTGTTGTTGTTCTCGGGTGAGCAGGTAGTACTGTTCCACCGTGGGCATAGTCGCCAGACGTTCCCATCCGTAGGTACGAATATCTTCTCTCGTTGGTAGTGGGCCCAGGTACCTGGGCGGAGGGGATAATGTGCCATTGGGGCCGGCGTACGGTTGTGGGTTGCGCGGTGGAGACGGTGTTGTACGAGGCAGATTCGTAGCCCAGATCTGCTGTGCCGGCTGAGAGAGCTGTCGGATGATGGCTGGTGGTATGCGGCGCATACCACCGAAATGGGCGGACAATCGCTCGAGCTGCACGTGATGATGGTCGAGATTTGACGAGCCCGCTGGGAGCGCAGCTTGCTCTCGCAGAATGTTCGTGACGGTCGAGCTTTCGGAGATGGGAGGGTGCTGTGGTGCCACTGCCGGTAGAACTTGCTGTGGAGGTGCCGTCGCTGGCAAAGCCTGCTGTGGAGGTGCCGTCGCTGGCAAAGCCTGCTGTGGAGGTGCCGTCGCTGGCAAAGCTTGCTGTGTCTCGTGTGTCGCCTGCGCATCGCGTTGAGGTGGTGACAGCCTTGCCGCAGCTTGCCCAGCCTGCGCCTGGCCATCTGTTGCCGCCGGCGTAGCACTTTGAGAACCCCTTGTCGGTCCTTTCAGTTGCTCATACCGCGCCATAATTGCGTCAAGACGGCCACACACCGTTCTTTCCTCGTCCGTGTGCAGCTCAACAGCCGGCGCTGCGGCGCCACCATTTCCGTGGAACTTCTCACTGGCAATGTCGGTGCATCGCTTGAAGAGCTCGCTATGGCTATTGAACGCCTCCGAGTTCGGAGGAAACTGCGCCAGGTAGTGAGTCCGATAAGCGATGATTTCCCGAATCATGCTGTCGAAGGACATCGGCATTGGTGGAGCTTGCTGCTGCTGTCGACCAGGGACCATACCGTAGGCTTGTTGACCGAGCGCGTAGGGGCTCGCATACGGACCTGCACCGTAACCGCCGTACCCTTGCTGCTGATACTGCAAATGCGGTGGTATTCCTTGCTGCCAACCCTGCGGCATAGGCCTCTGCGGCGGCGTGACGCGTCGTTTCTTCTCTCTTTCCAGTGGTACGTCCGGGTTGATGATCCACATAGAACTCTTGCCGTTCTTGCCGTTACGCAGAAAGTGATCGTTCTGCAGCAAGTTGTGGCGCACGCTGGACTGCCAGCCAGAGGTACCTGCCCGGTAGCGATAGTAAGGCCACTTCTTGCACAACGCCTCATAGATTTCTTGGAGGTCACCAGTACCGATGTCTCGCAGAATGTCGTCCAGGAGGTGAACGTACGTCATGGCCGGCCGTTTGAGTTGCTCCTCGGTGTACTCACTCTCTTCCTTCATCGGTGAGAAGGCCTTCTGCTGGACTTGGATCTTGGGCGGCACTGGCTTGCGTGCGGTCTCAGCAGGCGTGGCCGAGACTTTCTCGTCGCCTTCAGCCAACGGCGTACCCTGCGTGGCAGTTGCCGCGACTCCCTGCTCCGTCTCGATGCTCTGCACGACACCCACCAGCTCGGGCGGTACCGGCTGTCCATTTGCAGCCGCCTTCTGCGCCGCCTCACGCTGCTTGGTCTCGGCACGCACAATCTGCAGTAACGTCTCGATCGATGGGACAGCATGTCCAGCCTTCTCATAGTCCTTGATTTTGCGCTTGATCATCGACTCATCGCGTTTGGAGATGACACCGTTCTTCGGCGGCCGCCCAGGACCTTTACGCTTTTGTGGGAGCTGGTCGTGCGGAACGTTTTCCAGTATCGAGCCGGGCTGGATATTGATAGTCGGCGGGGATGGCTCTTTCTTCTCCTCGGCCGCTTCACCTTCCTCACCTTGCTCACCCTCCTCTGCTGCTTCCACGGGAGCCGCCACCTTCGGCTTCTTGCCTTTGTCGGCCTTCCGTGCCACGTCCGGCGACTTCTCAGGACTCTTTCCTTTCTTCCTGGTGACCTTCTCTGCCTCCGCTTCAGCCTCCTTCTCCTTCGCCTTCGCTTTGCCCCTGTCAATTTTTAGCTTGAGCTTCGGGAGCTTGGCTTTCGGTGTAGGCGGCTCTTCTCCCTCATCATCGCCATCAACATCTCCGAGTGCGTCGCTCAAACGCCGTGCGGCAGGGCTGGTCCGCAAATCAACCTCATCATCAGCGTCACCGGCAACATCATCGCTGAAAACTCCGTGACTCAGAGTCTCATCAGTCTCGCCAAACTCATCGACTGGCAGTTTGAACTGAATGTCTAAAGAGTAGAGTTGGATACGATCACCGTGCTGCAGGGAGACTGTGGCATCGCGCTCAAGTAGGTCGCCGTTGACGGTTGCAAAGCGACCAAGCACCTTCAGCTCCCACGCTTCCTCATCGAAGTTGTAGTTGAACAGTAAGTGCTGCTTCGAGATGCGGTTGATGTCTTCTGGATTCGGAGGGTGAAGCGGCACGAACGCCTCCTCGGGAGCGTCATCAACGGAAGCAGTGGCGCCTGCGGGAATCTCGGAGTCGTGAGCTTGGTAAGTAGCAGGGTGCAAATTTGCTGGGGCGATCGACGTCGTGGATGACGATTTGGAGATGTACATTTGACGACGTCGGCGCCGTCGTCGACTATGATCCGCCTCATTATCAGAAACGGCCGCATAGGATACAGCGCCCCCCTGCTCGCTGTAGTTGCTCGGCAATGCACGAGCTGGACGACCTTCAAGTGACTCGTTCGACTTCGTGGACGGACCTTGCTCGTTGTCGCCATCACCAGCTTGGGAAGGCTGACCGAGTTCAGAGCGATACTGCTCGAGGTCCGACATGGCCCGTTCCGCATTCACTTGTTGCTGCTGCCTAAAGCGGTCATCAAGACGTCTTTCCTGGTGTACGCGTTTGTGGAAGTGCATGTCCCGGCCGAGTGTAACTTGCAGGGTGGTGATGTAGTAGTCACCATCATTGAAGGCAAGCTTGGCGTAGCCTCTCATGGCTTCTTGCTCGCCTGGAGCGAAGCTAGCTCCATAAGCCTGGTCGAGACCTTGAGTGTTCTCGCTCACGTCGAGCTCACCGTCAATGGCTTGCGGTAGAAGAGCTTCAGTGTTGAATGCTGCCAAGGCAGCTGCAGCATAGACTGCATTCGTACTAGTCGGACTAACTTGCTGCTCGTCCACATTCCCACGGACATTGCTGGACTGAAAGTGGTTCATTGGCGGCACATGAGCAGGCGTATCAAGTGCGGTTGCGAGATGCCCACGTGCCTCACCCCAGGCAGCGGGTACTTCATCGTAGTCCGGTTTCGGTTCGGTCAACAAGTCAGTATCAATGCTTAGCAGATTCTCTCTGCCGTCCGTCATCCCGAAGGCTGGACGATCCGGTGTATATGGATTACTCGGCAATGGCGGGGCCGATTGGGCGACAAGTGCGCCAGCTCCGCTGCTGTCCATCTCTTGAAAGGAGTGCGAAGGCGGCCTGGCTTCATAGCTAAAACTGCTCGGCGGAAGTGATGTCGGAGTATAACGCCACGTGATGCTGGAGGACGCGGAGGACGTGAACAACGAGTCGTGTCCGGGACGATGTGGCTCGGTGGGTGTGCGGTGTTGAGGTGGGTGATACCGGCTGAGTAATAAGTCAGCAGTACCGGTATGATTGTTCACGTGGTAGCAATGCCGACACGTGAGCGGATTGCGACTGTTTGGATAGCGGTGGTATGGGCAGTGGATTCGATGAAGTCCGCTGTAGTCGAAAGGGAAGACTGTGTACGGCCAGGAAAAGTTAGCGTTGCAGTCGGTGAAGGAAGGAGCGAGTAGCGAGCGGGTGAAGGCGGCAGTTCTCCGCCTGCAGGGATGATCATGTGGAAGGAACGTGCAGGTGATTTGTTGATGTCGTTTCGCTCTATTCTTCACCTCCACCTCCACAGCTACCACTACCACGGTATTACAATGTACACACAATTATTGATTAATGAGACACGCAGCTGACGGTGATGACATAATTCTGGTGCCGGAGGCAGTTGGTCCGAAGGAAGGACACGCTGCCGCTCGACGCCTCGTGGGGACAGGAACATATTCCAGGCGACAACCAGCGCGGCGAACGGCAACGACTTCCGCACGTCCACGACTTTTCCGCCCTCCTCTTACACGGTCTGGCTGGAAGTGAGTGCCTGTGAAGCGAACGACGACGTACCTTCGCCTGTGATCACGTCCGTGAACGACGTCGAGTCCTGGCTAACCCGAAACCGCCCCGGATCGAACACCGCCGGTCCGGCCACAATACTGACAAGGTGCTGTGTGTCCGTCACGGTGTCCATGTCGAATTGCGTGCGCGTGGTGTGTGTGGTGTACGTGTCGTGATCGGTCTTGGCTGCTAGCTCAGTAGAGAGAGACCATGGTTCTGAGCCAGAGAAAGACGAGACTCAGAAGACAAAAAGTCCGCGAGTTATCTTGTGCGAAATCATCTTGAGGCCGTCTCGTGGCGTCCTCATGCTACCCTTTCGCCAGTTATTGACAGGCCGAATGGTAAGATTTTGGCGTAGAGTTCAGGATTACTGCAGCCCCTGATACGACGAACCAGGTGGAGACATTATTACCACTGCGATGCTAGAGGAGGTATCCGACAGACCAAACGCTGAGCCTCAGGAACACAATATCGATGCAGATGACATGTCTAAAGATCCTTCCAGTCGACGCAGGCGAGGTTCTAAATGCTTCGAGAGCCGATAGACATTGAAAGCGTGCACCACAATTTCAGAACAGACGCAAGATTGATGTCAGGACTGTTCATGTTTGCCACCTAGCCTCAACAGCACCCCTAGAGAAGAAATGTCCAACCGTCTTGACCTGGTGCACAGCGTTGGACACGACGTCTTTCCGCTACGCCTCGACCTAAGAATCATTGCCAGAGCCTACAATCTCTCCAACAGGGATTTGACGTCTCCCACTTCTTGCATCGCCAACAAACTAATACGATTGCAATCCACGTTTGAGGGCATTCAACCCATTCGAAATCTCTTTAGTGAGAGCCTTGTGTTTACCTCAAGGTCCCTCATCCAGCGCTTCTACACAAGGTGTACCTTTGCCATTGAGCGACTAGGCTTGGTTCAGTTCCGCGTGACTCTAACGCTCGACTTGAAACATGACTGTAGGAGCACGGGCGTCCACTCAGATGGACAGGTATTGGTAGCCTCTTTCAGCAGCATTTGATGTTTAACGGGAGAAGGGCGTACGAAATAGTCCAAGCTAATAGTTCACTGTCGTTTTCGCTCGTAAGACGGTAGCATCAATATTCGTCTCATGGAAGACCACGTTCTTGAACAACAAGAGACAAACCTACGACGATGCGCAAAACCACTGTTGTCCTATCGCGAGATACTGTCGCTATGATTGACCGGAGGACAATCAAAGCCAGGACCCACTTCAGTCTTCTCGGAATCACTCACATCCTCCATTAAGACCAAACCGTGTCTCGAGCGTGGCCTTGGCGTCGTCGGCGGAATGATCTGCGCCATCCCTGTCTCCGCCTCCCCCCTTCTCGCACGGACTCGTTTCCCGCGCACGCTCTCGGTGTCTCGACCAGTGACTTGCGGTCTGACGCTGCAACGTGCGCGGATTGAGTGGCGGCAGCGGTGGGTTCGCCATACGGACCGACGATCGCTCGCTCCGCAGCTTAACTGGCATCGCAGAGGCAGGTGTGATCGGCGTATGCGGTCTAAGCGGCATAAGGAGTCCAGGCAACGAGACCGGCGTGGGAGGTCTTCACAGCCGTAAGTCGCCGACGGTCGGCCTCGAGCGCTCGAGAGGTGGCATGCATGTCGACTACAGCACCCGGATCCACTTCTACCCCTTCGATGACCGGGACGTTGACGTCCTGGAACAGCGGCTCCGGAAGTTCCTCTTTCGTCTCAACATAATTCCGCACGCAAATGCCATGGAGCTTGTTGGGAAACAACTCCTTACCAGCAAGCATCTCCCTCACCCCAGCACCGATCAGCCTCCACTTTCCCTTCTTCGCATCCTTTGCCGTCATCTCGACGACAAGAAGGAGCGTGTTATCACGATCTGGGTGTTCGAGCCAGGACTTGCCGCCCACCCAGTACAGTCCCCGGTGACGGCATTTCTTGATGCCATGGTCTTTGCAAAGCCGGTCGAGGCGCTTGTCGAGTGTTCTAGCTATCCGGGCGTATATGTGGTTAGATGCCAGCGGAGTGAGTGGTGGGAGGGGTGCAGAGTGCGGTTTCATTTGATTTCGGTGTCGTAGGCGTCTGGGGAGGGGCGGGTCGGGAAGCACATTGTTGCGGCGTCTTGTGTGTTAGCTGGGGTTTGGAGCCTCTGGCGCGTATCTATATGACGTGCGCCAGGCAATTCAAAAGACAAAGCAGTTCAGGCCGGTTTTTGGAAGAATATAATTTCGCATGCTCGATGTGGGTCGTGTATGGAGCTTCTCTGGATTACCAGCTTGGGTATTGGTTCTTGTATGAACAACGAAACATCTCCTTCCACCCTCCCACTCTGATGCTTTCTGGAAACTCTTGCCAAGGACCCTCCGTACACATGCGCAAATGGCCAACGACCGATTCAGAGGGCTCTAGACTCGCCAAGCCCGCCGTGTAGCAACACCCCATCCTCAACGTACGATAAATGTCAGTGTGTTATACCACGCCGGCTAACGTCAAAACTGGGTATTGCGACTCGGTGGGCTCGTGAAGTAGAGCGCCTTGGTGATGATTCCTTGACCACTTGTGTAGACCAGACCAGCGGAAACGAAACCTTGGCGTACCTGACGCTGATGTTTCCGAGCGGAAGCTGACGATCTGTCACGGCTTGGCGGGTTGGAGAAATCGGCCCTGCCTGCTTTCGGCGTGGTCTGTACAGTGTGTTGGTGGGATCTCCGGATCGACTAGGGGCGACCGCTCGTACACATTCCCGAAGGCTGCTTCCGGACTTCGCCAACGAAGTTGGTTGTACACGAACTCGGTAAGCCCGCTCGTGTTCGCACCCTCCAAAAGACAGCGTATTGTCGTTCCCTTCCTTCCCTCGCTCACCCATTCCGCTTAATCTGCACCTCCAACTCGCTCAACCTCTCCACCACCCTCTTCCTCAGATATTCACTAAGCCCCAGCACGCCCTCCCTGGTCACAATCCGATACGTCCCGCTCTTCTGATACCTTCCGGTACCATCCACAAACTTCCCCTCCCCATCCACCTCCAAACTGCCAAAAATATCCTCCGGCCACGCCACCCTTCCAAAATCAGGCGGATTCCTTTGATCGCTGACATGGATATACCCGCCTCTTCCCGCTCCGCCCATGCCGCCCTGTGCACTTGCTCCGCCTGCGCCATCGCCTCCCGCTCCGCCTCCGCCACCGTACTCGGGTTTGGTCGTTCGTCCAGTTTGTCCACGTTGACGACGCTGACGTTGCCGTTGGGTTTGTTGGCCTGGGAAGAAGGCGCCGCCAGACCCGAGGTAGGAGCCGGCTTGAGAAGCGTACATGGCGGCCTGGGCTTGGACGTCCGGGTCTAGAGGCGCGTGGGTGGCAATGGTGGTGTGGAGGAGATCGAGAAAGTGATGGTTTTCTGCGAAGGAGTCGGGGGTGGGGGGGATGGCGGTGGTGGTGCCGATTGCGAGGTGGGGATTGGGTGGCGTGGTAGGAAGGTAGGTGAGTAGGTGGGCTTTGGAGGTGGTAGGGTGGGGATGGATGTACTAGGACGTATCAGAAGGGAGGTGTAGGTGGAAGTTCAGGTCTGGGCGTACGATGTGTGGGTTATTTGGCAGGGTTGATAGAGCTCGGCGGATGGTCGAAGGAGAGGTGCGGGCTATCACTTTGGCGCATTGGAAGGATATGGCGGGCCGTGCCAATGAGGACGTAAGCGTGGCCATGTCGTTGTCGGTCCCGGGTAATGCTCTACGCGATGGACATTGCGATGCTCAACAAGTTCGAGCATCGATGGATACGTCACGTGTCCGGCACATGCCGATCTTCTGCCTCCACCACGTGAGACGGCAACGGGCTCTGTACTAGGCTACTGCGGCGATGCTGCAGGTGATGCTGGATGTAGTATAGCTCCTTCGTACCTACTTTAGCTGGACTCGTCTCCGGCTTCTTCGTCAATCTCCACCACCCTCTCCACCCAAATTTGACCCCGCCTCGAGTGACGATGGAAGACATCCCCCACCACCGGCACACATTGTTCGCGATATAGAACAGGGTTGATAGTTTTGAGCAGGAAACAGCAGTATCGCAGGCATTTGACAAGCTTGGCAGGTGTCGGAATAGGCAGGACAGCAAGCACGGAAGGTGGAAGAGAATACAGTCGAGCAGCTGACCATTGACTGCGCTGGAACGTCAGCGTAACCATTCTAAGCCGCGCCCGCACCGCATCGAGCCGGTACCGAGAATACCACACCTGACAAGGAAACGCTATAGAAACAACCCTACGGCGGTACCGAGTTTCCTCCCCTACCGCAGCACCTGGGGCCCCGCTTGATTGCCTGTGCACATTTCACCAACTGGGTAGGAGCGAGCGACACCACCACGACGTTGCTACAGCGTCTCGGGAAACGAGCTCTTTTGTACCACGTTACTTAAGCCGGTTCCCCCGGCCACACCTCTCCCCAACATGACGTCGATGATAGACGACGACGAGCTCTCCATCTCCATGTCCCAGCCTCGCCGCCCCTCCAAAGACGATGGCCGACGACAATTCGAAAGACAAGTGGGGACATCAGCATCCTCCTCCAGCCGCGTCTCTGTTCCCCGTAAGGATGCTAACCGCCTGGGCCAGTACAACATAGTAAGGACGCTAGGGGAGGGCTCTTTCGGCAAGGTGAAGCTCGCAGTCCATACCTCCACCGGCCAACAGGTCGCGCTCAAGATCATCTCGCGACGCAAGCTCATTACTAGGGACATGGCGGGTCGCATTGAGCGAGAAATATCATATCTGCAGCTATTACGGCATCCACATATTATCAAGCTGTATACCGTTATTACCCTGCCCAATGAGATCATCATGGTGCTGGAGTACGCCGGTGGAGAGCTGTTCGACTATATCGTGCAAAACGGCAAGATGGCGGAGGACAAGGCGCGCAAGTTCTTCCAGCAAATCATCTGTGCCGTGGAGTACTGTCACCGACACAAGATCGTGCACCGTGATCTCAAGCCAGAGAATTTGCTACTCGACGAACACCTCAACGTGAAGATTGCCGACTTCGGTCTCAGCAACATCATGACCGACGGAAACTTCCTTAAAACCAGCTGCGGCAGTCCGAATTACGCTGCGCCTGAAGTTATCAGCGGAAAGCTATATGCGGGTCCGGAGGTCGATGTCTGGTCTTGCGGTGTCATTTTGTACGTGCTGCTCGTCGGCCGCCTACCCTTCGACGATGAATACATTCCAGCACTGTTCAAGAAGATCGCGCAAGGCAACTACATGGTGCCCAACTACCTCTCTTCGGGAGCCGTGCGGCTTATCAAGAGGATGCTGCAGGTCAACCCCGTCAACCGCATCACTGTGCCAGAGATCCGGCAGGATCCGTGGTTCATGAAAGATCTGGCGGAGTATCTGCAGCCGCCTGTGGAAGACTTCATCGATACGGGTGTCGATCCTAACCGGGCCATTGATCCGTATGCGTTGAGTAAGACTAAGCCGAAGCCGATACAGGAGAAGCTGCACAACGCAGTCGTGGACAAGCTTGGCAAGACGATGGGCTACGCAAGGGTAGATGTGCGAGATGCGCTAGCGAAAGACGAGCCGAGTGCCATCAAAGACGCCTACCTGATCGTGCGGGAGAACACATTAATGAAGAACAATCCCTTGATGGAAAAGGACCAGCCCATGTTCTTAGCGCAAAGTCCGCCGGTCATCGAGACGAAGTGGCCTCAAGGCACGCCCATGTCCCCAGCTCTCCAGCGACCCACGATGAGCCCTCTGAGCGCAGGCGCGATGGAACCTCCTTTGCGACCGCCATCCTACGAAACGAAAGACGGTCGCTCGCCCGCCTCTACTGTCGCCATACTTCCGTCCAGTCTTCCGGGTTTCCACGAAGCGTACATGCGCGGCTCTCTCACCAAAGCGACTTCGCCAACCCAACCGCACCCGGACGAACTCTACGAGCCGGGCCAGCCGCGTACGAAGGAAGAACAAGAAGCTACTGCAAGAAGGCTAAAGCCTCATAGCAAGAGCTCCGTGAATCTGCACCATCGTCACGAGCACGTGGAGAAGCCGGAGCCAATGACCGCTTTACCCGAGAGAAGTGCGAAGAAGGTGAAGCAGACGAAATGGCAGTTTGGCATTCGCAGTCGGAATACGCCCGCTGAGGCCATGTTGGCTATCTACAAGGCACTGAGGAAGATGGGCGCAGTGTGGGAAGTCTCGAGAGCGCGTGAGCCGGGCGCGGGGAGCGGTGAAGGCAGCCCTGAGCGGAGAGAACGTGGTGGTGATGGAGAGGAGAGCCCGGAGTACAGCGATTCCGACCCCGAGGCCGGCACGGACCCGGAATACGCCACGCACGAGGAGCAAGAGCGGCGACGGCGTAACCGCGCAGCTGGGTCTCGCAGAGGGCGGGAGCGGTATGGACGCTGGAACGATTTCGGCTATACCCTGCCCGAGGACCCATGGGTGATTCAAGCGCGGTTTAAGAAGGATGGTATGTTCCCGCCCGGCGTCGCGCATCCTTCTTCCACACATAGCTCGCGCGTCGACCTGACCTCGGCGGGTTCGGGCGCGGTGGAGGGGTTGAGGAGACGCAGTGCCACGACGTCGAGTCACGAGAACCAGAGTCGGCCCGGCAGCGCGATGGCGAATTCGGGGATTGGCATGGAGAATTTTGCGGCCACTGGTCCCGCTTCAAAACCCGTGGAAGACTGGCCCGCGCCCAATGAAAGCCTGTGGGTTTATGTCACCATCCAATTGTACAACATCGAGAAGGACTTCTACTTGGTCGACTTCAAGTGCGCCGGTTACGAACGGCTGGTGCGCCGGTTTGCGAGGAAGGTTAGTGGGGAGATGAGTGGGAGTCACGGGAGTCACGAGGCGGATGTGGCGAGGGTGGGTGGCGAGAGGGAGGGTGCGGAGGAAGAGGAGGAGGATGATTTTGAGGAGGGCGATGATGGCGAGCAGCTCGTGGGTGCGGGTAGGAGTACGGAGGAAAAGGAGATAAGCAGTCCCTTCCCATTTCTGGATGTCAGTTCGAGGCTTATTATTCAATTGGCGGCGGAGGCGGATTGAGGGAGGCGACCATACCTATCGGGTATGTGCGAGTGGCCCCATTCAGGACCTAAGGAAAGGGTCTTTGATTTTTGGCGGAAACGACGTTGACGAACAATTTGCCAAAATGCACGCAGCGGTATAGCTTTCTCACGTGATTAAGTGGACATATACAGTGGACATGTGCAGTGGACGTTCGACTGCCATTACTCCATTGGGAAGGCACAGGACTTGGCTTGCTTTAGTCGCCTGACGTACGATGAGGTCATAGTATGCACGGTCGATCACGGGCTGTCTCTGCCGAGCGTTGGCGTATGGAGGAGCTTTGACGCATGTCGAGGCGTTTTCGAGGGTCAAGTTGTGCGTATCGACCATAGTGCAGATGAGTAAGAAGGTGGAAATCTGTCAAACAGCTGTATCCTCCAAGCTTACATCGAGTCTACGGTCTACAATTGTGCTGTGGATTGAATTTGGAGTAGAGACTGCAGCCACTGTGGCGTGACAGCTGCCATGCCAACGATCAGCGTGTGGCGCGGAGAATGTGCGCATGGGCGGAACAAACAGCAAACAACCAAGCGAAAACGTGAAGAAAGTGAGCTCACTCCTCGCACATGCGCATGCTGTGTCATCATCATCATCGTCCGTTTTTCTGAGAAGGCGTTCCGATATCCCGTGGAGGCGCGTGGTGGGAGCGGCAAGCTTTTGCGGTGACGACGGAGTGTCATAGCGGCGGCGGCGCACAGCGGCTGATCGACGTCATTCTCGGTCCAGTGAGAAGTGCTGCCATAAGTGCTGCATTCCCTTTCATCACGACCTTCCTGCACCGCACCACCGACGACCTCTAAGACTTCACCGCCGCCTATTAGCCTTGCCACTACATCTCACTACCAGCGACAGCTACAGACACCGCAACAATGGAAGGCGCAAGGATGATCAACCTCATCATGAGGGCTCTCGCTGTAAGATCTACCACCACAACACGACTGCTACGGCGCAAGTATTAACATTGGCATCTACAGTTCTTCTGGGCCCTCCTCGTCATGGCGCTCACGGGCAACATGATCAACAACTGGGCTCACGGTCCCAACGTCATCAACTACGACCTCTTCGTCTCCATCTTCGGCATGCTCACCCTCCTCTACCTCATCCCAGCGACCGTAATGGACAAGGTCGCATTCCACCCAATCATTCCGCTCGTCCTTGATGTGTTGAACGTCATCTTCTGGTTCTGTGGCGCTGTCGCGACGTCGGCCGAGCTAAAAGCGCGTAGCTGCACCAACTACGTAAGATATACACTCAGCTCCAACTGCGCTGGACTCACTATGCTAACACACGTTTTGCAGGACTACCTTTTCAACAACCGCATCACCCAGGGTTCCACTATGCGCTGCCGTGAGGCTCAAGCCTCCACCGCGTTCCTCTGGTTCGGCTTCGCCTCTTTCCTCGTTTCGACCGTCCTTAGCGGTCTCGCGAGCCGAGGTGGCGCGAGCGTGAGGCCAGGTATTCGACGTGGCCCGGCTATGAGCCAGGTCTAAGCGACCGCTTAGCGAGTGTAATGTATGACCATTATTGTGGGGTTCGTCATTGAGACGTTACTGGCCTGACGATAATGGTTGTTGCGCGTGTACAACATCTACGACGAACGGCGTTTATTTACGGGTTCATGAGACCGCGCTTCAGCGACGAGCAGCTTGGGAAAACGTACTACGACTAAGATAATTTGTTTAATGTATATCCTCAAAACATCCGATTTCGCAGTCTCCATCCCAGCTTCGACACCTTGTCTTTGCTCCCTGTGCCACCTCGCCCTATTCCCCCTCGCCGAATCACGCTACAGCCACTCAATCATACGGAACTAGCACATGATCGCCACGAATGTCAGACGACCAGCAAGGAAGCGGGCGGCTCTGCTCGCGGTCTCACTTCCGAGCCATCTGCAGCCCGACGTCATCTCAAGACGCGATCGCGCTGCGATCCGCGGTGTTGTGAGACGCCTCGGACCATCAAACTCGCTCTCTCATGGAGGGAACAAACCGGTTCAAAGTTTGTGCACAGGTCCACCTGACACAGCAGCGTAGCGTATGTTGACTTTCTGAGTATAGTTGTGGTGGTCAGAGCGAGTGGTAGGTGTTGTTCTCCTACTTTGTATTCATCTGTTTCACCTATACCGCTCCATGCATAATATCAGGTAGGGATCTTTACACATTGCAGCTGACCCTAGGTTTTGGGTGCTGTCCTTTGTTGATCATTCACCCATTGAGCCATGGTGATGAGGCTGTGATAGTGGCAGTGAATGTGCAGCGACTGTGGCGACTCCTGGTAATATGGCTGGATCACCAGCGTCAGCGCTCAACCATCTCTCGCCCACATTGCTCAGAGATGGAGACGGCGAGCTGCTGGTCCCGACCACTGTCCCGCCATCAATCGATTTCGATGATTACGCGAGGAGACAGGCCAGTGACGCGTCGAAGATGGAGACTGTTCCGAGCGAGGCAGGCTCGTACTTCGAAGCACAACCCGGCAAGCAGGCCTTACCGGGGGTGCAGAAGGATGACGCTCAACCCATACCACCGCCAGTCCGTAGCAAGACGGGTCCAGCAGTGGGCGGCGTTCGGCCGCAGACAGGACCCAGACGGAGCACGCTGCTGGCCGGCATGGCGCGGAGAGCTACGGGAGGAGCACAGCCAACCGGGGACAGACGAGCACCTTACTCTTACACCTTCGACCCAATGTTGTCCGACTCCGAGTCGAGCTCGTCTGAAGATGACGTAGAGGCGAAGCAAAAGCCGAGGCAGCAGTCCGCGGCCGCGACACAACCACAACGGACAGACGCCACGGATTTCGCGTCTGAGCGGCAACGGAAGGAGCAGGCGAAGAAAGGCCATTCATATTCGCGCTTCCACCTCGGCAATGAACACTTCAGAAGCAAAGGTAGAATCAGCAGGCGTGACGGTCGGCTTAACATCTCAATCAATGAGACGGCCAACAGCGGGTATATTGCGAAAGCGTTGGGGCAGAGCATTCGCCATCATCTAGACATTCCGAAGCGACGGAAGAGCCATGAGCATCGCCATCTGGATGTCAAGAAGGAAGAGGATGACAAGCTCGACACAGACGCCGCTAGCATTGCGTCTTCGCTACGAACAACGGCAGCTCGACCCAGGCTTAACATTGTGATTATGGTCATTGGCAGCCGAGGCGACATTCAACCTTTCCTGAAGATAGGCAAGATACTGAAGAACGAGTACGGTCACCGAGTCCGCATCGCTAGTCATCCGACCTTTCGCGACTTTGTGGAGAAGGACACTGGTCTAGACTTCTTTAGCGTAGGCGGCGACCCGAGTGAGCTCATGGCCTTCATGGTGAAGAACCCAGGCCTCATCCCTAACATCAAGACCATCCGCGAAGGCGAGATCCAGCGGCGTCGAGCAGCAATGGCGGTCATGTTTGAGGGCTTCTGGCGCGCTTGCGTGAACACTACCGACGATGAGAAAGATATCGAAAACCTTAAGATGATGGGTGACAAGCAGCCTTTTATCGCTGATGCCATCATTGCGAACCCGCCGAGTATGGCTCACGTACACATCGCGGAGAAGCTTGGCATTCCGCTGCACATGATGTTCACCTTCCCGTATAGCCCGACGGAGATGTTTCCGCATCCGTTGGCGAACATCAAGCCAAGGAAGAGTAACGTTGATGAGAACTATGTCAACTTCATGAGCTTCCCACTGGTCGAGATGATGACTTGGCAAGGCTTGGGCGATATTGTCAACAAATTCCGGGAGCGGACGTTAGGGCTGGAGCCTGTCTCCTCGCTATGGGCCCCCGGTGCGCTATATCGCATGAAAGTGCCGTATACGTACCTTTGGAGTCCGTCACTTGTGCCGAAACCGAAGGATTGGGGTCCGGAAATCGATATTGCTGGATTTGTCTTTCTGGATCTAGCGAGCAACTTCCAGCCGAGTCAAGAGCTGACGGACTTCCTCAGTGCCGGAGAGCCACCTGTTTATATCGGCTTCGGTTCGATTGTGGTGGACGATCCGAACGCCTTTACGGAGATGATTTTCGAAGCGACACGCATAGCCGGTGTACGCGCTCTTGTGAACAAGGGCTGGGGCGGACTTGGCCAAGACGGCAGTAACACGCCCGACCACATCTTCATGCTTGGCAATACGCCCCATGACTGGCTCTTCCCGAAAGTGCAGGCTGTCGTCCATCACGGTGGAGCAGGCACGACTGCAATAGGTCTGAAGTGCGGTAAGCCGACCATGATCGTGCCGTTTTTCGGCGACCAGCCGTTCTGGGGTGCGATGGTGGCCGAGGCCAAAGCGGGTGCACACAAGTGCATACCATATAAGCATCTAACCGCCGAGAGACTTGCGGAGGGTATCAAGCAGTGTCTAACTGAAGAAGCGCGGCGGAACGTGCAGAGGATCGCCGATAGCATTGTAGCTGAGGGTGACGGCGCAGAGAATGCAGTCAAGAGTTTCCATCGTAGCTTGCCGCTAGCTGGGAGGAAGAACATGCGGTGCTCGATTTTACAGGATCGTGTCGCAGTGTGGCAGTTGCGAAAGTCCAGTCTGCGGCTTTCGGCCCTGGCGGCGGAGCTGCTATACGAGCGTGGGAAGATCAGGTGGAGCGACCTTAAGCTGCTGCGGCACTACGAATGGGCCGACTTCGACGGGCCAGGTGAGCCGATCACTGGATCAGTGGGCGCGGTCAAGGACAGTCTTTACGGTATTGGTGAAGGTGTCGGTATGGTACCGGTCAGGATTGCGAAGCACATTCGCCAGCGCGAGGAGCACACTCGGAAGAAGCAGCATGTCCGACGCAAGAAAGAGGAGCGGCAGCGAAGGAAGGCGGTGCGGAAGGCGGAGAAGGAGGGCATTATGAATCCGACAATGCACAACAATGCGATCAACGCCGACGCCGGACCAGGGGTTCCTAGGAAAGGCACTTCGAACACAGTAGGCTCAACTTTATCAGCCGACCCTTCAGTCCCGCTTGCCCGAGAAGTTGCAGAGGATGTTGGCTTGGGTCTCAGACGAGCGGGAGGCGCCCTGATCACAGCACCCAACGACCTTCACGTGGCCATTGCACAGGGTTTCCACAACGCACCACGGCTATGGGGCGACGCTACCGTCCGAAAGCCCGTACGCATCACCGGCTTCAAGTCCGGCTGCAACGCCGCGGGCAAGGAGTTTGTGTACGGCATTTGGGACGGCTGGACCGGACTCATCAGCCAGCCTGTAGGCGAGTGGCGCGATGCGGACACCATGCCAACCAAGCTCGCCGGCTTGAGCGCTGGTATAGGTAAGGGTGTAGGTGGCTTTGTGCTCAAGAATATCAACGCTGTTGTTGCGCCTCCGGCGTACTTCGGGAAGGGCATTGTTCGCTACGCAGAGAACAAGATAGAAGGTGGCGGCAGTAAGCAATCCATTCGACGAGCTCACATCATTCAGGGCCAGAAGGACGTGCTAGCCCTGTCGCAGGAGGGTAGCGAGGACGCGCAGCACAATTTGCAAGACGTCAAAAGTCGTGTGAGCGAAGGCTGGAGAACCTACGAAGAGATCTGGCGTGAAGCGAATCAAATAGGCCGAAATAGGCTACGAAGGGAGAAGAAGTCGTGGGACGTCAACGGCGCGCTTGAGAACGTCGATACCGCCAATCGCGCTTTACGGACGAAGAAGGATGGCCACGATCTTGACCGTTTGTTCGCGAAGCGGAGAAGGGAGCTTGCGCAGGCTGAGCAGCCGAGGGCACCGGCTATGGAGCAGGTGGCAACGTTTGCGGAGGATGATAAGGTGTTGCCGAACGGGCACGTCGCCGGCACGGCTAATGGAAGCAGGGCCGAAGTGGCAAGCCAGCATTTAGGGGCCGAGCAGAATCCGCAGAGATACCTCGACCAGACGGAAGAGACGAAAGAAGGCGGTGCTCTGAGTGACAACGACGAGGCAGGCTCTGGCACAACGGCTGTCGCGACGCCTGAGGATGATAATGCCGGCGGAGACGATGGGCATGAGAAAGCACGTTTGCCTGGCCAACTGCGGTTTGGGGAGAAGGCTGCGAGCTTATCACACCACAATGTGATGCAGCAGAGTCGAGTAGTGTCATAGTCACAGGCGAACGCAACGTCGAGCGTTTCGTTCAGATGCCGAGAGTGGGCAGATGCTTACAATTGTTCATTCGTTTTCGTGTTGACGAAACGCCGAGAAGTTCGCCGCAGCGCTGTAATACCTCTCATCCAGGATTATACGAAACAGCATTTTAATCATAACGTCCCATCATCACATATGCGACCGTATCAATCAGCAGCAAGATCATCACCTCATTCATGCGCGTCCTTATGTCCTGCCGAGGACAGCGAAGCAGGAATGGCCGCCCCAGCATCACCCACATGCTGAATGATCTGCGCCTCATCCTCAGCATCCTCCTCCGCATGCCGAGCCGCCTCGGCCTCCTTCTCAGCGTCCACAACAAGGCCGGCCTTGATCCGCCGGGTGGTGAAGCGGATCCTGTCCGCGACCTTCTTGAGCTTGTACTTCTCGATCGCCGGCTTCTCCGGCAGTCCGAGAGATTTCATGATACCGATTGAAGCAGCCACGCCTGTGTTCACGCCGGCGAGCAGGGTGATATCGTTCATTGTTAGACCGAGCTGGGCGCCGATAGCGATACCAAGGCAGAGAATGATCTGGAGCGCGACGGCGATGCCGAAGCCGAAGGCGGCTAGGATGTAAGTGAACTGGGCCTTGCGTTGGCGACTAGAGATCTCATGGAAGAGGCTGGGGTCCGTCCGGCTGGGTTTTGCAGTCACGTCGCCTACGAGCGTTTGGTAGACGAAGAGGGCCGCGGCGCTTTTCTTGGAGTCTACCGGGCTGGTCGGGTTGGTGACTTCGGTCGTTGTGATGAAGGGTTGCTTTTCGAGGTCAATCTCCTTCATCGCCATGGTGAGAACTGTATGTCTTGCTATAAGGAGTATTGAGGTGGTGCTGTCTGGTCTTGTTATCTTCTTAGTCTTGGCAAGCTTGGAATCCTGGTGTGGCAATATGAGAAGGATGGGAAAGCAAAGAGAATGGTCTCTGCAAACATGAGAGATGGTTCATATACCATGTACTGTATCGCTGCAATCATACGAGCAGGCCGCACCTCCATCGGCAACAGCGTGCTGCCAGACTGGGGCATGCTAAATTCATTTCGCAGCATCACCACCACTATTGGTCGGCCATGCATATTCTCGAAGTCTAGCAGGTATCACACCACTTGAGAAGGTGGTTAGCGAGCTGGTGGCGTCTGCAGCAAGGCTCGTGGCTTGCGCAGAAGGCGACCTCGACCCTCCAACCCCACCATGCCGGAGCTTCGACTGCTGGGGTGTGGACATGCGAGATAGCCGTTGCATACCTCAGCAGCACGTGAGCGCGCACACGGTCGGTCAGTGTGAGATGAAACCGGAGCGAGCAGCCGATCACTTGAGAGAAAGCCGCATGGGCGCTCGAGTGTCGCTGACCTATGAGGAAGACGGCGCGGCAGGACCGGTACGTACCTGAGTACCTTATCCGCAGTTCAAACATTGGCCTTGCGTGGCGCGCACTGCAGAACTGCGGCGTACCAAAGTATATCCCAGCCATCCTTCAATCTGTCCGGCGATGTGCGGTCTTGGAAGCTGACAACCGGGTAGCTTGAAGGAGAGTTTACGGCTGTGCTGCCTGCCACAATAGCTGTTGCGGAAACGGTAACGAAGATGTCAACCTAACCTGGTCGTCAATAAATCACGCCCGATAGAGACGGAGTCCGATCCTTATTTTCATTCGCAGGGCACAACCTGAGCGGAAAGCAGGGACGCAATGTGTTGCCTCGCCTGACTCGTGGACGGATCTGCGGCGTGCCTGCCTTGCCCCAGCGAAACGGTGCTGCGGTCCTGCTCGAGTGATGTCTCCAATCTGGGCAATGGCGACCTTGGACGCGAGGTGAAAGCGGCGCGCGCTGGCTGCCTGATGCTGCTCACGTGAGGATCACCTCTGACCATTACGTCCGAGACTTCTCGGCACATTTGCCCACCTTCTGTTGACGATCCTCCATCTCCATCGGGCCATCGTCTACACGCAGCTCTGTCCCTCTCACTAATACCACCAGGTCGTTCACGCAGTACCTGCGCGAGCCACATTTCATGGCGTGCGTGAAGCAGTGGCGCCTATGGCATCCCCAGGGACTCCAATCCGCCCATGAAGAAGCCAATCACCTTTCCAGACTTGCCAGCTGAGCTTCGCACACAGATCTACGGATACCTGGTACCCGATCGCCCGCTTTCGGACAGCCACCCGGACTGTTCACTTCGTGACGACGGCTTACAATGCTCTACCAACTTCATGGCGTGCTGCAAGCAGGTTCAGGGTGAAGCGGCAGACCTGCTGTACGCCGACAAAAATGCGAGATCATTGTTAACGGCGAGACGTAAGAATTCGTCCGTGTTGAGATGCTGGGTCATGTAATCAAGCTACCGAAGGATGCAACTACTGTCATCTTCAACGCTCTCCGCCAAATCAAGAAGCTCAGCATTAGAACCTATAAATGTCAAAGCCCCCCGCTCTATCTGCGCGCTCCAGGACATGTTGTTCCTACTGCTACAGCCGCTCAGTACTACGACCGACCACAGGCTTTGCCAATGCGCGGTGTATATCCGCATCGAAGGCGGCGAGGAGGAATGTTATGATGAGATTTCGCACAACGCTGCAGAGCGGTACCATCGGCTGGCTATAATACATGAGTTCAGCCGCCTCAGTTCCGGAAGTCCATCTCGTGCTCACCTCGCCGCCATCCTCTCTGATCCGCTCCGCACCATTCGTTTGACGAGGGATAAGAGAAAGAAGGGTAAATGTACTCTCGACCTCGTCGACAACGACTTCGTCCTATGTTGCGCACGTCCCGCCACACTGTAATCGAGTATCGCGCAGTATATGTGGTTTGGGGCAGATGGCCACTTGAGTTCTCTCCACTTACCGGCTCTGATGCATGCATAGTGCATTGGCCATGTATACGATCGATGATACTGAAGTTGCAGCACCATTCGGTTCGTTAACAGATATCCCTGGCGTATAATTTGTCACGAACGTTCTCACGTATACGCAATCACTCCCCCGCTCCTCGCCGCGGCCTTGGCGTGCAACTGCACCTCGCCGCCGTCTTCATGCATGTTCCCCGATGAGTAGGTGACCTCGTGCTTCGCTCAGCCACCGCGTTTCAGTGACAAAGCAGCAGTGACGATGCACTCGACGGAGAGCGCTGTGGTGAAACACAGTAGGTTTGTAAGTGTGAAGTTTCTCGATGCATTCTTACACATCACTTGCAAACATCTCACACATCAATCTGCTGCATTACTTCCTCACACAGCAGTGGAAGAGACCAGAGGATAAAAATCACCATCCTCCATAAGCCAAGCTATTGCGCTGCGTCTACTCAGTCTTACCTATACCACATTGTAGCAGTCTCTAGGCTAGACCGCAGCTTCCGGCGGCGCTTTCGCGTGGAATACTGTGTGCGCTTGCAGTCAGCCCAGCTTGCTATAGAAGACGCGCAGTAAGGCATGTATGCCCAAAACATACTTCTTGTCGCCAGCCTTCTCTCTACGGCATGGGCACAGTCAACAGCAGTCGTTACCATCACAGCAAGCCATGGAGGCGCCGGCAATGGCTTGACGAACACAACGATCTCCGTTCCGTTGAACTCGACATACACCAATGTAGCACTTGATGAAGTCTCATACCTCTACTTGACTGGCGCTAATGGCGTACCGCTTGAGAGCATCACATGCACGCCATACCGATACGCAAACGGGACCGGAAATGCTGGGCTACCCTTCACCAGCAGCAAGCCATCATTACTGTCAACCAATACCGTCCAGGTAGGCTCCTTGATCTGCACTGCTATTGTTTCCACGGCGCCTGGTGGCGGCAGCATAAGCAGCAGCATATCGACCACGACGTCAAGGTCAATACCATTGTCGAGCTCAAGCACAAGTCCTAGCTCAGTATCAAGTTCGACCACGACTACAAGCGCCTCTACAGCCCCGAGCTTAACCGGGAGCTCCGTCTCAACGACCCCAACGAGCACATTGCCGTATGTGGCGCCAATTGTGAGTATTCCGCCGCACCATGCTCACCGTTCGTTTTCTCAGCTTTGGGCAAGCCATCAAGCGCGATGGACTCGCATTCGAAATGCTGACCAGATGCTAGGCATCGCCGGTAAGCAGCAGCTTTGCTACTACACTAGCGACAACCAGCACTGCCTCAGCTTCTCCAACCACATCAAGAACGTCTTCCACAGTGGTAACGTCGAATACCGTTGTCAGCTCGCCGTCTCCAGCAAGTACGACTGTGGTAACGGCTCCCACAGCGGGTCCACAAGGGTAAGCAGAGCTACGTGTAGATCCCCTCGTGATTGTCCGAAGTCTAGCTGACCTTCCTACCTATCCATCTCCAGGTACACCATGCTCACCACGGTCACGGCAGGTGGTGCGTCAGGCGTGTCACGTGGAACGACATACGTCACGACAATCATGCCCGCTTCAGGCCAGTCTGGCACTACGTCTACTTCACTTCCAAGCGCCGAAGCGGCCGGAGTCTCGACTAGTGCCACTAGTGCAGCGGCTGCACTTGTGACGACAGGTACCGCAGCTGTTGTTATGCCGGTAGGTGGGAGCGCTTGGCTTGCGGTGGCGATGGCGGTGATTGGTGTGGCGATAGCTGTATGAGACATGGCAAATTACAGTCGTAACCTTTGCTTAGTGGCTTGCGACTGGAAAATCCCACAGCTTGAAGCTTCTTTCCACTTCGCAAAGTGTATGTCAGACAACTGACTTGTCCTGAGAGGATTGTCAGTCGCCGGATCAGCAACTGTAGTGCCACGTCTGTTATGGTTTTGTGCACGGTCAAGCATCTGTTGGACTGTGCTACCTTCCTCGGGTGCGTCTGCGAGAGTGCTTGAGTCACCGCCCAAGAGGTTCTTCTTACCAGACAGAGGCGTGGGCATTATCGCTTCGACTTTGACCTCAGTCATGATGGAGACGCTTCCAGCCTTACGCAATGGGCCGAGAGTGATGACTGTGTTTCAAGGTCTCACGGTATATCAAGGTCAACGCCGTTCATTTCCTTTTTGCAAGAAGCAGCTTTCCAAGCAGGCCGATCACGGCGACACCTAGAGGTACGCCGACGCCGATGCCAATCTGTTCCGCTTTAGAAAGCTGGTTGTTATCACTGTCGGACGATGTAGTCGCAGCCGTGCTCGCCGTAGTAGATGAGACCGGTGTAGAGATGGTGCCGCTTGCAGCGGAACTGCTGGCGGCAGTACTTGTGCTTAATGCTGTGGGGTTGGAACTCACGATCGGTGACGGCGCGGGCACAGTGGTAGAGGCGCCCATCATGCTGGTGGTAAGGCTCACGGACGTCGAAGTGGCCGTGGAGAAAGCTGTGCCGCCGGTGCCAAGTTGCGATAGGCTCGCCCTAGCGGATGCGCTGAATGTTCGGGTCCCTGAGGTGATATCGCAATATGCGAGGTAAGTTGGACTCGGGCCCTGGGTGAAGACAACCATCTTCGCATATGGTGCTCCAGGCTGGCAGCAATGGTAACTCGTTGGGCAGATGCTGCTGTAGGCCCATGAGTAATAGTCCAGGCCCGAGGTGTATATCGTCTCCGTGAACAAGGATGATATACAGCCTGCGAACTGCGTGCCACCGGCTAACTGGGTGACAACACAGGTGGATGAATACGCGCAAGCGATAGTACTGGTGCTCCAATAGCCGCATACGCTTTGCGTGGTCGCGTCACGCTCCAGTATTGCTGGAACGGTTGGTGAAGGCAGTAGAGCTACTTGGTCAGAGTCAGAAAGCTCGTATGACGGTAGTGGGCCACGGGTCGCTGCTGTTCTCAGGTCTTCGAAGAGAGCGCAAGCGACAAGATTGCGCAGAGTGAGCGTGTGCAGCACAAGGGTTGTGAATGTGACTACGTGCATTTCGTATCGAAACACCGAGCTCTCAGACCTCAGGTGGTGCAGGAACAAAAGAGGGAAAGAAGTCTCCTGCTTGCGCCAGCTTCGAGGGCCGCGCTGTCGGAGAGATAAGCAAGTACTGCCACCGCAACTCTGCAGAAAGCTTGGAGCGACCAGGATTGTAGTGTCCCTCGGCCACTCGCTTAGCGAGGCTCTAGACGCAATTTGGAGGCGTCTCGGCTGTATGCAAGTTCAAGCCATCGTCCTAGAGGCCTTGGCGACGAACGGACGCTCACAATATGCTGCCGCGTTGTTTTCGTGACTGCATGACAAAGCCTTGTCCTTCAACTGCTTCGCTATGCCATGTGCCTCCTTCTACAACGCCAACGTCTAGGCGCTTGCCCTATCACGAGGTCGCAACTCGGGGACACAACGGCGAGCTGTCCTTGCACCCAATGCGGCTTTGACTTCAACATGTTGGTACATATCAGGTTGCGAAGCTCACAGCAGGTACTCGTCTCATTCGGCAGGCTGGTGCATCAGTTCCTCCATGCCAAGGAGTCTGACGTTGCCCGTGCTGAAGTCGACCTCGTCCGAATTGACCTTCCTATGATCGACATCTCCATCAACCCACTGTGCTGCATACTCTAGCCCCGTCTCTGTTCTCCACCGCTCAACTAGTGGCTTCGCTTTGAGCGGTAGGAGGACTTTCGAAGGCGCTTGGAACCATTTCGGCTGCACCACAAAAGCGAGCATGATCCGTGGTACATCGGTCTTATTCGGCATTCCAGCATGCCAAAGGCGAATGTCACGAATGATGAGACTGCCTTTTTTGGTACTCGGCTGTATGGGCGGCGAACGCTGTCTTCGCGCAGACAGCAGCTCAGACCTGATTGTCAACCCATACTCGCCGGCTCCATATTTCGTGTGCTGGTCGACACAGCTATCGCGATGGCTGCCCACCCATACTTCCGTGCTGCCATTCTCGGCACTCGTATCACAGAGTGGAATGTTGATCGCATATGCGAACGGATACAGCGGGTGAGGCTTCTCGATATCGGAATGTACCGGCTGGCGACCCTTGGCCTTGAGCGCTGTGTTGCCATTGGCGTAGTGACATACGGGACTGGGTCCGAATATCGCAGTCAGTATGCCTACAGCGATAGGATTCGCCCACACGTCCATGAACATCAGCTCTGGAATCAAAGGTGGTGCTTGATCCATGTTGCGAGTCTCCTTGCCGAAGTTAAAGTGGTGGTCCGGATCACGAGCAATCTGTTCCGCCTCTGGACCAAGTAGAGCTTCGAGTTCGCTGAGGTGGTCGGCCTTTATGGCATTCTCTAGGACGAGGATGCCGTCACGATGGAGATAGGTTACCGCTTCTGCAATAAGCTCTGGGCTCACTGTGCCAGATTCGCGTGCTTCATCCGAGATGAATGCACTGTGGACCTCCTGATTGTGTAGCAGGCTATTGCCTCTACCGTTGACACTGCGTGTCATGCTGTTGTTACTGTATAGAAAAGCTTTGGATGGCAGGTTCTGAGCTCAGGAAAGCACAGCACAAGATGGCGTGACGCGGTGGTGATGCTCCAACACAAGCACCACTACCAAAGTCACCGATCCCGCAGCTTAGTGCGTATATCAACAATCTCAGCTTTGTCGTCCCGCGTGCTACCAAATGGACGTTCCATGGTCTTACGACACTGTAGCGGCGAACGTTCACTGATGTTTGATGTCGAACCAATGCGGGGAAGGAAACTCAATCCGACTTCCTTCGTTCTCGGCCAACCACCACGATCATCGGCAGGCTTATCATGCACCAGGCAGATAGGCAGAGTGCGGTATGCGGCGACTGGTCGTCGGCTATCACTTCCGTGCATGGTCTAGATGGTTTCTGGCGATGGAGGGCCAACATATGGCACCTTTACCGGCGATGCAATCTCTCGACCATCTCCCACACCTACTCCAACCTCCTCATCGCTAAATGCCGCGCCCGATATGGCCAAAGGCACCAGTACGACCGTACCTTCTCCCGACAAGCCGAACGCTGAGTCTGGAGATGTAGGGCGTGATATTATCAAAGGCGACATAGTCATTGGCGCAATCGCTGGCGAGGAAGTACGCCAAGCAGCCGATGCAGAGCACAACCTCACCTTCTGGCAAGCATTAAAGCTCTACCCAACTGCAGTATGGTGGAGCTTCTTCTTCTCCCTGGGCATTGTGATGTTGGCCTTCGACCCGCAACTGCTTGGTAACCTGTACGCGACGCCTGCCTTTCAGCGCGACTTTGGGTACCTCTACGATGGCCAGTATATCATTAGCGCACGATGGCAGACAGGGTTAAGTATGGGCAATCCGACTGGCCAGGTTAGCGCACAGTCTATTCTCCTCATGCGCCGAGTCGTTCGTTGACCGTCTTTAGGTTTTCGGTGCCTTCTTCGCAGCTTACCCGATGGAGTGGTTCGGACGCAAGCGGACATTCGGAGTGTGCGTCTTGCTGACGGCATGCTTCATCTTCATTCAGTTCTTCGCCCGATCACTCCCTGTGTTGCTTGTCGGAGAGCTTTTGGGTGGACTGGTGCTCGGCACCTTCGCGGTGATTGCGCCGACATACGCATCGGAGGTATGCCCGGTGCCACTTCGAGGCTTTCTGACTTCCTGGATCAATCTGTGCTTCGTTATGGGCCAGCTCATCGCCAACGGGGTGATCGCCGGGACTTCGCAGCTCAGCACTCATTGGGCGTATAGCGCGCCCTTCGCCTCGCAATGGTTTTGGTGCCTAATAATCTTGATTGGCTGGCCCTTTGCGCCAGAATCTCCGTGGTACTTGGTGCGCAAAGGCCGTGTGGAAGATGCCGAGCGAGCATTACGGCGACTCGCTTCGGCCAAGATTGATGTTAAGCCCACGCTGGCCATGATCATTGAGACAGACCGCTTGGAGTACGAGCTAGAAGCCGGATCCACATACATGGACTGTTTCCGCAAGATCAACCTGCGTCGTACGGAGATCGCCATCGGCGTCTACAGCATCCAAGTTATATCTGGCATCTACCTGGTTGGTTACGCAACGTATTTCTTTGAATTAGCTGGCCTGCCGACCACGAAGGCATTTGACATGAGCATAGGCTTCTTGGCGCTCGGCTTCGTCGGTACCTGCTTCTCATGGGTCCTCCTGCTTCACTTTGGGCGTCGTGTGATTTACAATTCCGGCCTTGCGCTTCTAGTCGTTCTGCTCATCATTATTGGCATCCTGGATTGCGTACCAAACTACAGCCAGCGCTTTGGCGTCATCTGGGCGCAATCCATACTCATGTGCATATGGTTCGTGGGCAGTGACGGACCCCTCCCTGCGCTTCCCTTTGCTGATACGACAACTTTAGGAACTTCTGCTACGACTTCTCTGTTGGGCCGATCTGCTTCGTCATACTGTGCGAGGTATCAGCGACCAAAGTGCGGAGCAAGACCATCGCAGTTGCAACTGCTGTGCAAGCGGTCCTCGGCATCGCCATGACCATAGCGATACCGTAAGACGATACAAGGATGGATCTTGTTGATGCAAAGCTGATAGAGTCCTAGTTATCTTATCAATCCTGACGAAGCGAATGCAAGAGGCAAGATTGGGTTCTTCTTCGGTGGACTGGCCGCTATAGCTCTGGTATGGTCGTACCTGAGGGTTCCTGAAACTCGAAATCGAACTTTCGAGGAGTTAGACATCATGTTCTCCAGGGGCGTGGCCACAAAGCAGTTCAAGGTGTACCAAGTGGATTAGCGAGTAAATATTGATGGTCGCTGTGGCGATCGTTGCGGCAAGATCGCTGTGATGCCTTCTCCAAGCTCATAACTTTCTTAAACTTCCCTGTTTCGTCCGCCACAGTCAAACTCATTCTCGGCTCCAGCCATGTGGATATAGTCACAGATACAGGCGCTAACTCGGGGTGGGCATAGCATGGCGTAGCGCCCTACTGAGGAGAGTGTGGTATATTGGCAACAGCACCGACTTCATCAGTCCACGACACCGCCGATTCTATTCCGCTATCTCAGACATGCAGCGGGCGTGCCCACCCGTCCCATCCGCAGGACCTCTTATTCTTCGTCCACTGGCTGTCCGTCGACATGATGGGACTCGGAGGCAGTTGGCCGAGTATCTGACGACAGCGTAGCTGAAACATGCTCTGCGCATTCTTGCGGCCATGTGGACGGACGGCTCCGAACACAGACACTAACCTCAGCCTCGTGGTGTGTTGTGATGGTGTAGCCGGCATTTAGTAGCCCAAGCTGAATGGTGGATAACTTCCATCTCAGCGGTTTTCCGGCGTGGATTTGTTTTGAGCATCATCCGCCGGCAGTATCTGGCGCCACTTCGGCAAATATCTGCGTAAGACTGCGATGAGGCCATAGTTTGCCGTACGGTAGACAGAACGAAACCACATAATTCTCCGTACAAGGCTCACTCAAGCAACGAAGCAGGCATTTCGAACTTCTTGTGAACCTGGCCTTTGAACGTGTCGCCGAACTCAGGCTTATCCGGAAAGCCAGACGGGTTGTTCACCTCAGGCGGATTCGTTTCGATTTCGATTGTGACCTGCAAACACCGGAAGTCAGCTTCCGTACCGATCTGCACTTACTTAAAACATCGCTCTGGCAGGTTTCATGTACCGCTTCGTCTATAGAGCGGTAGTCCACACCTACCGGTCCGTCATTCACCAGCCCCACGTCCATCATGGCTTGAAACACGCCGTCCTTGACGCGGTCTTCGCGGTACAAAGTGCGGACTTGTGATACAAACGTATCGTAGAGTTCCCTGCCTTTCGCGGGTGGGGCGGAGCGGTGGAAGTCGGGTTTGTTGCCCTTCTTCGTCGAAGCTAGTAGTGTGAACTGTGATACTGTGGCGCCGTCAACAAGCTCCGTCTTCCACGCTTGGGCGAATGTGATACCAAGAACTTACCACATAGCACCTCCCCGTCAATCTCCTGCACGTTACGCTTCCACTTCGTCCCGCTTTCGTCCTCCCACAGCTTGACTTTGAGGACTTTGGAGGCCATGCTCTCGGCTTCCTTCCGCGTGTCGTCCTTGCCTATTGCAGCGAAGACGAGCAGGCCTTTGGAAATCTGTGAGATGAGTTGGCCATCGACGGTGACGGAGGCGGATTTGACACGTTGGATGACGGCTGAACATGGTTAGTATGATTGAGTATGTTGAAGGCGATGGCAATGACAAGTTGAGGCGTACTCTTCATCGTGGCGTAACTAACGTGGTAAGGTGTGGTGTGCTAGCTACATGTACAGTACATGTACATGCAAGCAAGGTACCTGTAGCGCGGGGTGGCGTTCGTGCAAGGCTGAGCTGAGCATAAGGCAGGACCTTTGCAGATACTCAGTGGCAGACAACCTTTAGTATCCCATTCCGTATTGGTTCTGTCTGGTGGTGCTTCACGGTGAAAGATGGCCCCTACGTTCTGAGAGTTTATTGCATGATCTTATAAGATTAATCTAACCTAGAAAAAGAAGTGGAAGATGAAATATAGTAGTATAGAGAACATTGAATGGAAGCGCGGGTGCGCCACGGAGCCTGAAAGTTTAAAGGCCTCGCTTACGCCGGCCCCTGCACTTGCAGCCACAGGCGTGCGACGTCTCATCTCGCGACATATACGACCACCAACTCTCTCTCCGACGCACACCCTTGGCCTCAGCGGCGATCACTCGGGACGACATCCGTCATTCTGGCGCACACGAACATCGAGGCAGCAGTGCTCTTCGGCAACGACGGCGTGGCAGGTCCCAGCCGGATAGCGCAATCGCGAGAAACACACGAGACTAGGCTGCGCGTGGGAAGTCGGCCACTATGGCGGCCAGGAAGCTGCAGTATGCGCTAGTAATATACCACTAACAAACACCCTCTCTAACTAATACGGCGTAGACAAGAGATTGACAAGGAGTTCAAGAAGGTGGCCGAAGGGATCCAGGCTTTTGATGGCATCTTCGACAAGCTCAGCCAGAGCAGCAATGCCTCGCAGCGGGAGAAGCTGGAGGACAGTCTCAAGAAGGAGATCAAGAAGTTGCAGAGGTCACGCGACAAGATCAAGACATGGGCCGGGACCAATGAGATCAAGGATAAGAAGCCCTTGCTGGAGCAGCGCAAGCTGATCGAGTCGCGGATGGAGCAGTTCAAGCAGGTGGAGAAGGGTGAGACTATAACATATGCGCGGAATTGCTAGGGGTGCTGACTGGTAGGAATGATGCAGAAATGAAGACGAAAGCCTTCAGCAAAGAAGGCCTGTCTGCGGCCGCCAAGCTGGACCCGCAAGAGCGCGCCAAGATGGAGATGGGTGCCTTCTTATCGGATATGGTGGACGAGCTTGCCCGACAAATAGAAGCGCACGAGGCCGAGATCGAGTCGCTGCAAGCGAATGTTAAAAAGGGAAAGAAGTCGGATAAAGCCGACCGGCTCTCCGAACTCGACCGCACTGTCGAACGACATAAGTGGCATACGAACAAGCTCGAGATACTCATGCGCTCGCTGGAGAACGGCAGTGTGGAGACGGACCAGGTGAAGGACATCGAGGACGAGATCAAGTACTACGTGGAAACGAACCAGGAGGTAGATTTCATCGAGAATGAGGAATTGTACGATGACTTGAATCTCGAAGAAGAGGAGGACATGTACGGCATTGCCGGCGGAGACAACGACAGAGTGTCAAGTCAAGATGCGCAAAGCGTTTCAGAAGAGCCGCCCGATTTGGATAGCTCGACGGGACCCATACGAACGGCGAGTGTGACGGCAGCAAGCAAGGGCAAAAGCGCATCTGTGTCAGAAGCACCGGTGGCGAATGGACGGAGGCCAAGTCAGCAGCATGTGAAGAGTCCTTTACCGGCCCTGACGACCCTACATCAGAGCTTGCCGAGCAATGTCACCGGCAAGCCGGCAACGACAGATATGAAGCCTGCGCCTTTACCGACGATACCGACGGGACAGCCGTTGAAATATGCCTCTGCCGCTGCGGCGGCGGCAGCGAGCGACAAGAGCGGGCTAGGTATCGCACCGTTACCTCCGCCACCTGGCGCCGCGGCGGTGAAGGCTAGTGAAGAGCAGTCTTCGCCAGCACCGGTCAATTCACAGCCGGTGGAGACGATACAATTGGCGAAGGCGGCGGAGGAGGTTGGCAAGGCACCTACGCCTGCACCGAAGGAGGAGCAGAAGCCGGAGGAGATGGCAACGCAGCAGTCATCCAGCGCGCCATCTGTCAAGCCGTCACCGCAAACGACACAAGCCGTGCCTTCACAGCAACTGGAACCGTCAGCTGCACCTTCAGCAGCAACAGCGACAGGGACAGCGACAAAGCTACCGCAGCCACCTTCGCCCGATTCAGGCATAGCCGGCCTGGCTTTGTCCCACGGCGAACCTGCCCCGGAAGAAGAGGAGGAAGAAGAAGAGTCAATCTATCACCTCCCATCTTCACTGACGGACCTCCTGGACTCATTTGAGGAGACTCGGCAACGTGCCGCCTCCTCTCAACCGTTCGCCGACGCCCTCCCCTCACTAACCGCCAGCCGCCTTTCCGCGCCCCAACCCGCCGACTCCGCTCATCCTGCACACTCTCACTACCGACCGCCAAACCCGTACCCTTACACCCCGCCTCACTACCCGCAACAACCGCTACCGATCTTCGACGATCCACGGCTGTATACTCGAATAGACACGGATAGTCTGTTCTACGCCTTCTACTATCGACAAGGGACTTATCAACAGTACCTTGCCGCCAAGGCGTTGAAGGGGCAGAGTTGGAGGTTCCATAAGCAGTACCAGACGTGGTTCCAGCGGCATGAAGAGCCCAAGTGTATCACCGAGGAGTTTGAGCAGGGGACTTATCGGTTCTTTGATTACGAGAGTACTTGGTATGTATGAACCTCCCCTTCTTTTCTCTTTTGTGGGCTTGAGACGTAAGGTGTGTGTGTGGAAGTTGGGCGCCCGCTGACGGATCTGTGACTGTAGGATGAACCGACGGAAAGCGGACTTCAAGTTCGCATACAAGTTCTTGGAGGACGATCTATAGCCGCTGCATCTGCCTGCACGCTTCCGTCGAGGAGGCGGCGGTGCCAGCGCGCCGGAAGGATCTCGGCTATTGTAGATATTAGTGTTGTTCGGAGTAAGAACCCAGAAACACTATCTTCTACGAGCTGTTTCCTGCGTTGGAAAGCCTTGGATCAGCTCACACACTCTGACCCAGTGCACATGCGTCACGCGATCGACAGCAGCTCTATCCCGAAGATAAGTTAGTCCACGTCGTATGGTTCTGCTAACGCACATGAAAATATGGTGACCGGTAACCCTGCGGTAAACGCCTGCGATCACGAGATAGTCTGCTTGCCAGCAGTGACCACGATCATGCGCCAAACAATAGCATCGTCACTGTCCGCGTGCGCAGCTTGCGGTCAGTGACTGGTGAGGCGGACGGCATTGCGTTCTCAACATGAACTACGGACCCGTTCAATCACCACCAACACTTCTCTCTGTGCAGCTCGTTACTAACCAACACCAGCATGCTGGTCGTTACAGTCTGGTACCATTCCCTTCTCTCACACCTCCTTACCCTAGCACCACCCTTAATCAGCTCTCAATCCATTCTTGCAGGCAATGGAGGCGGCCGACCACGAAGACCCGGACTTCGCCACGTGGCGCGAAGGTCTGAACTCGGCCTTGGCTAGTTTCACAGAAGGCGTTCAGATGTCGGACGGGTCGGTGGCTTCAACGGCCACCACCAAAGCTGGTCGTGTGACGAGGCCGTCATCTCTCGAGCCAGCAAACAGGTCGCTTTCGGATTCTCCGGAGCAGAGATTGAGCGCGCCACCCCAAGCTTTCCGGACAGCCTGGCATCGAAAGATAGATCTGGAGAAGCCACTACCGCCAATACATGATCGGGATACCTTGGCTGCATTAGAGAACCGAGCTTCTCTTCCGCAGTCGCTGCTAGCGCCATCATTGCAGGACAGAATCGCGGATGCGTATGCGCGCAGTCACCCTGTGCGGCTAGACGCCGTTGGCAAGACGAACTCAGGACAGCAAGGGCGGTATCAGCGTCAGCCGCATTTGCTTGGCTTGGACACTCCCCGTAACAGCTTCAGGCACAGTGTAATGGCTAACCGCTACCACCAGCCTTTGCCGCTTACCCCAGCAGTGAAGCGGAAGTCAATGAGATCCTCAATCGGTGCAATGTCGCTCACGCCGAGCGAGATGCCATACCTACCTCCAGCCCTCCGCCGTACTTCGCCTGAAGGTTTCAACAAAGCGGAGCGTATGCTCGGACTGCGTAGACCCGACTCGCTCCAACCGATACCGCCGCCACTGCCACCCAAGGAGCCTTTCCCAGCATGGAGCGACTCCTCCACGGGCTCTCTGCCTGCGCCAGTCACGGCTCCTGCCGAAGTCGATCCCTTGAACGGCCGCACGGCTTGGTTGCACTGCATTGCCGGTGCGCTCATAGTCTTCAATTGCTGGGGCTTCGCGAACGCCTTTGGTCTGTTCCAGGCGTACTACCAAGCCTACTACCTCCCCAAAGGTACAAATCCGAGCAGTATCTCGTGGATTGGCAGCACGCAACTTGCTCTAGTATTCGGTCTTGGTGTGCCGGTGGGCAGACTGGTGGATAAGGGCTACTTCCGCTGTGTCTTCTACGGCGGAAGCATCATCATGATTCTCGGCATCTTTTGCACGGCACGGTGTATGACGGTGTGGAGCCTATGGCTTGTGCAAGGTCTCGTCACGGGCTTGGGTATGGGCATGGTGTTTTGCTCCGGCATTGTGGCGCTGATGACTTGGTTTGATGAGCGCAAGCTCGGCAGCGCGATGGGAGCGTGTGCGGCAGGGAGTTGCATCGGCGGAATTGTGTTCATTGAGATTGCCAAGCGGTTTCTGCTCAGCCGCGGCTTCCCGACAACAATGCGCATTCTCGGAGCAGTGGCTCTGGCAACAATGATCCCGTCCAACCTCGTCTTTCGCGTGCGCGGTCAGCAACATCGGACCAAGACAACCAAAAGCCACAATACGCGTGATCGCTTCACTCTCCGCACCTTCGCCTCTCGCGCCTATCTCCTCGCCGCAGCCGGCATGTTCTTCGCCTTCCTTGGCGTCTACTTCGGCTTCGTCTACATGGTCTCCTTCGCCGTCACCGAACTGCACCTCTCCGCCAATGCTTCCAGCAATCTACTCATCTACATGCTTGCCGCGAACCTGCCCGGCCGATTCCTCCCCGCCTTAATCTCGGACAGATGTATCGGTCCGCTCAACACGATTATCCCTAGCGTGTTCCTCAGTGCGGCGTGCATCGGTCTTTGGATCGGGATAGGCGAAGGTGGGAACGTAAGGGGTGCGTTGACGGTGATTGCGTGTTTCTATGGATTCGTGAGCGCGGGCGTGCAAGTACTGTATGCGCCTACGGTATATGCGTTCTGCCTTGAACCGGCGGCGGAGGCTAGTGGTAATGCGATGCAGACGGAGAAGGAGGCAACACAACCTGCATTGGATCGTATGGGTGTCAAGGCTGGTGGCATATTTACTTGCATAGGGCTTGCGTGTCTGATAGGCACGCCGATTGGAGGTGTATTGGTGAGCTACCGTGCTGACAGAGGGTTATCATACCCGTACATCGGCGCGCAAGTGTTTGCCGCTTGCAGCTTACTGCTGGGTGGATGCCTATTGCTCGCAAGTCGAGTGGCGCGGGTAGGATGGAGTGCTCGACGAGCATAGATTGAGGTAGTCATTGCCGGTGGGTTGAGCTGGAAAGATTTATGTAATGTTCAACCTTCAAACCTATCTATCTTCTCGCACCACGCTAAGTGTACAACATTGTAGCGACATTCTCATTCTCTGCTACCAACGCAAGATTACTGCGGCACAAGCACGGCACGGTACCTCATATCGCCACTGTTCAGCTTCTCCATGGCGTCCGTGATACCCTTCACAGTCATCGGGAACTTCTCGATAATCGGCTCGATCTTGTGCTGAGCAGCGAACTCAAGCATCCGGAAATGCACAGCACGAGCAGCGACAACAGATCCTTGCACATTGATGCCGTTCAAGATCATTGGCATGTAAGGGAATTCGAAGTTGCCCTCGTCGACCGAGAGCGGGTGAATGGTTGCCCTGGATGCCATGATCGGTGCAATGAGATTCCAGTCCGGCTTTGCGGAGGTAGTGACGAGCAGGCGGTCGAGCGGGCGGGATACTTTGAGCTCTTTGGCGCCCTTCATGGCAATGAACTCGTGTGCGCCAAGCTTCATCGCTTCGTCCTTCTTGCGGTCCGAACCGGACAATACGACGACTCGGCAGCCCATCTTGGCCGCGAATTGAATGGCTAGGTGGCCCAGGCCGCCGACACCCATGATACCGACCGTCTCCGTGGGGTCCGTTCTGTAGGTATGTAATGCGTTGAACACAGTGGCTCCGCCGCATTGCAACGGCGCTGCAGCCTCGTCGCTCAAGCCGTCTGGGATTCTGAAGAGGAAAGCCTCGCGCCATACAGCGCCGGTGCCGAAGCTACCTTGGTCGAGGTCGGCCATGGCGTACATTGCGCGCTCGGGGCAATACGTCTCATTGCCGGTCAAGCATTCTCGGCAGTGGCCGCAGCTGTCGTGTTCGTAGCCCCATCCAACGCGATCGCCCTTCTTCAGGTACTTACACTCCGGGCCGGTAGACTCGACAACACCAACGCCTTCGTGCCCAAGAACCATGTCCTGGTTACGGTAGTGCAGATCCGTTCCGCAGAGACCGGAGGCGGTGATCTTCAAAAAGACTTGATCGCCATGAAGTTCAGGCTTCTCTGTTTTGGACTCGTGGATCGAGCCATCCTTGGAGCCCTTGAATACGGTGAACGAAGGCATTGCTCCGAGTGTTAGAAAGATATTGCTGTTCGATAAGCGGGTGACTGAATGGTAAGGTAGAGTAAGAGACTGAACGGTGACCGATGTTACAACTTTCCCTGACAGCGAAACCCACGACAGATATATACATCACTTGAGCAAAGGGAATAGCAATGACGTGTTCTCGGACGCCTACCGTTCTTTCCTGCCACGATATGGATCGGTCGCCACATGGGTCGCTTCGCTTGACGCAGATAGCGCAAAAGGGTCGGCGAGAAGGGCACATGCTGATGGCGTGCATCTTCGTCAGGACTCCGTAGATAGCGCTGCTTAGCGGGCACCCGTTTTCTGCAGGTACGCGTCCTTCCCGAAAGAGTCTTTGACGATGCATAGTGGCTACATGCCCGAAGGCGAACAAGGTGACGTCGGAATCACCAGGTTCTGTTCGCAGGTTTGTCACTTATCGATAAAGAGTGCCTGGCGTTAAGCGTAAATCCCTTTCTTTCGGAGACCCACAACACTACACGCGCGCAACCTGAGGTATGAACCTCGGTACATCGAGCCATTGCTGAGTTATCATCGCTGTGCTGCCACCGTTTTCGATCGTCCGCTCCACATAATAAAGCGTTTCATGCAGCACCGGAGCGAGACAGTTCGTAGCGGCGGGACGATTGCGGAAGGAATCGAGCAACCTCACCTCCACCGCACCTCCACCGCACAGCAAGTTTGTAAACACGAATTACGAACGTGAGACCGCGGTGTGAAGCTCTAGATGCATCACTTAGCGCGTCTCAGTCCACAGAACATGCATGTATCACTGTTTTGGCCCTCAGCTTACTTCGCTGTCCTCCGACTTCATCATCATCCTTCGATAAGGGTAATCGGCAACTGTGCAGTGGTAGCTGCAACAGTATGCTTGGTCATCCTGAAGGTTGATGAACTGTACTCGCCGTTGGCGTTTTGCATCTCGCACGACTGTACCACGGCGGCACGACACTTGGCCTATTCGGGTGGAGCGTCCGGTGCAAGTGGGCTATAGGCTTACGAATATATTGCAGGATACCGCGAAGCTGTATGAATCCTACGTTCGCTGACGAGCTACCTAGTTGCACACTCACAATTGGTCTGCGTTACTGTTCTGTCTTGCTCGCTAGCAGCCTGATGTCCACCGGGCTTATCAGCATCAGAGAGTCCATGGGCCACGCGTCGAGTCACCGTTAACATAGTGGCTACTTTCGGCACTCGCCCATCTGTCAATCACCCAGTCCTGCCTCTCGCGACCCTGTCGCTGTGCCTTGCATCCGATAGCTGCTTCTCCCACCACATCTGCTCTAACAGCCTGACCAGTTGCTTTTTATTCTCCGGTATTCTTGATACCGGAGAGTAGACATCCGGTTTCCAGCTAACCTTCCTGGACTTGCCGATGGCTTTGCTTTGCTTGTGGACCTTGGATGCGCCCTTTGTGTGCACGAGAATGCCGCGAGCCAGACGCTTTTGAGGTTCACTGTGGCTGGAGCCATTGATGTTGCTCTCATCTGCTACTTCATCGCTCACGTTTGTGGTCATCAAGGTGTCGGCTGCGCCCGAACCTCGAACAAGCTCCACAGTCTTCGTGTTGCTACGACCGGAGTGATGGGTCCTGGAAGCTTTCTTTTTCCGTTTTATCTTGGTTGCCGGAGCCGACTTGTTCGAAGAGGGCCTCTTGCGACCAGCTTTTAACAGCACCAGATCTTTACTACGACCGTTTGCCTGAGCGCGCCTTGCAGGATGACGATTTGCTGTCGCGGCCTTGCCGTCTGCTTTTGAACGTGTAGTCGCCACCATCCTGGCCTGATCTTGAGGCTCGCCCGAGAACGTCGTATCCAAGCTACCTAAACCATTAAGTACAAGTGGAGAGAAAGTGGACTTGTAGGCGAACGCTCTCTTTGTTGCGTCTCATTGTCCTCGAAAGGCCGGATAGGGCGGCTTCACACCATTGAACCTCTGAGGGTTCTACGATTCCACAGCATGGCTGTGCACACAGTGCGAGACGGTGAGTTGTATGTTGAACATCGTCAATACATGCCTCCTAAGCCATTGTTTTGTCCCTTCATTCACGAGCGCTACTCAAACACCTCCTACGTGTGCAGACTACCTCTTCCCGCCATCTCTCGGTTCACTAGCGAGCTATTACAACCAAATGCCTGGTCTGGAGATCATACGTAGGAAGGACCGCCTCCGGTGGCGACAACCGTGATAAGCATGAAAGCATACAATGGCGGGTGCCAGCACGATACGAGAAGTACGACAGGTTATGTTTCGCGGAAACTACTCGTTGGCCTCACCATCAGCCTTCTCCAGTCTGGGCGACTTCCTACTGCGCCGTTGCTCTTCGCTAGGTCGACATTACTCCTCATAGTACTCATAGTCTTTCAGAGGACTCAGACCGTCTCCCTCAGCAACCCGAACCTCATCAGCATCTTCTCGGGCCCTCTTCTTTGGGGGTGAAGGCGTTTCAGGCTTCCAAAGGTCTGGGTCATCTGGATCAACCCCATGCCATCGCCATCAGTTGAATTATCGTCCGCTCCATCTGCTGGCGCTGGTTGGGGACCGATTTCTGGATCTGCCCTTGGGACGGGCTCCTCGATTGACTCTGCTTTCTTAACTGCCGATAGTCCTTTCTTCGCCCGGCCAAAATGCGCGATGACCGTGGCGAACACCCGATAATCCTCGCCATTGTCTGCTTGGATCTGCTGGATGATCGCAAGGAGCTCGGCATAGTGCCTCTTTGCTCGGTCAATCTGGTCCTTCGTCGCTTTTACAGTGTCGGCAGGCTCCGCCTTCTCAGTCTCGTTTGCCATGGCACGGTAACCGTTGATGGGTGCCTTCTTCTTCCTGGTTGTTTGTGAGGCAAACTGCTGTTGCTCGCCAGACGACTTAGCCCGCTTTTTGGGAACAACCTGATCATCGCCCGCATCGGCGTCTCTCGGGCCTGTTGCTTTGATTCTCCACGAAGTTCGTCGCTAACTTCGAGACGGCTAATGAGGTCTAACTCTTTGCCACCGGCTCCCAGCTTCCGCGAACGGCATTGGTCCTTCAAATCTTCGACCTTCCATTGGTTGCGGTCGCCTGGTAGATCTGAGAAGTCTGTCCTGGGTGATCTTGAGGTTGTTTCCTTCTTCGGGGCTGCTAGCTTCGTTACTTTCGTCGCTCCGCCAGCTTCGCTGGCTGTTGTCCTCGCGGCCATGGTGGTCGGGGAGAATACTGTTGCACCCGTAACTGGAACTTGCCACCGCTACTCCTACGCTTTGCAGAGCGCAAGACGAATGCTGTAAGTTCAGGTGCGTCTCTGTTCTCTTCATTCTTACACTACTCCTTGTCGTACTGGGTCGCAATGGCCAGCCGCAAACGGCAGGACATTCAGACAAAGCTTGTATCCCTTCCGCACAGCGCGCGACGTGGGAGAACGAATGCCGAAAGGCGAGAGATCGGATGAAGCGACAAAAGTTTGACTGACTACCCTAGAACCATGGAATAACTGCCTAGCACCAACACCCGTCGAAAGGGTCATCCCAAAAGTACTCAAACCCAGGATCCTGAAACCGCCTGACCCCTTCCCAATCCGCGGGCGAGAAGTCCTTCCTTGTCGCTTCCCAAGCGTTGCGGTATTCCTCGGCCGCTTTCTGCTCAGGCTCGATCTTTCCTGATATCGCCACCCGCTTGTCGTGGTATTCTCTGGCCTGCTCCTTTAGCTTGGTGATCATGTCTTCCTTGAGCCTCTCCCTTTTCGGCCCCCTGGGGCCCCTCCTATCACGACAACTGACCATTATCAGTCGCTCCTCGTCTTTGTATTTCTGGGTCATCAGCTGCTCAAGCTCCAACTTTGCCCTCAACTCTTGCCACTTGGTATAGTATTGCGCGGCCGTCTCCCGTAGGCTGAGTTTACCAGCAGACGTGCCTTGCTTGGGCTTGCCTCCCTTCGGCGCCGTCTTCTTGACCTTCTTGACGTGCTTCACCGCCTTCTGCGCATTCTTCTTATTAGACTTCTTCGCTTTCGTCACCTTGTTGCTCGGAGTCTTCCCCTTCTTCCCCCGCCCACCGGACTGACCACGCTTGGCCTGCACTTTCGGTGTCGTCAAGCGAAGGTTGTAGCGGGATTCTGCATTGCGTGCTGCGATCTTGCGTGGTGTTATCTTGATGCTGGAGCTTTGTGCTCGAAACCGACCGATGCAAGGTGCTGAATCGGAAAGTCCCGTCACTCATCGGAGGCTCAGTCATGTCATCAAATCGTCCGCCGGAAACGGCTGGTCAAGTCGGGTTTCATTATGCGGCTTGTGACATTGGTGGGAGACGCAGGCTGGCAGTCGCACGCAGTAGCCAGCAGCCAACGCGCGGAGCAGAAAGAGATCATTGGATCGATGACATAAGATGCGCCTTCGCGAAGTTGCTTGATCTGGGTAACATGCTGCCAAGGTGCACTGACATCGAGTACATTGCGTTTCTGGTACCGCTGCACTTAGCTCACTAGCATTGAAAGAGGCAAAGCATGCGCCTTCGTCTGGACTTCTGCGCTTACTGGTTTTGCTCTGATGAAGCATCGCCTCTTAGCTGCGCTTCAGGGCTTTGTTCTGGTGCAATATCCCTTTCGGCTGAGTCTTCATGTCTGGCCCTGATGTCGTGCTCTACGCTCGAGCATCTTGCTCGCATGGTCTTGTAGAGCCTGTAGCACGTCTACGACAGGAGGCTGTTTCGCAGTGCCTTGGTCTTGCTTCTCTGGCTTGTTGGGGAGAGTCTCTTCCGTCGCGCTTGTGGTGGCTTCGGCATTAAGATCAATGGTAGCGACGTCTTTCCCACTTGCAGGTTCTGCGACAGCGCTGTCCTTGGGCATACCCGTCTCAGATTCAGCTGCGGCGTCTGGGTTGCTGTTCGGTAACGCTTGCGCTGGCGCTTCCATCTCATCATTAACATCCCCATCCCCAGCCGCACTCGAGCCGCCTCCGTCCTCCACATTCTCGTGTGCGACAGTAACGGGCTGCGACGTGTCGTCTTTTTTCTCCCTCCCGTCAACGTCGTCCTTGCTCACTCCTTTTACTTCTTCCTGGCGTTCAGCAGGCTCGTCCTTGTCAACAGCCAGAGCTGGCGCGGGATCCTCTCCACGAGCTTTACGAGCTTATGCTCGTACGTTCTCCATCGTGCCTCCTTCTCCTTGAGTGTGCATGGTGCAAGAGCTTGGACTCTCAGCAGCTCAACGTAGGCTTGGATGATGGAATCACCCACACCGTTGAAGATGGACTCATTGCGATTGCCTGCGTGCTCGTCCGACATCTCGCCCTCGAGATCCAACAGGAGCTGCCCGGTACTTGTCCGCGTTCTCTGCGTGTTTGGCGGTTACGGGTGGCTCCTTCTGGGCTGGCTCAGCTTGCGTACCAGCAGTCTTCTTCTCCTTCATTGGCGACTCTCCCGCCGGCTTTGTCGGACACTTTGTAGCTGTCTTGCTCCTCGGCTTGTCTTCACAGGCGTCAGGCGTCTTTGACCCAGTCGTACCTTCGCCGATGATAGCATCCTTCGGCTTAGATACCTTTCTGCCCGCTTCATGATCGGTCTTGGTTTCGGAAGTGTAGCTTTGGCAGTTTCGTACAATAGCGTTGCCGCATCTTTGTCGGCCTGAGATGCGGTGGCAGCTGCATCGGTAGCATCTTTGCCGCTCTCGGCAACAGCATCTGGTTCAAAAGGTGCGTTCTCCGGCTTCAACCTGTATCCGTAAGCGCCGGCTTTCTTGAGGGAAGTCAGATCTGCAGCCCTTTCTGCTGCGGTCTTCTTTGGTTTGCGAGCAAGCTCCGGTCTTCTCTGTGCCACGGAAGATGCCATCTTGCGCTATACAAGATGGCCAGTCCATCGCTTGATTGCAATTGAGGAAATTCTTGTTTAGGTGGAGACGCCGGGCCTTGTGCTGCTTGATCCAGTCGCTCTTCGTCGTACGTTGGTCGCATGGTAAAAGCTTGACATATCTGTTGCCGAAAGCGGCGGACAGGTAGCCTTCTTTGTCAGAATGGCTGCTGCGCCGTGCAGCATGATGGCTCCGCATCAATCTCAGCGTGCTAGAGACGGTGGGGATGTCAGGCCAATCGGCCATAACGAGACCTGTGCTGTACTCATACCACACACCGCAATCGACACTTGCAACTACGCTCCAAGTACATACCACCTCTCAAGCACCAGCCAGCACCAGCTGAACGATCGTCTTGCCCCTCTCGCCGCCCAGGTAGGCAGTACTGTCGTCCTGCGAGTTCAGCTCCAGGCACGCATCGTAAGCCCTCCTCACCGTCTCCTCTTCCACTTTCACGCCGCCCTCTATCAGTGCGCGGATACAGCTGGCGATGGTGGCAATCTCCTGCCGTGTCTCGGCCTCAACCACGTCGTTCTGCGAGCTATACATACTCGTGCTAGCCGTTTCCTCAAGCCGGTTGATGCCGACGTCTTCTTTCTTCTCGTCAGCCACATGCTTCGAGATCCAGATGTAGCCATTGACGCCCAGAATAACGTCGACTTCGCCTCCGCTACGTGTGGTCTGCAGAGTGAAGATCTGCCGCTTAGCTCTTACCACGCCTGCACCACCACCCATACCGGATACGGACATGAAATAGCCGTTGCGCAGCTTGCCGTATCGCAGAGACCGAGTATGCAAAGAAGCGCTGCCATCCTGAAAGAGACTCTGCACCTCTGCAACCAGCAGCTCACCTTCGCCGAAGAAAGCACGGATGTTAAGCTCATCAACGCTGGTCCGTTTACGAAGAACGCCACCCGGGAGATTGATGGAAGATAGCAGCAAGTTAGCAAGTAGTGGCGCAGCCACATCAACCTTCCACCGTCGCCCCTGGACTTCTACAATGCGACCAATGACAAGGTCACCGATCTCTGGTGTGTAACGGGCGCGGAGAGGTACGATAGAGAGCAATTTGTTGGTCTTTTGAAGTGTGCCGGCCAAGGTGCTACGAATAGTTATGCTGTCTGCGCCTGCGAAGGTCCCGTGGCCGCGCATCCATTGTGGGTCGTCCGTGATCGTCTCGCCTGGGGTTATGACTTTGACAGAGTGACCATGGCCGGAGGGTAACTCGTCAATGTCCATCTCGTCGTCGTCTTTGTGGGTTGAACCGACGGCAGACAAGGCCACCGCGGGCGCCGGTGGTAAAATGGTGACTGCCATGATTGTTTTATTACGGCTGATGGACCATTCAGTTCTTTCATGTACCAGACGGTGGATATCAATTCACGACAAGGTATATCGCTTCGCAAGCGGCCTTCGAGCGATTTATGCACGCTAGCATTGGCAGCGGGAACAGCCGGGAGATCTAGGCGGTGCCTTCCTCACTTTTGGAAGTACATGTATGTTATGGAAAAGTCGATGCTTGGAGGACGGTAGGATAGCGTTCATGATGGAGAAGCTGTCATGGTGCTGACATGAGCAAGGTCAAGAGAATAGCTTATATGCGGCACGCGACAGTACCCTCGATGAACTAGGTGTCTCATAGTATTAATGCATCAAGTCGTGCCTGCCTCTTCCGGAACATGCCTTATGAACTAACGCACATAGCGAGCCGTCGCTGGGGCGTTAGTGCTCCTCCTACGTTGACATGAACTGCTTAGGATGAGGCCCTCCGCACTGTAAAAGCCATGCCTTCTTCACGCGCTTGGGGTCATGTCAACCATCCTACCACTGCTGCGGCTTCCATCAGAGCTTCGGAATCGTGTTTCGGTGACCGCTTTAACCTTCAACAGAAGGATGGAGCTAGAGTACATCAGCAATTACGATGGAATCATCCGGACCTGTACACAGACCCGCGACGAAGCCCGCCTCAATTTCGATGGCTAGAACGACTTTCGATGCGGCTTACACCTAGAATGCAATACTAACAATCATCCACCACCTGGCAAACACAGCGGCGAAGCGGTTGGTGTAATGCGCACGCTTTTCGTCTGTGCGATGGAGAAGGATGTGTTGATTATCGGCCTCCGGGCTAAAGCAAGGGAAAGGACACCCGGGAGCTCGCCGCTAAAGATCGACATGGTGAGGTTCAAGGATACTATTAGACATCTCAGACAGGCGTAACATGACGTGGGTCTGCGTCTGCGGTTTGTACGATCGGAGTCGAGTAGGGTCCGGAGGCTGGTCATAGAGTGGTGGGAGAAGCTGCTGCGGCCAAGAGTAGGAATAGTGTTTGCAATGCCTGGCCGTGGCGAGTTGCGAAATCTGATGGGCCGTGACGGCGGACCTGTGATGATGCGGCGCCTCGATTCCGACATGCTCTCTGACGGAGGCGTCGGAAAAGGTGCAGAAGGGTAGTGATCACACAGAGTCGTCGTATAAGCCGAAGAGAAATCATCGCAGCGAGAAGTCGGCAATGGAACGGCCAAGGAGAACTCATCGCCTAGGCATATTGAGCATGGAGAGGGAATGCAACTCAACTGCAATGTAGTACTAGGTATCCTCCTTCTGCGCTCACGAGAACAACCAACGCGTGTCCTTCTGCTAGCCTCAATCATCGCACTTCTCCGCTCCCTTACTTGGATCCACCGAACCAGCTGCTGATGCCGCTCTTCGCCTTGTCGGTGGCCTCGAGGGTCGCCTTGTCGAACTTGTCAGCGGCCTTGTTGGCGCTGTCCCTAGCCTCCTTCAGAGTCGAGTCGATGGTCTTCTCCGCCTACATTTACACATTTAGCTCGCAACACCGACTTCGTGTCCGGAGGAAGGATATACCTGTGTGCGGTACGACTAGCGGAGAAGTACGTCAGTTCCAACATCTTGCGGCAGACTCCATCTGAACTCGTAGTAGAGTGGGACGTACCTCGAGCTTCTTGTCCACTGAGTTAATGCTGGACTTCGCGTCGCGCGTCATCTCATCAATCTTCTTTCCGGCATCGGCGACGGAGACTTCGGCGACCTTCTTGGTCTCGGTCGTCTTGGTCAGGCCGAGCTCACGGCCGAGCTTGGTGGCATCGGCTGTATATCATCAAGTTAGTGTGCAACATAGTCCGGGCTGGGAAGGAGTTGGCATGGCATGCCTTCGAGTCGCTTCTCCGCTGCACTTGGGCTTCCACCAGCATTGTAGAGGTAGTAACCGGCACCGGCCGCGAGAGCACCGCCCGTGATGACCCAGAAGTTCCTGCCTGCCATTGTTCGTGTATTGGTGGTGGTAATGGTAGTGTGGTGGTCAGGGGTGGAAATGTCTCACGCGACAGTAAGGTATGTAGGTGGAAGTAGTGGTGGTGGTGGTGAGGGATGTCACTCACAGAAACAAGTGCAAGCAAGCAAGCAAGCAAGCAAGCCAGCCAGCGAGCTCCGCGAGCTGTGTAGGTTGATCCAATCACATGCCTTGCTGCGCCGCAACGTGCTTGGCCGTTGCCACACTCGCACAACTGACGTGTGAGGCTGAACGCTGGTGCTGTACTGGACTCAGTGGACTGGGCTGTAGCTTCCCCATCCGTGCACGCACGCGGCAACCAGACGATCTCCATCGCTCGATGCAAGTCTGAGGGAAGGAATGGCTCGCAGGCGGCAACCTTGAATTGTGGATTGTATCCGTAATGGACAACGAAGGTACTGCACTCCGATTCAGCAGCAGCAGCATCAGATTAGATCAGTAGTAGAAACATGCCATTACGATGAGCGCGCGAGACAGCCAACACGACGCTCACAGCCACATTTCCCGCCGACACAGCGTAGGCCTGGCCGACCTATTCCACCACCGCATAACGGATACGGGAGACTTGATACAGAGTCCCATCCAGCTTAAAGACAGGTGATCCTTCTCGGCGCTACCTTAATCAAAGCATCATTAAGCCATGGCTGTCCTCTCCCCTGTAACATCAACATTCAATAATCTCCTTCGCGACATTCCCAACACCGACAACCTCAAGGCTGAGCACGAGATCAAGCTCCTCGACAAGACAAGGCCATCCGACTCTCAGGATCGAGTTGATGAAGAAGAAGATGCTGAACGGAATGATAGTGTTCCGACCGATGCAGGACCAGCTACCCTCGAACCACTGATCAAGCGCATGACTAATAATTCCATCAACCTTCCGGAATCGATACGACAGCAGATCGCCAAGCAGAAGTACGCTCGCTATGGTAAGGACAGGTATACCGACAACAGCACCGAAGCGGGCGATGCGACACAGCTGAATGGGGAAGGCGCATCAAGTCAAGCCGGAGAAGCAGCTTCAACCGCGCAGCAGAACCGCCTCGAGCGCAACCTTGCATATGCTCGCAACATTCTGAAACGCAGGCGCGCTGTCTTGCGCGGCGCGGAGAAGGAGGATACGGTCATCGACATCCTCTACGAGAACCAGCGTGGCTCCTTCCTATTCGGTGTCCCACGCTACTCGTCTGCTTCGCTCCTGCCATCTGACCCCAAGCCGTGGCAGAACGCTCAGTTCCGCACGTCACCCGTCGACATCCGCAACGCGCAGGTGCCGGACCCGAGCTGGGAGTGGGTGTGGAAGAGCTGGTACGTCGACATGAGCCGCGATGTGGACGAGGAAGGGTGGGAGTACAGCTGGGTGTTTCGAACGGGCAATTGGGGTGGCGTGTGGCATGGCAATCATCCCTGGTTCCATAGCTTTGCGCGCAGGCGGCGCTGGTTGCGCATGCGGAGGAGGAAGCATAGCACGCGTAAGACGCGGGAGGCGGGCCATGAGCTGAATGCTGACTACTTCACCATCCATCCGAAGACCCTCAAGCCGTTGAGCGATGTTAGTGATCCGGCGAAACGAGCTCGGCTGGCACGGATGCACGCGGAAATGGAAGATGAACCGGACGTTGAAAAGATCGACATAACAGACATCGGCTCGCTCATCCGCATACTTCGGAAAGCGTCCGTAGACCGCGAAAGGCTGGTCGCGGTCCGCAGATTTGTCGACGGTGGTGGAGAGGAGCTGTACTACCTCGGCCAACGCATGCCAGAGATCATGTCGCTCTTCGTGTACCAGTCTTCGCGTCGACAGTTACTTTCTAATCTTGTCGCGCACCACGAGACCGCTCACGAGCAGCAACAGGACCTGGCGAGTCACGACCACGACAAAGACACCGAGGAGAAGCAGAAGAAGCACGCTGATGCTGTCCGCCGAGCAGATAATCTTCACGCTGCGGTACAAGCCGCAGAGTCTCAAGTCAAGCACCTGGAGTACTGGTCAGACATCAGAGATATGGCTGAGCATGATCAGCTTCACGACGATGAGCTGATGACCGAAGTTGGAAAGGAAGGCCATCTCCACGACTCCTTCATGTACAAGCAATCCGCGTCTGAAGGCGCCCATGAGCTGCACAGGCACGCCGAGCATAGCAACTCAGTCGCGCCCTCTAAGCGCTCCAGCAAATTCTTCGACGCACCAACTTCGCCGCCCTCTGCCCGCACGAGCCAGAAGCAACCATCGTCGCAGCATCTAGGCCGGAGCCCCGGTAACGGTAGCGAAACGAGCGACGAGCTCGATCGTTACACCACCGCCGCCGAGTCTGTGGGCGGCGAAAGCGACTACGCAGGCTCTTCGAAGGTCTTCTCGCCCGCGCAGAAGGGGAAGGAGAAGGCTACACGACTCTCAAATCTGGATGGCATGATGGAGGAGGAGCCCGTCTCGCCGGAAACGGGAGCGTCGGCAGAAGGTGGAAAGGGAAAGGTACGGGTTGTTGACCCGACGCCGGTGCAGGATGAAGGCGATGTGATTGAGAGGGAGAATGCATGACTACGCTCGGGCGAGGGGATGAAGACGCCGCCGAAGACGCCGGATAGCCTTGCGGAGACGAGGAGAGTAATGAGGGGGAGGAGTTGGGTTGAGCAGGCATTCTTATGAGCGCGCAGTGTGGCGTAAGACTGGGCTAGGGAGGCATTCGGTAGTACGGCTTTGACCTTAGCGTGGCGTTGAGAAACTGGGTTTTTAGTGGTATTGCATCGGCATCAGAAGTGAGAATACAGCAAGGGCATGATACACTTCACAATGACAACGGCAGTGCTATAGGCAGATGCATGTCAAGGTCCTCGCTCATGCCACGCTGTCTAGCACCCTGGCCTCGCTTCCAAACTGCCAGTACCACCTGTCGCATCTCGTACTACTCTACCGGGAATGCCTCACGAAACCCCACCCTTGTGAATGACTGATCAAGAAGCCTTGTGCTCGCCATTGAAGTCGTATATCCCAGTCGAAGTCGAGGTTGCTCGTCGCCGATGGACTTACGCCATGAATGAGCTTCGCTCGCCAATGCCAATGCAATGGCCATGCCATTACCATTGCCTTGCCTGTCTGCCTGCCCGCCGTAGGAAGTGCCATGCTTACCCTTTGTCCAAGGTACGGAACCCAGCAGAAACAGGACGAAGCAAAAACAGAACGCAGTAAGCAAGCAATGATACATACCTCAGAGTGGAGAATGACGGACCATTGGGTTGCCCGCAGAATTGTTGTCGTGGCGGGCGCGATTACATGCGCGCCTTCTTCGCCGGCTTTATTAATGAAACCTCTTCTGCCTCTTTCTCATCGTCATCGGCACCAGGGTCGTCCATCTCTGAAGCTGTCTGCGCTGGAGAGTGCTTACGCTTGTTGCTAGAACCAGACGCATTGACAGGCTCAATCGCGTCCAGGAGGCGGAAGGCGGACTTCTTGACGTTGACGGCTGAGAAGGTGCGGAATGCGGATTTGCGCTTGTTGATGGCTGTGAAGGGGACTGGCGGGTCCGCGGCTTGTTCGGCGGCCTCGGCGGTCTCCTCCTGCTGAGCTAGCCGAAGGGTGAAGCGAGACTTGGTCTTGTTGACTGGTGTGAATCGGACAGGCGGTTGTGAGCCTTCAGTGATGTCGTCCTTGTCAACGCTGGCACCAGTCATGGCGTGCTCGATCTGATCATCATCGTTGGCGCCGGCGACGCGAATCTCGGAGTCGGCATCGGTATTGCGATCCTGGCTTTCCTCGTCTTCGTCGTCTTCATCCTCGGCCTCATCGTCGTCTTCAACTACCTGGTCGCGGTCTGCTTCATCGTCGGAGCCATCTTCAGAGCCAGGCGGAGTGTCGTAGTCGTCGCCGTCCACATCGCAGATGTAGCGCATGTAGTTGGTACTTGCACGAGTTACATGCTCGCCCTCCTGCGGCTCGGAGATGAGGAACTCGATCGGCGGCATCTGCGAGATGGTGTGGTTGGCAAACAGCGCCTCAATGGCCTGCAGAACAGCCTCACAGTCGTCGTAGTCGTAATCATCGCCGCAGTGATTGGTGGTGAAGCTGTCAACGTGCTCGACCGGAAAGGCCGCTTCGTCTTTCGACGGCGCCGTCTGTCCTCGCTTGTTGACCGCGGGCTCCCTGGTACCGAACCTCTCATGAGCATTGTAGTCTCTCTTCGCGAGCACGGAGTTCTGGTTGTGTGAGCGCAACATGCGGTGGTACTCGGCGGAGCGCTCGTGCATGTTCTTCGTAAGCTGCACCTTGAATGTCGCATCAGGCCGCCAGAGCCGCAGCCTCCTGAACTGCATACGCACGTTGCTGACATGCCACCTAAATAGCGACGCTGGCTTCTTCTTGGCACGGTAGTGGAGGCGCTGGTAGTCTTTGCGGCAGTATGTGTGCCACACGTCTTCATGAATCCATGTGGTCTGCTTCTTGTTTCTGCCGAAGTAGTCGCTGATGGACTTACGGCCAAAGCCTTCCGTGCCCGTACCGGTGCGTGGCCTTGAAGGGTTGACGGGTAGAGAAGTTAGCTGTGCTCATGCAATGGCCAAGGGATTAGCACATCACTCAACATACCACCAAGTCAAACCAGTGCTGCAGTTACGGTTCGCGCAATTCCAGGGTTCGCTGAGCCTGAGTGTTGATGGGTAGGAGAGTTAGCTGTGCTGGGGCAATCGCAACGGGGGATCGGCGCATTGCTCGGCTTACTGTGCGCCGTCTGGACGGTCACTGGTGGTGCCCGCACCGGTCTCTTGACCGACCCAATCCTTCGGCACAACCTCTTTCATCTCCTTCTTCGCCGCCTTGGCGGGAGCGGCCGTCGTCGTCTGACGTCCGCTACGCCTTGGCGGCGTGATGGTGATCGTGTTGCTAGCTGGCAACTTGCCTCTAGCTTTGACAGACTTGGTCGCCATGGAGGGCTGTGGTGTTCTTATAGAACGGTCAGTGTCATCTACAACGTAGTAGTCTGCAAATGAACCATAGTCTGCGACAGACATCTTGTTTCAGATGAGTTGTCTGACGCTTCTGGTCAGTGGAAACGTGCTTCGTGAATGTCTCAGAAGCCTTTGAGCCTGTGAAGGTGTCTTACTTGTTGCCGGATGGTCGCTTGCAGATGGCGTAAATCATGGAAAGAGACGCAGAGGACGAAGAACCTGGGAGAAAGAGCAGATACTTAAGGCGGTCTGGCTATTGTTGAGCTCGTGCTATTGTGAGGCTGTGAAGCGTGTGATATTTGCTTCCTCTGACGTGGCGGATATTCACCGTGAATGTGAAGAGCGGCTACCTAACAACCGGACCACATTAAGCCCATTGTAGCCGAGACGATCGGGTTCACTGAGGATCAGATGTCTGGTATTGTGGCCTGAGACATGTGCCTTTGAGCGCACATTTCTGGAATGGCTTGTGAGACCCATCTGTGGTATCGAACGCATACCATTGTCAGTAACTGTAGTATATTTCGTAATATACAGTCGGGCTGCGCATGAATCAAATCTTGCAATGGGCGAAACATAGGGAGATTGCTCTTATGGAAACGAGGCAGAGAAGAGTGCCGTATACCCTTCCTATCGCCATCTGGATGTACAGCCGTACCATTGAGGCGACCTGATCGAGATAGAACAATGGGATGCTTGGCAGATTGAGTCTAACCGCTGTGCCTGAGACGCCCTCGTTCAATGCTTCCCAGCAGGATAATGTACTGGGCGGGGAAAGTTTTGCGAGTATACTGCAAACCGATTTGCACCGACTTAAAGTGATTCAGATGTCGGGCTCGGCGGTCTAGTGGGCATCAATACTTCCTTGCTCCGCATTAAAAGAAGAAGATGCAGAAGAAGAAGAAGAAGAAGAAGAAGCAGAAGGGGTGAAGTGAGGTTGTGGCAGAAATGGGCGGGAATATCCGCCATCATCTCTTGGCAATAGGATTGCTTTCGTTTCATGCCAGGATCTAGAGTCCGAGATCACCTCGTTCGAATCCTAGGACCATGCTCGTGTAGTTCATGTACGCTTTGGCCTATCCTACAGTATAGGCGTAATGCGACACGAGTTACACAAGACTGTGTACATATGTAACATCCATCTCTGCGGCGTGCTGAAGCCGTCCTGAATGACGCAACCTAGTTTGCCATAAGTCACTCCTTGAGATTGAGACGCACCAGTCAGACGTTCCCAGTCGCAATCAAGCTGATTGAGTTGCCTTTGGATCTTCTCCAGAAGCTTCTTGCTCTCACAACAGCGTCTCCAGCGTCAGATCAAGCGTCTTGGTCCTCATCATCGATGGAAAACCCCAACGCACTGCTCGCCAGCTCCGCCAGTTGCGTCCCTACATTTTCCCGGCCCTCCCCAACCAACGCCTGCAGTGCCTTCACAATCTCATGTCCTGCAAGACGTACGCTCACCGATCTAGCCACACTTGAGGCCACCTGCTTCTCGAGGTTTGCCACTCTCGGCTCAGTCATGGACACTGGGCTGTGTAGCGGTGCCGCCCTGGTCTCCTTTCGTAGGACCTCCTCCAGCAACTTGCCGCTCCTGATGAGGTCGTCACTTGACGCACGAAGTTGCGTAGCTGCGTAGTGCTTAGCTTTGAAGGCGGACAGTGTTGCGATCCTCCCCTTCTGCGGACCGGGCTGTGTGATCCTGCCTTTGACACCTCGAATGGGATGGTTGGCGCGAGCGTAGAATAGCTGGGCACGCTCAAGGTGGATGAGAGACTCTGGCAGCTCGGCGGCGAGGTTTTGGGCAGGTGCGTTGCCGGAGTCTGCTGATTTGTTGGTCTCGATCGGCCCGGCGAGATCGATTGTTTTGTTAGTGGTGATAAGGTCGTTCGAGTCGTCCATGGCGTCCGGCATCGCTTGTACCGCTTTCTCTTCTCCACTTACACCATCGCCCCGCCGGACATCTTGCTTAGCTTCGCGCTTATATCTTGCCGGCTTAAGTGGCAGTTCCTCCTTGCCAGTCTTCGGATCCTGCTGCAAAAACACATGTGTGACGTGGCCCTTCGGTTTTCTCTTCCGCCGCTTCGCCGTGAGGTAACAGTTCTCGCAGAAAGTTGCGTTGGGACACGTAGTGCAGTCGTATCGCACATCATCCTTGGCTATGGGCGAAGAACATTCCTCGCAAGTCACGCTGTTCCTCGTGAGTCGCTTCTTCATGATCGCGAGTCGGTGTTAACGTGTAGATTTGAAGGTCGTTGGTTGGAAGATGTGTATATCACGAGTTTGCTTTTACTAGGTGGTATGAAATGACGATGGTCAACTTTGCGCATCACATGTCATTGGCGTGAGAATATTGGCTTCACAAGTGTTCAACCGAATTCGCCACGCCGTTCACACTTGACCCGCTGAACGATGGCCGTACATCCACCAAACGCCTGCCTGAACCCACCGATAGCCTAGAAGATGCTGTTGACAATGTTGCTACCAATCGTCGCTCCCGCGCCAAAAATGGCAGCATTCCCAAGCTTCTTCCCAAACTTCTTGCCTTGCTCTTCGAACTTCGTCGGCACCTTGCCCTGACCATCACCCATCTGACTGACCTCAAGCGGCGCATTGCCATAGTTCGTTGGCGGAGGTTGCTGCGGTGGCGCTTTCTCGTCCATGACCTTGACATACGACCGTGGGAAGATGCCTTCTTGACCGGTCCGTGAGCTCCGACCCTTCCACCATTCGGCATTCATGTACTCGGTAACGGTGATGTGGTCGTTGGGTTGAAGCTCGAGGTCACCGGCGTCGGTACTTGTGTATGCGTAAAGTGCGGTGGCCTGGGCGAGAGGTGGCCAGTTGGCCTGCGGTGGAGGTGCGTTATACGCAGGCGGTGGCTGCGGAGAGGGCGCAGGTTGTTGGTAGTAACTGCCGTCTTGCTTCTCATTTGCCGCGCCGTTAGTCCGTTGGTTCTGCACTGTGAGGTTATTCATGGGTGATGTGGGAGGTTGTAGTGCGGTAGGTGCGCCGCCCGGCACGGCTCCAACGGATATGGGAGCGTGGAGGGCAGTTTGCTCTGGTATCCGGCTGAGCAGGCTGTTGAGTACCTGTGGGGTGATGACGGAGGCATCGCAGAGGTATTCGAGTTCCTAGATGGCCAATCAGCACTGCAGCTGGCAGGCAGAATTCGTAGCGTTGACGGACAGCTTTGATCGTTCGGATTGACCGGTTGATCATGGCTGTGTGCATCTGTTCGATGGACGCCATATTGCTTCAACGAAAACTTCGACTATCTATGATCAATCAAGACAACCGAATCGCAAAGGCAGAGAAGAGTCTGTGTGGTGCAAGAGCAAGCCTGGCGACGTGGAGATGGAGGTGCTGCTGCGCCTCAGCTGAGTGCGACATCCATGGCTTCCATCTCTCACTACCATGTGCCACCGCATAACACCATCACGTCCATCATAGCGTCGTCACCGCACAACGCGGGCTTCCTGGCCTCAAACGTGCAACATGCGAGACGGGGACAGCCATTTGCTATAGACCTGCATAGAAGGTCTCATGCGATGCTCTGAGCATGCCCAATGTACGACGTTGAGAAGAGGCTCATTCCTCCCCAAAATATTGCCTTTGCTTGTTCGATAAGGACATCAAGTCTTCGCGAATTTGTCTGGCATCGTGAAGGCACCGGCAAGCCTGCTACTGTCCCAGCCATACGGGCTGTAACTTCGTACCACCACCACTGCGAGCACGTACCCAGCGTGAGCGCTGTTTACGGGACCGGCACACAAATAGACTTCGGATGCACGCTGCAGCTTTCAAATGCCCTACCTTTCGGATCAACCTAAATGGCATCGTGAGGGCGTGCTGAAGATCTGAGCACTGCTGCTGATGGTGGGAAGAGAACGACAAGCAGTGTATTCCCCTCACTGCAGCGCCATTGACTTGCATCACCTCACCGGTCATTCTCATGCTTACTTGTGCTCACCAGTCATGTACAAACGCAGGCAGGACCCCGACTTGATAGCCAGTGAATTCTTGTCCTGCGTACATCATTCTCCGACGTTGAACGCTGATTACACCGTCACGAGGCGGTTACTCTCTGCACAAGGTAACCTTCTGCTGAGGCTGCAGGAATCCCTGATGCGATTGCTGTGTTCTTGTACCCAGTTACGGCACGTAACGAAGCAAAGACGCCCGACCTCACCGGTATAACCAAGGGCAAGGCACCTGGCAGTTTTCTGAGATTAACCAGCCTTTCATCCGCACGTGCCACATAAGCCTTTAACACGTGCCGATGCCGGCGAGCCTCACGCCCCGCATCCCCTCCAGCGCTCGTCACGGTGCAGCAAACTGCAAGCGATTAGTGGTAACCCTCGGCAATAACATTGCAGCGAGCCAGACGCTTTCCTTCGCTGAGTCTTGAAACTCTATTCCACCCGACATGTCCCTACTACGAACAGTGACGACTCAAGCCTTTGCGTTGCCTACTTCTCCAGCGCCGTATACATACCTCTCGGCAGCAGCACGAACCTTTCCTAGACCAATCGCTGCCAAGGTCCAGCAACGGCGCAAGATGGCCACCTCAATCCCTAAGATCAAGGTCAAGAATCCCGTCGTTGAGCTGGACGGCGATGAGATGACTCGTATTATATGGCAAGACATCAAGGACAAGTTCATTCACCCGTACCTTGACATCGACCTGAAATACTACGACCTGGGCCTGCCGTACCGAGACGAGACCAACGACCAGGTGACGATTGATGCTGCGGAAGCCATTAAGAAGTACAGCGTCGGGGTCAAATGTGCCACCATCACACCAGACGAGGCGAGAGTGGAGGAGTTCAAGCTGAAGCAGATGTGGTTGAGTCCGAACGGCACCCTCAGAAACGCGCTTGGCGGCACGGTGTTCCGAGAACCCATTGTCATTCCCAAGATCCCACGTCTGGTGCCAGGCTGGAAGAAGCCGATAGTCATTGGCAGACATGCATTCGGCGACCAGTATCGGGCGAAGGACAGAGTGATTGACGGGCCTGGCACGCTGGAGATGGTCTTCACGCCTAAGGGTGGCCAGCCGGAGAGAATCAAGGTCTTTGAGTTCGATGAGCATCATCAAGGTGGTGTCGCACAGACGCAATACAACACCGCAGAAAGCATCACTGGCTTCGCCCACGCATCTTTCAAGCACGCATTGAGTTTGAAGTATCCCATGTACATGACCACCAAGAACACCATCCTGAAGAAATATGACGGCAGGTTCAAGGATATCTTCCAGGATATCTATGAGAAGGAGTACCGGAAAGACTTTGAGGCGGCGGGTATCTGGTACGAGCATCGACTCATCGACGACATGGTCGCGCAGATGATCAAAAGCGAAGGCGGCATGGTGATTGCGATGAAGAGTAAGTCTGCTGTAGACCCGCAGTCTAAGTTTAGCTGACACTTTCCAGACTACGACGGCGACGTTCAGTCCGACATTGTAGCCCAGGGCTTTGGCTCACTTGGTCTCATGACCTCCGTTCTCATCACCCCAGACGGCAAGACCTTCGAAGCCGAAGCGGCTCACGGCACCGTCACGCGACATTTCCGCGAGCACCAGAAAGGCAATCCTACCTCCACGAATCCCATCGCATCCATCTTCGCCTGGACAAGAGGTCTTGCCAAGCGTGGCGAGCTCGATGGCACGCCAGAGGTTGTGAAGTTTGCGGAGAGTCTTGAGGAGGCGTGTATCCATGTCGTAGACCAGCAGGGCATTATGACCAAGGATCTTGCAATCAGCTGTGGTAAGAAGGACGACTACGTGACTACGACGGAGTATCTCGATGCGGTGGAAAAGCGGATGAAGGCAGTCCTGAGCGCGAAATTATAGTTGCGTGCATACATACCCTTGTGTGCGCAAGCAAATACCATAAAGCAGAGGTCGTGTAGTCTCCCTACTACATCAAACCGATCACAACCTCTATCAGGAGCGGGGTGGTCGAAACCACTGCAGTCTGCATGCAGACGCCACCCTACCACTCATCCTCCGTAAGCCCAGACATCCGTTCATGCTTCCTCCTAATCTTGATCGAACCCTCAATTTCGTAATACTCCACGTCCGGCGGCACCAGATTGCCTCGCTGCAGAATCTCGCAGTAGCCCACTTCCCGCAGCTCAAATGCGAGCTCGACAATGGCCGGCAATGCCTCTGCCCACTCCTCGTAGCCAAGTTTGACCAGCTGCTTTGCCGTGAGCAGCTGTGCTACGTCTCTGGGCGTGAACGTATCTGGAGGTTCTGTATTGTCCAGCAAAGTGAGGAAGTGCCCACGAAGAGCCGGGTCATGAGCGGCTTCGCTGGAACGGGTGGGCTTGTTTGCATTGGAAGACCAAGGCCAGGCCCAGGATGCCCAAGTAGACATGCCAGAAAGAGCGCCGTATCGGGCTGGGGTCTACTTGTTTGACTAGGATTGGTGCGGTGGAGTTAGGATATCCCACGCTGACGTTCACGGCGATGCGACCGTTGACCGTCGGGTGAGGTGACCCTCAGCAGCCGCGGCGGCGGCCTTTCAGTCCGGGTCACACAACGAAGGACTTCACGGACTACGCTCCGACAAAAACGTCCTGATTCTTAGACTGACCACTCACTCCAACCAATCCGGTGACTTGAGCAGATGTTGCTGGACAACGCAGGATGGAAACGATTCTGGAGCAGGAACGACCTCCGAGGTCTTCCTGCAAGCTGTGCTTCTTGGCTAAGACCATCTCTGTGCTGCCTCGATTCAGTTTCGGGATATACAAGCTCTATCAACATTGTGAGACCACGTCGTATTCACTGCATTACAAGGTAACACACAAGGAGCATGTCGAATGGGTTGAGATATCCCGCGAGTGTGCTCACTCCATGGTCCAACTCTCAGCCACAACCATCGTCGGCATCCGATTATCTTTGAAGTCCTCCGCACGCCAACCTTGGCTAGTGTATCCCTCATCCACCACGTCCCCAGCCATGACGGGAGTGTGCTCAAGTATGCAGGTGTCCGCCTCCGTCCTAGCGCCTGATAGGAGCCTTGAGCCACTCCGCAGCACGCTCCTCTCGCCGACATAAAGTCGATTGAGGTCGAACTTCCCTTTCGTGTTGATATGTGAGACGAGTCATCTACGGCGACGCGGTCACCAAGAGTCAGAAGACCTGGCTCCGTAAAGTACATTCAGAAGGTCGTACTCACCCAGAGTTGCGCCTTTGTTGATCGTAACAGTCCTTACGACTTTGACTCCGAGCATTCAATAATACCAGACACGACTCCGTTTGGTAAGACCGAAAACACGCATCCCGGAGATCGAGATCACCTTCTGGCAAAACCACCATCTCGTGTGGGATCTGCTCCACATCGGCCACACACCCTCCTCGTAGCGACCGATGACGAGCTACTTGAACAAGATGCCAAGGAGAGGAGCTACGATCTTGGTTACGGCTCTCGCGGCTGCCATGGAGATGATTATGTCGAATACACGGCCCAAGATGCTCTTGTTTGTAATCCAGCCTTGCATGAAGGTCAGAAAGTGCATGAATAGCGACCATAAAAGTGCACGCTTCATCGGGTAGTAGAAGAAAATCGGAAACAATTGTATGAGCAGTATCAGCGGACGGGTGGAGCTGCATTGCTCTTTGCAGCCAGGTAGGACCTTTAGGGCCGCCTGCTCCTCTGCTGACTGTCTTCGAGCCTGGCGGAGTGTGCTCGCTTCCGCCCATCGATCACTGCCGTAAGAGGCTCCAATGTCTGGGTGTTTGAAGAACAAGGTGTCGATGGCAAGGCGCAAGCTCAACGTCTGTCAAAGGTGAGCAAGGAGCTGTCCGGCTGGCATACTTGTTCCGCCCAGCTCGAAGAAGTTTGATGCCTTCCCTTGTCGCAGAAAGGGAGCAACAGTCCCTTGGCAAACCCCGCAGCAACAGAGCTTTCGGTCTCCGTGAAGCCATCGAGCCCCTTCTGGGTGGAGACTCTGCTGGATCTGTAGAGTAAGTGCGAGACGGCTTCTTCGTCGATGCTGCCATCAAAAGCTCGTGGCAATATTCCTTCGGTCAGGAGAGCCTTCGTGGGTACGTAGCATCCATCGAGCAGTTTTGCAAGCCTGACGGCCCTGTTTTGAATGTCTAGGCTCTTGATGGCCTGCTGGGTCTGACGGTGTAGTGAAACGGCGATTAGCAGTTTGGATTAGAAGCCCGACTGGTCCATGCGACCATGTATCTGGAACGCCTTCGACAAGACCTGAGTAGTCGCTAGTTTCGCGGACGAGATGGTTAAGATCAACCTTCACCATCCGCGCATGTATTGTGTGGCGCAGGGGCGCGTCGATTGGTGGTATGGCCGCTTCCCAGTGTCGCTGTGATCGGGGAGTGCCGTGCGAGATACCAGGAAGCCTCATACGCCCAGCGAGGTTGATGCGCAGTATCTTGTTATTGTCCAATGGCAGCCCGTCATGCCCAACAGAGAACGCTAATGCTTTGCAGACTCGACCGAAGATGGAAGAGTGGGGATCAGCGCTTGCGGCGATGACCGCCTTTTCGATCTCGAACGGACTGATAAGCTCGCCAACACGGTTGATGACCTCCTTGCTGCGCCCGTGATGTAGAGGTAGCCGTCCGAGTCTGGGTCACCCATGTCGCGCGTATCGAATCAGCCATCAACGCTAAAGGCAGGTCTTGTCCATGTTATTCTCAGCCGTAAGGTAACCCGCGAAGACAGGTGCACCACGTACGCAAATGCGGCCTACCTCTTGAGAGTCATGTGGTTGATGGCTCGTATCGAAGATACGAATCTCGGGCCCTACGCTGATGCCAGACGTGCCGTTTCTTTTCAAGCGGTAGCTGAGTGGAGCCGTGGAAATGGGCATGCACTCTGTCATGCCATAGCTGGGCAAGATCGTGCAGTCGATGTCCTTCATAGAGAACGTTTCACGCAGCTGGTAAGCGAGGCTTGGCAGTAGTCCACCAGTCGCATGGCATACGGGCGCAATGCGACTCCGAGCAACCCTCTCTGGCCTTTGTGAGGCGGCGTCCAGGATCCATTGGTGCATTGTCGGGCTGGCGTACTACCACGTTGGTGCATAGTCTTCGATGCAATCCCAGAACAGGTTCGCATCGAAGCCACTGCTACCGATCGCGGAGCCTCCGGACACGACCGACGCAAACAAATAGCGAATGAGGCCGCCGACGTGGTTCAAAGGCATCTGGTTGAGACACCGCGATGCCGGTGATAGTCCCCAGGAGCCCACTACCATGCTTACGCTACGAGGGAGGAACGAGCTTCTTGGTATCAGATGTCCCACTCGTAGAGAAAAGGATGCCATTGTCGTCTGCGGTGTTGGGCACAGCGTCCAAGTCGATGTGTGCTGGAGCCGCTGGACGACCGTCTAGGTCGCATACGGTCACAGTCAAATCGACGCCTTCGGCTTGTATCATTGCGACAAGGTACACTTGGACTCCGGTTGCGGCAAGCCAATCATCATGCAAATGCAGCCTGTCAAGGTCCCAGCTGAAGCTAATAGCACGTCGGCTTTCAACTGCAGCACGTCGGCTTTCGTTTGCAGGGCGCCGGCTCCGGTACCGTACGCGACCGGGACAGCAGTGTAGTAAGCTGCTGTACATAGAACGGTTATTGCCAGTAACGGTCCGTTCGCTAGTGCAATGGCAACAATGGGCTTGCGATCGCCAGGGTGGGCGCAGAGATTGGCAAGCTAGACTTTCGGAGTATCTCCGCAATGCGCACATGGGTGGTGGTGCTTCCAGACTGTGGTTTGATCAGAGCTACCGTGGAACAGCCGGGGTGGAAGAGCTAGAACAGTTACGTGTATGAGCGCTTGCCGCATTGCTCAGTCACGCGCGCAACGAACCGACGAGCGCCGTCTCCCCCGCGGCCCGCTTTGATGTCTTCCGGGAGCAAGTCATAGGCACGACTGTAGGCGAGCTGAAGTTGCAAGACGGGCCATTGCCCAGGAATGGCAGGTAGGAGAGTCGACAGGGCCACTAGCAGGGTAATCGAACGCCTCGCAGCGAGTGGCAAACCTCGGGAGAGCTGTGTGCGGTCGAGGTTGATTCGCTTGGTAGCGGTCTGCAGGAATGCCTTGATATCGTCCGTCTCCGTGGTGGAGAGCAGATCCCAAATCCACGCTGAGCATTTGTATTCGACGATACTGTTCGCGTTCATCGCCATTGTTATGTGTGTAGAAGCGTAGCCTACAGTGCTGATCGGTTGCGCCCATGGGACATTCCTCTCGTTCAGCGTCTGCCTGGCTTTTGCGCCGTCGTCCCAACCGGACGATGCAGCACCAGAACGACCAGTGACCCGCCTGCCACAAGTGGGTATCCGAGCCGCTACAGAAAACGAGCGAACGACGTACTAGAAGGACGTAAATGGATGATGTGAAGGAGGATACGAAATCAGGAGAGACGCGAAGGCAGGGTTGAGATGCACCGCAGCCCACCAATTACTGCGCCATCACTCTTCGCACCAGTCTTGCGATTCTGTTTCAGTGGAGATATCTGTTCACATCGGAGATCACACTGTATCGGTCCGTCCCCGAGTGTTTGGATGAGTGCGCCAGACTCTACACATTACAGAGCGGCCCGTAACTGTAGCAGCCTTCGATGAGAATGCGGCCGAGCTGAGAGGTAGCCATTACGCCTGCTACCCGCGTCACAACCCATTCTTACATCAGCCGTGGCATGACTCCGTCATCCATGATGGCCAGCCGGAGCATTTGCTAATCCTAGACCAGTCTAGAGGGTATAGTGACCCGTGCAAGGCATGGGAAAGACGGCAGGCCAACGCCGTGCTTACGGTTCGGACGGGCGAAGATAACACTGCTGATGTCGGGCGGCTATGATATTAGACGTCAGTGACTCAATCTGAAGCAGTACTCATGCCTGCTTGAAAGAAAGCCTGGCCGGCGAGCGTCGATCACCAGGAAAGACATGTTGCCGGGACAGACAGTACTCGCAGCGTTTCCCGGGGTCGAGAGCAGCATACGATACTCTCACGAAAGCGCGGTGAACCGCTCATCCACAGAAGCTTCCTTTGGATGACTTCTCACCGCAGCTGTAAAAGCAACGATAGCATTAGTTGTAACGGCAACGTGTACAGTCGTTTGATGGAGACCGCGGAAGGGTAAAGCTATGTGGACCGTGCAACGGGAGATGCCGGTGTGGAACAACCTCCGGGCGCTAATCAGCCAGTGACTTGCAGATTCATCTGGGATCAACCAAATTCGTACGCAGTCAGAACAAGTTAACAGCATGTTGACATTGTGTTTGCCATCGGCAAGTGTTGGCTGCAGTACGAGAGCGAAAGCGAGAAGCAACTCCCAACAAGCTGTCCGGATGTCTAACACAGGTATGAGTAGGTACCAATGGCACAAGTTCCAACACAATTCGGGGACCCACAGCCAGTGCGAGCAGAACTATCTACTCTTGGAGGACTCTCCAGTGTCTTCAGAGGTCACGGTGCCGCTGAGACCGACCCACCGTCAGCCACAGCAAAACCAAGTGTCTTATGACAGCTTCATTTCTGGGCATTTCACTCTCAGGTTCTTGGTAGGCTGAGACCTTGGTAACGTGTTTGGGAATTGGGGCGCCATGATGAGTGCCTGCAGTAAGTCCACTATACATCGACAACCAGTCATTGTTTGCCTCTCGGAGTCAGATCGCCTCGCCAAGGCCTCTCCAACTGGTTTGCACGCGTCACGTCGAACTTCCAGACACCACATGTCTTGTCAGCCTGCAGTTTCTGGCCAACAACCGCCATCAGCTTTTCTGCAACTGGGTCGCTAGTCTCGTTGCGGTAAAACAAGGGCTGCCAATTCTCTTCGCTGGTGTCATCATGCTTCCGCAGCTCCCTTTGCCCATTTTCAAGCGCGCTCTTATGGTCAGCCACGCCCTGCATATCTCCGCGACGTATACTCTCAATGACACCGGCCCAGGCCTTCCGAGACTCCCAAGGATCTTGCTGGTCTAACGGCTCCGTGCGGAACTCAGAAGCGGGAACACCGCCAATCTCATACCTGTCAATGACTTTGCCATTGGCATCCTTGAATTGCAAGGTGTCAGACCAGCTGCCTTCGGCTGTGAAGAGGGGAGTCTTCTTCGACATGTCATCGGCTCGAAAGATGGTACCTCGGGCATAGTTCTTCTGGCCACCAAATCCGAAGAAGCCTTTCCCGGTGAATTCGATTTCGGCAATGAGACCCGTTGAGCTGACGATATTGTAGGTACCATGTATTTCAGGGTACGGGTTGCCTGACAAGATGCCACTGACCTTCACACTGGGTAGAGGGAGCAGATAGTCTTCGTCAAAGCCGTCAAGGTGCATGATCGCATATCCGATCTGCTGGATGTTAACATTGCCGTTGAAGGTGATCTCCTGCCTGGTATAGCCCTCTGCGCGGACGCCGTGCTTCTCGTTCCAGAGATAGCACGCTGTAACGGGTGGATGATGTGAAACTTGCTCGCTGATCAGCTTGCACTCTTCGCCTCCGATGCCGCATTCGCCGATGAATATCTCGCCTAGAAAGGCATTCAAAGGCTTCTTGATGCCGTCGCTGCCATCACGGCCGGCGTACTGCTGCCCTCGTAGAGACGCCAGGAACGATTTCAGTACGGCCAGGAGTCGGCGTTCTGGTGTCTGTTCGTATGCAGGCGCGCAGAACAGGTCTGGGTGTTCGATCCAATACCGCGGAAATTCGGTCGTAGATTTGTCTGCGAGCAGGAAGGGAGGCGCTGTGATACTCGAAAGATCGCCTCTTATTGATGCAATGGACTGCAATGTCTTAGTTCCGGTCATAGCATACGCGATATGGTAGGTTACATACAGCGAGAAACTGTTTGAGACTGCTATGATGTTGACCATTTTCTGCCATTGCCGTGATCTGTTTTTGTACAATCTGAACTTGGAAGGACTGAGCAAAAGCTACCGGCTTCTATACAATATATACATCGTCACCGCATTGCTCAGTGTCACGATTGATTTTGGCAACCATTGCGAGCACTCGTGGATGTGGCGTGGCGGAGCAAACCTGTGTTAAGAATGTCGTCATCATAACCAAGCGCCAACCTCTCCGACGACCTCGCAAAGCAATCTCGTACGCATGCGCGTCCGTAGACTGCAGATGCTCGTACGCGTAGGGGCTGAGCTCGCGTTCGCGATCAGTGGCATGGAGCAGTGAAGGTATGATGTTGATCGTTTGAAACCCTGCGGGCAACGACAAGGATCCGAGGGGAGACAGACGCGCACCTTCGTCCGGACCCGCTGTACTTGCTCTACTCATCTACCTATCACTGCTCGCGGACCTCGCGCACTTTGCGGGTGCATAACCATCATTATGCTTGGTCAGCTTGGGCTACCGAAAAGATATAGACCTTTAGCATAGCGGTTGTCCTGGTAGAGTTGTGGACTTGGCATTCGATTCGACTGCTGATGACAGACTTCACATCTACCTCGGCTTGAGCGAGTCTCCAACCTGTGGTCTCACCCGAGGATTCCAAAATTAAGACAACGCTGTACTAAATGCCTACCGGTCGAGGCATGAAGTTGCGCAACGTTCTGACAACTTGAGGACTTGCTGAACTAGACTGTCAAAGTCGACGCTGCCTTTGACGCCGCGCCTGGAGCACGGGTCGGAAAGATAAATTAGAAGCGCGCATCGATTGGTTCAGCATACCAGCAATCTTGCCACGATGGCGGTCAAAGACTACAAATACGAGTTCTTTAACGTCACCTTTCCGTCCGAATATGTCGCACAAGTCGAGATCAACCGGCCACAAAAACTCAATGCCTTCCACGAGCCGATGTGGGTCAATATTGGTGCTATATTTCGTCGACTGTCCTATGATCCGGACGTACGGGTTGTGATACTTACTGCAGCCGGAGACAGGGGTTTTACTGCTGGTCTTGACGTCCAGCAAGCTTCTACTGGGGGAGTACTCGCTCAGCCAGATGCGAAGGCCGGCTCGGTGGATCCTGCGCGGAGAGCTGTAGCGATTAAGCGCCATATGCAGGAGTTCCAGGATGATATCTCCGCCATTGAGAAATGTGAGAAGCCTGTGATTGCTGTGTTGCATGGCATCAGCTTCGGACTGGCAATCGATATGACGACCTGTTGCGATATACGGTTGTGCGCCAAAGACACGAGGTTTTCGGTGCGAGAAGTTGAGATAGGCCTCGCCGCTGATATTGGCACGCTCACACGGCTGCCGAAAGCCAATGTACCGTTAAGCTGGGTGAAGGACGTCTGTCTTACGGCTCGCGACTTTACTGCCGATGAGGCGCTGAGGGTAGGGTTCGTATCAGGCGTGTACGATTCAAAGGCTGCGACTTTGCAGAAGGCGCTCGAGGTGGCCAAGGTACTTGCGACGAAGAGTCCCGTCGCCGTGCAGGGAACGAAAGAGGTCTTGAACTTCTCGCGGGATCACAATGTCGCGGACGGTGAGCTGTCTTAGACTGTCGTTCGTGTTCACTCATGCTAATCAGTGCCAGGTCTGAATTACATCAAGGTGTGGAATGCATCCATGCTACAAACGAAAGATGTCGAAGACGCCATGCTTGCAGGACTCAAGAAGACAAAACCTACGTTTGCAAAGTTGTGAAAATAGCAATGAAAGCTTGAGTTACGCCCCGAGGCCGCAATTACCAGCTTATGGCGAAGTGCACCGTGACATGTGATTGAGTACAGCGATAGCATGCCTTCCATACCGAGCCACTGCGCCTCATGCGACATTGTGACTCTCACGCTCGCAGTACATCGGAGCGGCCCCTAACTTCTCAAAGACGGACGCCGGTGCCTCGCCACGCCCCGCTCGTCTTACACGGTCATTTGGCGAACGTCAACAGCTGCAGCCGCAGCGGCCGGTTGTTGGATTAACGACTTGATACTCTCACTGGTAGATCTATCACCACGATGGACGCCACCGACGTACGCATGTACCTCGTTTACGAACACAAGCTCAAACGGCCGCAACCTCATTCCCAAAGGTGTCAGTATCATGGGCGAAGAAGAGATTCTGCTCATTCTGGAGACCAGTATGACCGTTCATGCCGCCAAGTTCTTCTGCGATTTCTGTGCCGAGAACAGCCCGCAGATGCGGACCTACATGTGATGGCAAAGACGATCAAGCGAGGCCAGAATCACATTGACATCTACAAAGCAAACCTTCTCCACGAGGGCGATAATCGGGCGGACCTGCTGAGGGCGAAGGCGGAAAGCGGCGAGGAGATTCTGTGGCGGGCATTTCTGGGGTGGGAGTGGGTAGGCCACAGCTTCGACGAGCTCCGTATAGTCACCCTTGACCCGAACGAGAACAAGCGTAGGGACTCCGTGGCGGAGCAGGATGGCGGCAATGGGTTAGGCGAACAAAGGTGAGGAAGCGCAGGGTGAAGGGTTGGTGGACGTTTGATGGTGATAGATGGGCACGACCTCAATTGCCTACGCTTCGAGCACGCGAGTGCAGTACAGGCTGCAATCTAGAACAGATAGCTGCGTCGCCATCATGAATCTTACCATGGCGAACCATACTGGTGTCCTACTGCAGACGTGAGTGCTCCATCAGTCGCGCAAAAGAGCAGTATGGGAGACGGATATGCGACTGCTCTTGTGACAATCATTACACGCCTCTCGTTCTCATGTCTCGACATGTGGGTCTCTCGAGCTGCCCTCTCCACTTACATCTGAACGTCTTGCGGGAATGCTCACCGGCGTGGCATGCGCGGCTGTATACTCAGGTGGCTTGAGCCCTGCCTGCTCCCGCGAGAGCGTCTGCGCCGGCGCCGCGGGTTCGCATACTCCTCGGTCGCGTGCAATAGCCTCCCTTTCTTGCTCCCCTCTCGTCTTGGGCGGTGCATAAGCCGGTGGCGCCTCCCCAAATTCATTCAACCCTTCATCTCTTCCCACATTCTCCTCACTTTGACTCCTCCACCGATGCCGAAAGTATCCAGCGGCCATGGTCCGGTCGTGGAGACCCAGTCCTGGCATTGTAACCGCTCCTCTCGAATTATACCCTTGCATCATGGCATTGAACCTTCGCCTCCGCCGCCGCCAGACTAGGAAGCCACCCAGGCCGGCAATGCAAATGATAAGGGCTAAGAAGACGAAGTAGTAATTCGCAAGGGAGGTATTGTCGAAGTTGCCAGCATTGCTGGTCTGTGAGCCTGGGGCTGAGTCGGTTGCGGAGGGCATGGAGTTGGCTGTTGTAGTGGACGTAGCTGTTGCAACGGTCGCAAACGGTAGGAGGGTTAGGAAGGCCAGGCGTATGGTAGACGGCATCTTCAAGAGGGTAGTAAGGCCGAGAGCCATGATAAGCTTGGGTGTTCCAAAACGCGTGTGCGGTCTAAAGCGGTTCGTGGGTGATTGATCAGGGTTGCAATGAGGGTCACGCGCGTTGTGGCGCAGAACGAGCGAGTGGGAGTAATAGCCTATCGAACACGCGCCTGCGTGTCAAGGACTGCAAGGTATGCTAGGGTTGGTAGAAATAATCGATAAAAGAGCAACGGCGAAAGGACTCCGACTGATCGTGCAGACTAAGGCGGGGCAAAGCATCGTTATTGCCTTTACGTATCGGACGGGCTAAGGAGAGTAGCAACTTTTCTTACGGAGAGTAGCAAATATAGGATAGCTCGTGTATAACGAAGGGTAAAGCAAAAACTTTTGTTCTAGTCTATATATTATTCGCAGTCGCAATTCTAGTCTATAATAATATAGTAAGAAGTATAAGTCTCTATAGTAGTATTACTACTACTTTATACTAGCTTTTATTTAGAATAAAGTATCTACTATATCTTACTCTATATTCTATATTACCTACTCTTTATTTATAATAATACTTAAATTCTATTAGGCTAGCTTATAGGATCTATACTAATATAAGTACTTATAATTATATTACTTATATTTATATAGCTTATAAAGTTAGTCTATATAATATTTATAGTACTACTAAAAAGTAATTTAAATAGCTTAATATAGAGATATTATAGCCTACTAGTACTTAGAGTACTTAGCTAGATAAATAATATAGAATAATTAGATAGTTATTATAATATAATTAGTATAGATATAGCTATACTCTAGTACTCGATCCTTAGTAAGTCGAGCTAGTAGTACTTAAAGTATTAGCTCGACTACTTACTATTAAGTATAGCTTAATAGCGAGTAGAAGGCGACTATTAAGTATAGCTCGATATAAGCTATAATAAGATATAAATCTTCTTTATATATAATAGCGATAGATTTCGTAGTTAGGAGTTTATATTTAACTTATATTATAAACTAACTAATTAGAATTAACTTATTACTTTATTCTAGTCTCTTATATCGATTATACTTTAACTAAGTAATACTTTACTATCGACTACTAGACTATCTAATAAGTACTAACTCTACTTATAACGACGGAATTACTTAACTTCTATTATATAAGTATAATAGTATATAATACTTTAAATACTTTAGAGGATATCTATTACTAGAAGATCTAAGTAAAATATCTTTACTTCTAGTAAAGTAGGAAGTACTAGTATAGTATACTCTACTAACTATAATCGGTCTAACGATAATATAAAGGTCGCTAAACCCGACTTATATTATAAAGACTAAGAGAAACTCGATAACTAGTTTAACTAAATATATATCTTCTTCGAGTTTAACTCTATAGAGCCTATAAAGCGAAGTCTATTTATAATAGCCTTTCTTTAAGGCTATACTTAATACTACCTTAAACTATATTTTACTAAGTATCTTAATAGTAACTTAAAATATAATAAAGATATTACTAGAATCTTTAGAGTATTTATAGAACTTAAGATAATCTTATTATTATATACTATTATATTTATATAATAGAAGTTAGGTAATTCCGTTATTATAAGTAGAGTTAGTACTTATTAGATAGTCTAGTAGTCGATAGTAAAATATTACTTAGTTAAAGTATAATCGATATAAAAGATTAGAATAAAGTAATAAGTTAATTCTAATTAGTCGGTTTATAATATAAGTTAAATATAAACTTCTAACTACGAAATCTATTACTATTATATATAAAGGAGATTTATATTTTATTATAGCTTATATCGAGCTATATTCGATAGTTGCCTTCTACTCGCTATTAAGCTATACTTAATAGTAAGTAGTCGAGCTAATATCTTAGATACTACTAGCTCGACTTACTAAGGATCGAGTACTAGAGTATAGCTATATCTATACTAATTATATTATAATACTATTTCCTCTTTACTTAGAATCGTCTTAATTCTAAATTATTCGACTATATTATAAGATATTATATACTAGCTAAAATAGACTTCGACTAGTATAAAAGATTCTTAACTATAGTTATCTTTCTTCTATTTCTTATAACTAGTATTTCTTATCTAGAAAAGAGTATATTATAATAGAGTTATTATTACGACTTAAGTACTTAGAGTATATATATATAGATAAGCTATATATTAATCTTTTATAGAAGTCTCTAAATAAGACTTAAGCCTAGCTTTATAAGGAGATCGATAAAGATAAGAAAGAGCTTACTTATATAATAATATAGTTAATATATAAGAAGAAGATCTTATAGTAAGTAGATAATTAATCTAAGAGGAAAGCGTAATATTTAATAGATATAATAGATAGGTTAGGCAAGTTAGAAGATAATAAGCCTTCTATATCTCTAGACTATTCTACTACTATATTAATAGTTAGTTTATCTCTAACTATATAGAAGATATTATAGAATATCGACTAGCTTATCGATTTTAGTAGAACTAGCGTAGAAGTATCTAGTAGTTCTTAAGGTTAGTAAGTAGTTTCTAGATATTATTCGAGTCCGAGTAGCCTTTCTATTTAATAAGGTAATTCTAACCTTCTTATTTTAGGATTTTTTCGACTTCCTATTTAGTTTCTTCTTAGTCTTTATAGTAGAACGTAGTTTAGTAGGGAGTTTCGAGGTCCGCTAGTTCTAAAAGAGAGATATAGAATACTAAGTATATTCTAGCGTTCTTTAGAAGCTTAAGTTAGTAATTTACTAGTAATCGTTTCTCGGAGATTATAAAAGGTCCGACTTTAACCTAGTTAAGCTTCTTACTATTCCTTTTAGTCTTAAGGTTCTTTATAAGAAGATAGACCTTATTCCTCTTTTTAAACTAAAGATCTATAATCGATTTCGATCTCGCTATAGTCTTAAAGGAAGATATATAAATATTTTTATAATAGAGCTATTATAAGTTTTTTATATATTATTTTATAGCTTCTATATTCGGTCCTAGGACTAGTATTATATCTAGTCTTAGTAGATATATAAAGTTCGCTTTATATAGCGATACTTTTATTATTTCTAATATATAGCTATTTAGTACTATTTACGCTATTAGAAGTAGTATTAACTAGTTATCTTAAATATAATTAATATAAGTTTATAGATAGGCTTCTAAGATTTAGTTCGTATATTCTATCTATTTATCTATTTATAGCCGGAAGGCTATTAAGAGCTTATAGCTAATTCCGAGATTAGAAATAAATATTTACTAATAGTTAGAGTAAAATATTAGTCCTCTATCCGAGATAACGACTTTTAGATATCTATAGTAGCGGAACAGCCTATCTATAATAAAGTAGGCTTACTATTCGGCCGTAATTATAGTACTATATATAATAAAGTATATATACTTTATAAGTCTATTAACTATAATAAATATCGAGTTATATATCGATTTTATTACTAGATTCTATAATCTTAGTAGTAGTCTAATAAAGTCTATTATAACTTCTTCCTATAGTTTAGTCGGTAGTTATTATACTATTAGTTCTCTATAAGTTATATATTATACTAACTTATTTATTTAGTTTTCGACGTATTTTTTAATATAGTTCGCTATATATTTCTTTATATATAGAAATACGAAGCGTTATTATATTAGCTTTATTATTTTAATAACCTTTAAGTATCCTCTTTCTAGTAAGTTATAGTAGTATATAATTACCTTACTAATTTACTTATTAGATATAACGAACTTTTTCTACTTATTAACTAGAAATTCTTCGTTATAGTTATCTAGTATATATATTATAGTATTAAATTCCTATATATTAGTAGATAGTATTCTATCCTTATTTGTCTTAAGGATTCGATAATATTATATAATATATCTTTCTATATAGTCGGATTATCGACTAAGAATATCTACTCTAGTATTATCTTTTCTTAAAGTATACTAGATAACGAACTTATACTATCTTAAGAGTTCTAACTACTAGGCCTACTATTAAGTTAGCTTCTTAGTAGTAGTAAAATATATTAAGTTTTTATAGTCGGAGAAGATAGTAACTTTTAGTACTTTTTCTATATAGATTCTTTAGTACCTTAGACTTATAATAATAGCTAAGAGTTCTTTATTATAGATATTATAGTTTACTTCTACTAGACTTAATTTCCTTAAGTAGTATACTACTAGATATCTTTATCTATTATCTTCTTAAGTAAGATATACTCCGATTATATAGTTAAAGATATCTATCTCGATCTATATAGATTTAGTAGTATTAAATATTTATAGAACTAGTACTTCGATATATTATTTCTTAATTAATACGAAAGCTTCTTCTTAAGCTTTAGTTTAACTAAAGGCTTTATCCTTCTTTATTAGGTTTATTAGTAGTTCTAATATTTTAGAGTATTTTAAAATAAACTTTCGATTATAGTTCGCGAGTTCTAAAAATACTTAGATCTCTTTAATAGTCTTTAGTTATAGCTATTCCTATATAGATATAATCTTATCTAGACTAATTTATATACTATAGATTCTAATAACGAATCTAAGGAACTTAACTTCTTTCTTATAGAACTTATACTTCTTTAGTATAGTCTTAAAGTGTTACGGCCCGCTAGTACTATACGTACTTAGTAGGACATATAACATAGAATAATTAGGCAATAGAGTAAGCCGTAGTACTAATTAGACGTAATTAGTTAATTAGAGTAATTAGGGACACTAATTATAGTAATTATACTAATTAAGAACGAGAACACGAATCTCCTTATATATATAATAGCGATAGATTTCGTAGTTAAGAGTTCGTATTTAACTTATATTATAAACTAACTAATTAGAATTAACTTATTACCTTGTTCCGATCTCTTATATCGATTATACTTTAGCTAAGTAACACTTTACTATCGACTACTAGACTACCCGACGAGTACTAACCCTACTTATAACAACGGAATTACCTAACCTCTATTACGTAAGTACGACGGCATATAACACTTTAAACACCCTTAAGGATATCTATTACTAGAAGACCTAAGCGGGGTACCCCTACCTCTAGTAAAGTAGGAGGTACTAATATAGCACGCTCTACTAACTATAATCGGTCTAACGACAACGTAAAGGTCGCTAAACCCGACTTATACTATAGAGACTAAGAGAAACTCGACGACTAGTTTAACTAGATATATATCTTCTTCGAGTTTAACTCTATAGAGCCTATAAAGCGAAGTCTGTTTACGACAGCCTTCCTTCGAGGCCGTACTTAGTACTACCTTAAACTATACCTTACTAAGTACCTCGATAGTA